ATCTGTGTTACTGGTTACATGGGAGGAGAACACTTCTCTGTTCCTCTTCTGTGTAGCTCTTTGTCCCAGGTCCCAAGTAGCACAGAGAGATGGGAATCATTGGTGGGAGGACATTGAGACCCCAGAGAGGGTAGTGGGGGCACCAGCCCAGTTCAGCTCTGCTCTCTGCTGGGTGAGACACGCCAGGCATTGAGTCTAGAACTCATAGAATGCCAGAGAGTATGTGGAGAGGTAGGGAAGGGCCATGGACCTCAAGCTGCTTAGCGTTGTGGGTCTCCAGCTTTCCCCACGCACGGCTTGCAAACCAGTTAACTAAACCCAGTGAGTGCAGGTGGCGTTTTCACTGAGATGTGCATATGCACACATTTTCATTTTTTTATTCAGTCATTCTGTGCACTAGATCTTGGTTTGAAGCTTCATGTGTGATGAACGTTAGTTCCACATCCTTAAATGTTATTCCTGATTTTAATAAAAAAGCGGCAAGGAGTTCCAGGAAATGCTGCAGGTTCATTGGGAGTGTGATAGTCTGTGTACTGGGGCAGGGGTTTTGGTTTCTGATGGGCTGAGAGCTCCTCACCAGTGAGCAACTCTTATTTTCTTAAGTGGATGCTAAGGACAAGCTGACCTGACCATGTCTGCCAAGGAGTAAACTTGGGCTGTGCAGCAGAATATGAGTCTGTGAAATTCTGCTGCAGCTGAGGTCCCCTGGGGCACAGCACATAGGGCTGGCTTTGCCAGTGGCCACTGCCTGCGGCAAGGCCCAGCTGCCCAGAGCAGAGTGGCTGGAGGCTTGGGATGGGAGGATGGGGGGCACCCCACCCCCAGCCCCCACCTTAGAGATCAAACATGCTTTGTGGTGTTTGACCTTTTCTCTTCAGCACCTGTATCCACTTTTCTGTCTGTGTCAGAGTTGGGGCACTTGACCTCTGTGGATCATTTACTTCAGTGGGAGTTAGGTGGAATTAATGGCAAGCAGAAACATTAGTTTTCACAAAGAAACAGATCCCTGTCAAGTTCTTTGCTTCCCTAGCTGTTCTCATCTGAAATAGTGTGAGTTTTGTCCCTGATTGGCTTCTTTGCACTCTGAAAGTTGCTAAGATCTAGAGGAGGTTGGTTATTTAAATCCACACATCCATCTGAAACTGACATGGTTAGATCCTGAGGGCAAAAGTAAACATTGAATGTTTGCTGAGGGCAGAGACCTCCTTGCAGTGCATGGAGGTGGCTTGCCCTTACCTGAGAGGAGAAGCACCTGTCTGGAAGTCAATGGTGTGTGGAAGCCAGGGCCACTCGGCCTGTTTCCCTGGGGCTGCTTGACTGTTAGAGCATCAGCCTTTGCTGTAACCTTGGCAGTGCATGTCTAGTTTAGACACTGTCAGCTCTCATTGTTATTTGGGTTCTGTACCTGATGAAAGGTGAGGCAAAGTAAGAGGAAAAGTCATCTTAGCTGGAGCCACCTCTTGAGAGTGCCTGATAATGACAGATGTATCCTTCTTTTTCTCAGATCTTTCTTTTAAAATTCAGCTTCACAGTGAAGGTCAGAGGGTAATATCATTAAAGAAGAGGTCACCCATAAGCATTCGCTCTTCATCAAGGTAACTAGGCTCTCCTGCATCTCTAAACTCTGAGTCAATGTGTGCCCTTGTCCTTGATAGATGTGTCTATTCCTGGCTCCTTGGTGTGTCTCCATGTCTCCTCTTGGCCTTTGAGGGGCTGATTAGGCCTTCCCTCTCAGTGAGGAGTCTTGGTGGTCAAGGCTGAAGTGTCACTTGGATGTCAGGATAATGGTGTCTCTGGAAGCTCTTGTGTTAGCCATCTTCCTGGGCCCCTTTTTTCCCCAGTAAGTGTAGTCTTGAGCCTGCCTCTCAGCTACCATTCTGCTGCTTTGAAGAGAAGCTTAGAGACATGATGTGCTCTTGTGGGGATATCTCTCACCCTGTTAGCCTTGCATACTCATGGAGGTTGCTTCCCAGGGAATGAAATTGTAGGAAAGTTGGTTGGAATGTCACCTTTCCCACTCATGGGTCTGTTCATCAGTTTTATGTTGTTTCCACTTAAACATAGCAGGACTAACTCTGTGCCTGTGAGCTGGCATGTTCTGGAACATTTCAGCCACAGACAGTAAACTGCCTCTCGCCCATGTGCTGCTACCCATCGGCTCTTGGAGGTTGTTCATTGTCTGCACTTCATTTACCTTCCTCTTTGCCTCCCAAATTCCCAAACAGCTTGACTTTGACCACTTGCTTGGAGGTCAGCACTAACATGTTTCCCTGGTGTTTGACGTGCTAGAAAACACCATAGTTGTTTTTTTTGTACTAGTTTTAAATTTCATTCATGAAGACCATGAGCTTGGATTTTATCCTTTTGTTGGAAATGGGAGGGTTCCAGAGAACCAATGTGATGTCACTCTCAAAAGCTTTCTGATCTACACCCAGGCCACCCAAGACTGTACTTTGAGCCTTGTTTGGTTAATCCTAGTTTCTCACTCTTAGACATTTTCTTCACTTCAGTACTTTATCTTTAGTGAAGTGAACACCATCTCCCATTCTTGCTTCCTTGCAGATTCTTCTGTTCTCCATCGTTACCTATGCTTCCTTCCTACTGGGGAACTCTCATCTAGGCAGAGGAAGTGCCTGGCGTCACTGCCTGCCTTGGCTTTGCAATCTGCATGACTCTGTGGCTATATTGGAGTCCACCTCTCAAAGCAGGATTTTTCTACATGAAATAATAGCTTGTTTTGTTGGCATTTCATATTGTAGTGTCGGTTAATCTCAGTGTTACATACACCAGAACAGCTCTTTTGGAAAACAAAATCACTTAAAAATAAAAGGTTTAAAAGTAATGGCAGACAGAGAAGTAGGAGTAATAACTTTACAAGAGGCAACCAGAAGAAAATGTCAATCTTACCTTACCTATGAAGGGCACAACCTGAGACCTAGGTCAGTGGGAATGCAGAGTTTGAATTAATGGCACTGTATTTCTGTCAGTCTTCCAGCCTCTAACTTGGAGACTTGGCCAGGTCAAGCCTGCTTTGAGAAGCAGTGCCTGGAGGCCAGCTCACCAGGTAAAGAGGCAGACAGATCAAAAGATCACACTAACAGGTCAGTGGGGGCTTGTGAAAGGGGGCAGATTGTTAGTTGGTTGTTTTTTGTTGTTGTTGTTTTTAATTAATTTATTTTTTCTTGGCTGTGTTGGGTCTTTGTTGCTGCGCGCGGGCTTTCTCTAGTTGCGGCGAGCAGGGGCTACTCTTTGTTGCAGTGCACAGGCTTCTCATTGCGGTGGATTCTCATTGTGGAGCATGGGCTCTAGGCACGTGGGCTTCAGTAGTTGCGGCACACAGGCTCAGTAGGTGTGGCTCACGGGCTCTAGAGCACAGGCTCAGTAGTTGTGGCGCACGGGCTCAGTTGCTCTGCGGCATGTGGGATCTTCCCAGACCAGGGCTCGAACCCGTGTCCCCTGCATTGTCAGGCGGATTCTCTACCACTGCGCCATCAGGGAAGCCTCAGTTCGTTGGTTTTTAAATGTAAATAGGTGTAGTGGTCCACAGACCCACCACCATATCCCACTTCATTTTATGGTTTCGCGTACTCACCCACTTGTACATCTTTACCTAATTTCATCTGTATTGTGCATTTTGCTTTTCTAACATAGCATTTTGTCACCTACATTTCCCTCACCTTGACGCAAAGTCTAGAAATCTATGGAACGGGTTGCAAACTGAGGCCTGTGGGCCAGTCTGAATTTTATCGGCACACGGCCATATAGCTATTTGTCTAAAGATTGTTAGCAGGCTGCTTTCATGATACGGCAACGGTAGAATGAGGAATTGTAAAGACTGTATGTCTTGCACAGCTGAGTATATTTGCTGTCTGGCCCTTTGTAGGAAAAATTAGCCTCCCCCTGCTGTTTTAGTAGTTTTGATCTTCTCCATATCAAAGTTTTGCTTTCTTTTTAACTGCATGCCCATCTCAGGAACATTTTAAATTCACACATTGTCTGCCCAGATTTAACCATCAACACCATGATGTAAACCTTGTCACGGTGGAACCTTTTACTGTACCTCCAGCTGCTGGCAACTTTCATAGGGAAAAGATGGTGCACAACTTTCACTGCCCCTAATTTAATGTGCCTGCTGATTGGTTTCTAAAGCAAAGGGACTGGAATTCTCATTGACGGGGCGGGGTTTGTGGCCTGCTGGGGTCTGGCTCCTGGTCTTCCTGGCTGCAGGGTCCTTGTGGGCCTGGTTCCCTCCAATGGGGGACAGAGAGCTAGAGTGTGTCTACACACCCTTAGCAGGAAGGCTAGCTCATCTCCGCTTTGGGTCGCCTGGTTCAAGGCAGCTGCCAGCTTGAGTCTGAGGTGATGGGGCCCTGCTTGGCAAGTCCAGGGGGCAGGGGGACGGGGCATGTACAAGCTGCATGAAGGAGGATTAAGGCTTCTAAGAGCTGCCTCAGCACACAGCCACTGGCCAGGCTCCAGACACGTCAGTCTGGCTGATGACACGAGCACTGTTCTCAGCAGCCGCCTGAGCCGGTCAGATGGAAAAGTAATCCTGTTTGTGCTTCCCTTCTGACACAGATCACACTGTGGAACGGGCCTTCACTGTGAATGGGAAGTAGCTCCTGCTCTGGGAGCAGGAGGAAAACATACCTTCTGATATTAGTGTTCCATAGCCAGTGTAACTAACATTTCAAGGAAGATGTTCCTAGCACAGGATAAGATTTACTGCAGATTGACTAGTATTGAGAAATTGCCAGGTTTTTACCAAAGTCAGGGTCCCCCATCCCCTTCTCTCTCTGTGGTTAGACTCTTTCTCTTGCCTCCCAAGTGATTCTTTATAAGAGAACCTTGCAGTGATGGGGAAGGGTCCTCCTTTGTCTGAAGGGTGAATGCTACTGTGAACTTGTAATTTCTTGAGAGACTGGGATCAGCTGGCATTGGCCAGCATTTTTCTTGGCATGAAACAAATTCAAGCCATAGCCACTCTGACCATTTACTGCTTGGGAAGCATAAATAATTTGGTCTCCACTCCTTGACACCCCCCCCCATGGCATCAGCAGGGAAGTGTACCGCTGATTTCACCCATGATGTGGGCCAATTCACAGATGGCCAGGTGCTGCGAGAATTATCTTGACTTTGATTTGTTTGCGGGGGTGAAATTCTTTGGAACTTGCTTGAGGGTCATGTGACATTCAGCTGCTTCTGCAGAGAGGGAAAGTCTGTTGATTAATACATGCCAGGACATGGATGTGGGGTGCCCTCAGCCAAACAACAGACCCTCTGGGCCCAGCAGTTGATTAGGCCTTTGCCCCTGGGCTTGGTGAGCAGAGGCAGCTGTGGAGCAGAGCACTCAAGAGACAGACAACCCTAGGTGACCTTCTGCTGACCAGACCACCACCCACTCTGTTTCTTTGTTGCCAGGAGGATGAAGATGAAGGTGATGATGCCACCAGCTCCCATGTAGGCTTGCTGTGAGGATTAAATAAGTGTTCAGTACAGGGCGTCAGCCCAGGAAGCAGCAGTTACATACTGGCGAGCTTATCTAGGCCCTAGCAGAGATGTGTGTGTTGGTAGCTCACATAAAGCTCTGCTGAGTATGGTCACTGTATTTCATGGGAGAGTTCATGAAGCTTTCCAGTTAATCTGCACTGTTCCTGCCTTCCCTTGCATCTTGCTCCCGGCGTGCTGTATCACTTTAGGATGGAGGTGAGTGAATAGACAGGACAGAGTCAAGGTGGGGTCACTGGGCTTCGTGGGCCCTCTGGGACACCAGGAGTTAAGGTGGAACTACAAGTACAGAGTGTAACTGTCAGCCTCTCACAGTGGACAGAACTGGAACTGAATCTCCAGGAATCAGCCTTTCTCTTTTCCTCTGTTGCTTGCTTTCAGAAGCCTAGACCCAAGCCTACCCCATGTCTGTCTCGCCTCCTAATCTCCAGGAAAGAAAGTGTTTCTGTTGAAATTTGAAAAACATTGCAATTGTGTTGGCTGCTAAATACTATCTGTCCTTAGATGAGTTGGAATGATAGCAAACAGTATCCTTGAAAGCAGGAGTGCTTAATCAGGGGTCTATAAACATAGGAAAAGAACTGACATTTTTATTTTCATTAGCCCACCCAGAGGTTCCCAAACTTTCTTGGTTCACAGCATCATTAGCATCTCAATTTTTTCATCATGATCTTAGGCCAAAGGAAATACCTAACAATTTTGTTTATTAGGTAGTTAGATACAAACAACTGAATAAATACTAATGTCCCAACAATGGTATAGCTGTTTTGGAGGGGAGGGCACATAAATTGAAGGGAAAAATATGATATTCTTGGATTACTACAGCCAGTTCCTTATGGAATGTGTGTGCCTGTTGGGTACCGCACAACTCCTCAAACCTTAGAACCCAGAACCTTAGACACCTGCCATCCACATTTCCTATCCCACGTTAGTTTTTACATGGTACAGTTGTCCCTTGGTATCAGTGGGGGATTCATTCTAGGACACATATAACAGACACACACTGCTAGGCACCCAAATCCGCAGGTTCTCGAGTCCCTTATATTGCAGCAACATGGATGGACCTAGAGATTTATATTAAGTGAAGTAAGTCAGACAGAGAAAGACACATGTTGCTTATATGTGGAATCTAAAAAAATGATACAAATGAACTCACAAAACAGAAAGAGTCACAGGTGTAGAAAACAAATTTACGGTTACCAGTGGCGAAAGGGGAGGGGAGGGATAAATTGGGAGATTGGGATTGACATATACACACTACTATGTATAATACAGATAGCTAATAAGGACCTACTGTATAGCACAGGGAATTCTACTCAGTACTCTGTAATGGCCTATATGGGAAAAGAATCTTAAAAAGAGTGGATGTATGTATACGTATAACTGATTCACTTTGCTGTACAGCAGAAACTAACACAACATTGAAAATCAGCTATACTCCAGTAAAAAAAAATTTTTTTAAATGGCATAGTGTTTGCATGTCCTCTGTCCTGTACTTTAAGTCATCTCTAGGTTACTTATACCTAATACAATGTAAGCACTATATAAATAATTGTAAACACTGTGTAAACTCTATGTAAATAGTTGCCAGTGCACAGCAAATTCAAGTTTTGCTTTTTGGAACTTTCTAGAATGTTTCCCCCCAAATATTTTTGATCTGCTGTTGGTTGAATCTGCAGACACCAAGGGCCAACTATTTGCTTTTTATCACAGCAACCTAAATTCAGGCTTTGTAAGATATGATACTGTCGAAAGGAATCTGGTGCAGTCTAACATTATGAATTACCTTGTGCTGCTGGTTCCCACAGTGCCTCTCTGAGTTACTGTAACACCCTGTGGTCCTTCAACACTCAGTTTGGGAACCAGGACACTGACCATCTAATGTCTCTTCATCTTCTTCTTCTTATTCCTGTAAACTGGGAATATGTTTGGAGTAGATCCAGAAATTAGACACACAGTTGGGTCATGCAGCCTTCTTTGGTTGGAAACAGTAGGTGAAATTCTCTTCCTGTCCCTTGACCTTCAACTATCTCAACACAGTACCTGCTGGCTCCCACCTCGACCACAGATCAGTGTGAAAACAGAGAGGGAACAGCATATATTTGGATCTTTCAGATGTAAAACTTTTGAAGACGGTATACTTTGTCGTGAGAATCCAATTAATTCCTCCATATCTGCAGATAGATTTATAAGTTTGAGTTTTCAGCCTCCTTTCCCCATTGAGCCATGGTGCTGAGAGCCATTCATTTCCTGTAGGACTGAGAGCACACAGAGAGCACCCTGCGTGCACCCTCATTGATTAACTCTGTCCCCACGCATCCCATCTTTTGCACCTGTTGTAAACAGCGTGCTGCTGTGTGCAGGTATAGTTGAGGATGAACTTACTATTCCCTACCCCACAGTCTGGGACTTGTGAAGAACAAAAGCCCGACATGGTCACATGGCCCTTGCACTGTCCCATCCTGCCTGTCCTCCTTTAAGCTCTTCGTATGCACTGGTATCTCTCCTGCCTACAGACCTGTGCCTGTGTTATTGCATCAGTTGTGCCTTCCCCTGTCCATCACAAGCCTTGTCCCTCTCTACCTTACCCACCACAGGAGTGCACACCCTCTCTGTCCATGGCCACAGCAACCCTGCCATTCTTTTTCACAATACTCACCCAGGTATTGCTTAATCACTCAAAGAACATCATGTCGACTGCAGAGTCCCTAAGCCTGGCATGTAGCTCAGATGAGATGCATTGGCTGAGCAATTTTCCGTGTGAGACTGTGAGCTGATTTCCTTTTCCAGAGCTTTGAAATTGAGCTAGAAGCCCCAGGGTGACAATCGTGTGGTCACTGTAGCCCCTGAGTCGTTCACTGAGTACTTGCTGTGTACTGAAAGGACAAGAGGAAAGTAAAGCTGGCCCTGCCCTTGGGCTCCCAGGTGTGTGTGTGTGGGGGGGCTGACCATCAGAGTCACTAGACAGAGATCAGGGAGGCACCAGGTACAGCAAATGAAAGGCATGAAGGTGACAGAGAAGGTGCCAGTTGTGGCCACCATGTTGTTCGGAGTGTTGATGTCAGGGGCTGGGACAGTGCAGGGTAGAGGCGACCACTGTGGGAAGAATTTACCCAAGGTGTCAACCCAGTTGGATCTGTGCCTTAGAAGAGTCGTCCTGTGTGGCTTTCACATAGCGCTGCTCACCAGTGCCTCTCTTTCTTGGCCCACAACAGACTAGAGATTCTGGTGTTTTGCTGCAATATGCATGAATGGCTTCTTAAAGTTTCCCAAGGAGTTTACTTGCCCACAGTCCTGGGAGGGCTGAGCTGCAAGCTACAAACTGTCTGGGTGTGGTTTCTTGAGGTGCGAGTCCTGCCTGGGCCCCAAGTGGGTACAGAACAGAAGTCCAAAGCATCCCATGATTATCCCCATGGCTCAGTTTTCGTATTTCATGATCCCTCACATCGGGGCCATGGGTGTCACCTGTCATTGGTTGTCCTCAGAGCGTCGTAAGACAAACTGATATATTTATGGATCCCATCTCATCTGTCAAAAGCACGTTATCATGCCTTCTCATTTGAGCTGGCAACCTCCAGCATTTTTTTTCCTTATAAATTGACCTCAGTTGTTACAAGTATGTGGGTCTTGTGCTTAGTTTTTCATGTTACTTAAGATGGGCCAGCCCATCCTGGATGTTTGCATTGGACGCTCCTGGGGGTGCATGTTCAACTCACAAATGGGGATTTCTCAAAGCTCAACTGAAACTTCCCAGGAATCGTGTCAAATTATGGGCCACAGCAGCCCATAATAGAAGTGGCCTATCTTTCCACTTCCTGGGTAAGTTACTTCTCTGTGCCCTGGTTTCCTTATCTTTAAAGTGAGGATGAGGCTAGAAGCAATCCCAGAGTTGTGAGGATATAAATGTCACTGTCAGATGTGAGCTGGCAGGCTAAAAAGGGTGTTTTAGCCTCTGTGGTAGAGGTAGTGATTTAAAGCAGAGATAAGACAAAGTTAAAGGGTCAGATTTTCTGTAGAAAAAGGTCTGTTCGTTTTCTGAGCAGAAAATTCAGCTTCCTTGGCTCAAGGGCCCATGTGGGCCTGGCTTGAAGGTGAAGGAAAGTGATTGTGTCCAGAGTCCTCCATCCTTTGGCTTTGCTGAGAGTCCATTTGGAGAGAGAACAGGCACAGCCCAGCCCGGAAGCTCCAGAAGTCATTTATCTTGATTTCAGCTTGCCTCAGGGACACTGCTTGAAGGGTTCCAGAATGTCATTACTTAATAGGAAATTTATGGGGCTGCTTCCTCCTGGTGGGATGGGCTTGTCTCGCTCCCCTCCCTCCCCCCAGCAACCTGCGTCCTTGTGGCTGACAGAGCTCCACTGTCCTAGGGCCAGAGCATCTCCTTCAGGGTGGGGCTGCTCCTGTCCTTTGTGTGCCATAGCTCACCTGGCACATGCTTGGCTGTGTAATTCCTGGGCTGCTTTCTAGGAGACCTCTAATAGTGGAAACCAAACTGCACATCATTCTTGATCCTCACTTAATGAGATCCTCACTTAATATCACCCTCCCTCCCATGCTTGCTTCTCCAGCACATCCAAGACTCCCTTCCTGATGGAGCCAGAGTTACATTCATCCCCTTTTGCTCCTTTGGACATGTTGATCCTGCTGCATGAAAACCCCTCTCCCAAACGACTCCAGGTGTCCTTAAACCCCAGTGACGTATTTCCTTCTCTGTGGTGCTGCCCCTCTGTCAATACTTGTGTCCAAGCACTCAGCATATCCTGTATCTTTCTGTATCTGATTTGTGGCCACCGTCTCCCCCTTCTGTCTTACTAGCCCCAAACCCCAGTTTCTGTTGTTGCCCAATAAATGATCGTCCCCATCCACTTACCTATGGAGGGTTTGCGAGGGAGAGCTCCATAGTCTCTGCCATCTTGTGGATGCCTCTCCGTCCTCCCTCCCTCCAGCAGTTTTCTACAAATTCTCCTAGCCCACTGGCTTCCCCACCTGGAATCTGCAGTAAGTCTTGGCTGGCTGTCCTCTGGAGAGGGTCACAGAGTGAGGCCACAGGCCAGGCTGCCCTCACCACTCCCACTTTATCCTTGTCCTTCCCTGTCTTGATACTTGCATCCTTAACTGTGGGGTTTTTTTTCTTTTTTTTAAAAATGAGTTTACTGTTTTGTTTATAGTACCTTTATTTTGAAAGGAAGCTAAATCAGGAGCCACACATGGATATCAGTAAAATTAAAAACCACGAGAACAGGGCTTCCTGGGTGGCGCAGTGGTTGAGAGTCTGCCTGCCGATGCAGGGGACACGGGTTCGTGCCCCAGTCCGGGAGGATCCCACATGCCGCGGAGTGTCTGGGCCCGTGAGCCATGGCCGCTGGGCCTGTGTGTCTGGAGCCTGTGCTCCGCAGCGGGAGAGGCCACAACAGTGAGAGGCCCGCGTACTGCAAAAAAAACCAAAACCACGAGAACAAAACAGTGATGTTAAATTCCATCCAAATAATAGTATCGTCTGCTGACACCTCTGAGCACAACCTTTCACACTGGCACAAACAGGGACTTTCCTTGTCAGTGCTGGAAGGAGAATAAAAAGAAATGAAAAGAGGGGAGTAAGTAATTAAATGCCATCTACCTAAAGGCAGTCTGTGCTTCCCTGGTGGCTTCAGGGGCACAGTTCTGTGAACCCTCCCATGGCCCCACCTGAGCCCTAGCATGTCACTCTGCAGGTGGCTATAGACACTGCTTCTCTGAGATTGAGGTCCCACTCCTTATCAACTAAACCTCATAACTTGGAGAAATCTTTTCTCTTTTCCTTGCCCAGTCACTTTAGGAATGAAGGCATGCTTTTTGTCTGCAAAGCTCCATGCACAGCCAAACGCAGCTTCCAGGTACTGCCTCCTTCTGTCGCCTCCTTAGGCTACCCTCACATCCTGCCTTAGGTCAGCAGTGACATGCTCTCAGCCAGATTCCTCCCTTCCTCCCACATTACACTCAGTGTGGAGTGATTCAGCCTAGCCCCTTGTTCTCTCTTCCCTCTGTTCTCTTCTCTGAGCAAGCCCTTTCTGATGATTCTACACCTTATCCCAGCCTTTGGATGCTCCCTCTCCCTGGATCTGTATGTGGCCTCATCCTGCTTTCTTTGGGGTATGTTTACTCAAGTCAGGGCTCCAGGATCCACCCTGTCCTTTCCAAGCTCCCAGCCAGGTGCACTTCATGTACCTCCCTTCCACCAGTAGCACCTCCATCCCCGCTGTCCCACCTTGATTCATTGCATGACACTTCTTCCCAGGACCACATGGTGCTTAGTTCTGGCCATACTTGTACCAGAAGTACCCCTGATGGGAAAAGGAAAGTGCCTTGTATCCCCAGAGCCTGAAGCAGGCCTATCCAGTCATGTCTGCCTTTGGAAACTATTGTAGTCCACAATGCTCCTTCGAGGTTGTTGTGCTATTGCAAAGTTTCATCAGTTCGTCATCAAATTAAGTTGCTTCGGGAAATGTCCTTCCGTGGTCCTGAACTCCTAGCACACTGCACTCTTGGCTTCAGGGATGCTTTCACGGGCTGCTGGCCAGCCAGTCTCCACCTCCAGTCCCCATCACGTTCTTATGCCAGATGCCCATTTGGTTTTAGCTTTGGGTGTCCCTTCCCCATCTCTAGCACCGTGTGTGTAAGAGAGGTACCAGGGATCGGCTTTGCACCTACAAACCCTCCTTCCTGTAAGTGTTCTTCCTGGGCTGGTGTTCTCCGTGTAGAAAACTTAGAAGTTGTCATAGAGCTGTCCCTTCCCTCGTGGGTCTTGGGAGTTACCTGGGAGGGCGTAAACTCTAAATTCTTGCTGGCATCTTGAAAGCAGTTGGACATCATTAAATAGTTAAGTTTAGCATCAGATGCAAGACCACATCTAGACACCTAACTCACTGCTGTAACACGCCCTTCCTCCAGCACTGGACAATTGCTAAGATCCGGAGTCTTTTGCATGCAGTGGCCATGGGCTGCTCCTGCACAGGTTCCCGCCCTGCGGCAGCGTTTTCCTTGGGGCAGCACTCTCTTCATGTGTGCTCTCTGGCCATTTGATAGCTAGACCTGTAATCAACCAGAGCACCCTGGAAGGAAAGCGATCTCCTTGGCCATGTCAGTTTTGTCAGGCCTCGGGCCAAGAGGTCCAGCTCTCCACAGCCCCCCATGATGAACTCACCACTGAGTTGCTTTTACATAGCAAGTTCTCCCCTTGTGCTTTAAAATTCGGTAATTTGCTGGAACTGCATTTACAGAAACCACTGTGAGAACCTTGTTTCAAATTACACTTGGACTGAATTATAAAGTAATTCATCAGCAACTAGAGTGCCTAGTATGTGCTAAGTGTGTTCCAGAAAGAAAGCTGTGACAGAGACAGCCAGCTTGCTGTGTTTTTTCTTGTGCCCTCTGCCTACCAGCTCCTGTGGTCCTAAAAATCTTCCCTCTTTTCCTAAGCCCTTGCCTGACTTCGTCAGCCACAGAGGTTTTCTTACCCTCACTGAACTCCTAGGTTTATTACTGGAGTTGCTCATTACATGCAGGCAGCTCCTAGCTTACTTTCAGTCTTTCTTCCTGCAGGGACTGATCATTCCTTTTTCTTGCCCTCAGAAAGGTGTCGGGAAAATAGTGCACAAAAAGTGCAGATGGTCAGTACTTCTGAGCAGATGTTTCTTCTCATTAATAGAGTGAAGAAACTCGGCATTCTGAGTAAGGGGTGAGTTAGTGCAGGGGTCCCCAACCCCCAGCATCGGTCCGCGGGCTGTTAGGAACCGGGCTGCACAGCAAGAGGTGAGCGGCGGGCCAGCGAGTGAAGCTTCATCTGTTTCTCCCCATCTCTCACATTACCACCTGAACCATATCCCCAGCCCCCACCCCCACCCCGCCTTCCGTGGAAAAATTGTCTTCCACGAAACCAGTCCCTGGTGCCAAAAAGGTTGGGGACCACTGGGTTAGTGTGTTTCTGAGGGACAGTTTGACATTAAAAACATGAACCCACTGCCCTGTGGTTGTCTTGTTAGAATAACTGGACAGGTGCACAAAGTCGCCCTTGCAGTGATGCTCATGGTGTGTCTTGAAGCATGTGTTGTTGAGGGCAGTGCACAGGACAGAGTGCTAATAAGGCACTGATGGAGGGGGGATGCTCACGTGCCACCCCCAAGCCCCTAGCGGATCACAGGAGGTGCCCCTCTACACCTTTATAAATAAGCTTTGAAAAGCTGGTTAATAGAACAGTAGGTCAAGTATGGATTCATTTTTATGTTACCACAGTTACCTTGTGGTATTTCTGTAATCAGCAAACATATTATTTAAGTTACCAAGAAAACGTTCTTCATAAGCGTGAGCACTCAGCAGTGGACTGCGTGGGCTAGTCAGGAGTGGGCAGCCTGGCCTTCCTGCTCCGTCCTGCCTGGCCCCCACTCACCAAGTGGAATTACTCACTTGGCTAGATGCTTCATGAGCCACAGATACAAATAAGAATTTTAATGAAAATGACATGATTTGGGGCTTGCAAATCATCCTCTCTCATACACAGTGTCCCGTAAAAGCTCTCAGATGTGAAAACTTGGTTTGTCGCATATTGTACCCACTTCCCTGTGAACTCCATAGCTCCCACAGACCCTTCCAGCTCCTGGTTGACTCTAGACTCCATGTCCCGGCCCTCGGAGTTGGTACCTGATCTCTCTTCCCTACTGGATGATGAATCTTTGAGGAGCACACTCACTGGGGCCCTTTTAGTCAGTGCATGGAGTGTCTCCCCAGCCAACCTGATCAGTCTTCACCAGAGGAGCTCAGCCTTTGGAGGCCACAGCCCTGGGGGATGTGTCATTGTGAGTGGCACCCATCTGCTGCCTGGTCTCTGATGGTAGCTTTTCTCTTCCCTTGTAGAGTGCCCAGTGAAGAATGTGATGGGATCAGTAGCATGTCTGCGGAGAGCGGCCCTGGGACGAGATTGAGAAATCTGCCAGTAATGGGGGATGGACTAGAAACTACCCAAATGTCTACAACGCAGGCCCAGGCCCAACCCCAGCAAGCCAACACAGCCAGCACCAACCCCCCTCCCCCGGAGACTTCCAACCCCAACAAGCCCAAGAGGCAGACCAACCAACTGCAATATCTGCTCAAAGTGGTGCTCAAGACACTATGGAAACACCAGTTTGCGTGGCCTTTCCAGCAGCCTGTGGATGCCGTCAAGCTAAACCTCCCTGTGAGTAACTTGGGCAGGGTCCGGGGCTGCCGTCCTCAGGTCTCCTCCTGTGTTGCTCCTGGTGAGGGTGGACTTACGGGAGGGTGGAGATGCCTTTGGAGTCATTGTGAAAAGCGCGAGGTCCAGCTCTGAACTCCAGCCCCCACGAGGCCCTTGACAGTGGTTTCAGCAGTCCTGATGAATGGAAGTGGGGAAGGAGAGAAAACGTGCTCATTGGCCTAAATAATAACTGGTTTCTTTGATACTAGCATTCTGGGAAATATTCTGTAGAGATGTTGAAACGGGTAGAGGGCTGCTTGCAGCTTGCCTTTCAATTCCATGGGGAGCTAAAGTGGGGTCACTTGGTGGTCCGGGCCCTCGCTCCTCAGATGTGGTCGGCTCGCTTGGCCCAGTAGGTTCAGCAGACGTGGTTGGTCAGATTGTGAGAGGGACTGGCTTGCTGCAGTACCTCTTCTGGTACTGGTGCTGTCACCATCACCCAGAGCACAGGGCAGGGAAAGGTAGTAGAATAACTCCCAGGGAGCCAAGTACATGGAGGTGGCCTGGATGGAGAGAGGGAGTATGGGTGCAGCTTTGTCTCTGGCTGCCTCTGCACACCCCCTCACACCTGCCTGCCTTGTTGTGGCCATGCTGCACTTGCCTTTGTTCTTTTGTACCCCTGTTCCTCTCCTTTTTCCTTTGAGAGCTTTCCATTTGCCCACATTCCTAGCAAATGGTTCTGGAAACTCAACTTGTACCTTTAACTGAACCTCGGGAGCAAACAGGATAAATGTGTTAATTTTTTCCTTTCTTCAAAGCATCAAGGACTAATTGTCTTTAAATTGCCCTCTGCTGTTTGCCAAATCCCACACACTGACCTGGGCGAGGGAATTGGAATCAGATGATTGTTACAGTTGACCCAGACGTGGGTTTACGAGTTAGAGCCGCATGGGTATAGGATCCTCAGCCTCTGCCAGGCGTCCGGTTTCAAGAAGGAGGGACACACCAGTGTGACCTTCTCCTTGCTTGAAAGTTGCTATGTCTGTAACAGCTGGCCGGTACTCTCTGTCCATTGAATACCCATCATATGCACTCAGGGGAAGAGAGTCAGGAGGGGGAGCTGCAGGTCTGGGTCACGAACCAACTGAGGAAAGGGTATGGGAACAAAAGAAGGGTCCTCACCAAATCTGCGCTTCAGAGGTCACTTTCATCATTGACCACAATCAGGAGTAGAGGCAGCGAGCCCGTCACTGGGGGGAGTCTCTTGGGAGAGCTTGCTGTACCAGTTTCTAGCTGGGCTAATGGGCTGGGCCCTGCAGGGTCCACAGGTGAGGTGACCTTCCCAGAGCAAATGCAAAGAATGGGGAGAGAAGGAGCTGGGGGTTGGAATCCAAGGGGGGCCCACAGCTCTTATAGCACTGGAGGGAGGCGGGAGGCCAGGAGAATCAACCACAGAGAGCAGACCCCCAAGTTTCTATGTCAGAGACTACAGGGAGGTCAAACAGATGAGGATTCCGACCTGACCCTACTGTTGGCCTTTAGGAGGGCATTGGTGACCTTAGGAAGATGTGACGCAGAAGTAGAAACCAGATTCGCGACGGTGTGAATAAGAAGGTGAGGATGTGAAGCCATCATTTCAAGAAACTTGGCTTTGAAGGGAAAGCTCGGCAGGGCCAGATGGAGGAGGGGTTGGTTTGTTACAGGAAGATGCAGAGGGTGCAGAGGCAAGGAGAGCTGAGAGGGTGAAAACTAAGGGGAACTGGGGGGCTTGAGATCCTGAGAAGGCAGCGTCCCAGCCAGCAGGACAGGCACGGGTGGGTAGTCCGTTAGGCCAAGGGGTTTGGGAGTTTGAGGTCATTCTCTGAAGTGGAGGCCAGGCTCCCCAGGGGCCACAGTGTGACTAGATGTCACCCTCAGCAGCTCTGATGTAGGAAGAAGAGAGGTGGGAGAGCTAGGGGCTAACCCTGAGGGGTGGGGCAGGGCTGTTTGGCTGGGAGCAATGTCATACTAATGCCCAGTTTTCCAGGGACACCCCCTTCTCCAGGAAATATTAATAGGGCCACCTCAAAAAAGGGTTCATTCTTTTTCTGTTTTCTGATGCCTTCCAGATCTTTACCTGTGTTTTGGCCCCTGTTCCTTGCTGGGCTTCGTATTAGAATGCTTGTGCCTCTTTCATTCAGAACACATGTACAATTGGATTGTCATGCCCCTAAACCCCTATCTCCCTTTCAGTCTTCCCAGCCCCCATCCTCTTTTGTCATCGTCTCACCTCCTCCTTCCTACTCTGTCCTCAACCGCTATCCTGTTGGGCCTTGAACCACTTTTGACACACTGAGACCAATTCAAGCACCTGACACCATTCTAAGTAGACCTTTGGCCGTGGAATAAAATCTAAATTTCCCCTGGGGCAGATATATTTGGACTTGGTTCTCTTGGGAAAGGTGGTCAGAGCAAATGTAACGTAGAAAGTCTGGTTCAGTCGCCCCTTGAGGCTGGGCAGGGCTGTGATCTTCGCCAGACCTATGTGTATGCCAGTGCCTTCTGTTCCTTTCTCATGGTTGTCAGAGCAACTCAGAACCTCACACCGCTTGCTCACCTTTTCAGTATTGTCCACCACTGTTCCTGGGCAGGACCTTGGTGCTTGCTAAAGCATAGGCCTGCCCCTCTGCTGTCAGGCTTCCCCTTGGACTTGGTTCTGATAACTTCACCTGAGTCTAATTGTGGGAGCTTCAGAGAATGTGGTTCTCAGTGGGGCCGGCTGGCTGTATGCAGGTCCCTCTTCTTGCCTGGCTCTCTGTGGTCCTTCCACCTGGAAACCTGGGCACTGCCTGATCTGTCCCCAAATTCTTCCTGTGGTTGATTTTAAAAATAAGCGTTTGATTTTAGAGTAGGTTTAGATTTAGAAAAAGTTATGATGGTAGAAGAGAGTTTGATTTGAAGGGCTTTAGGACATCTACACCTGCCGTCTGGCTGCTTCTGTTTAGCACTTGTAGAGTAAGATCTGAAGGTTTGAGGAGTGGGTCTGCTGCCGGGTGGGGGGTCGGGGGGCAGGGGGCAGGGAGGGTTGTGTGGTGTTTTTTGTTTTGTTTTTACTAAGGATTGTGAGGGCTGTCCATTTGATTCCTCATCTGGCACTTAACCTGGTTAGTTGTTGAACTGTATCCAGATACTAGTGGATCCTTAGTGGTAGACTGCAGGTAAAAGAAATGGAAGTGCAGTGAACTAAAGGTAGAGGCTTTTGCTCCTTGGTTCTTTAGTGTGACAGGAAGCAAGGGATCCAGTTGTTATGGGTGGGCTTGAATGCTGGTTCTGTAGGATTTTGCATTTTATTGATGTGGAAAATTTGAAGCAGGGAGAAAGTAGAAATTACCATGGGTTATTTTACCAGATAAGAACCACTTTTTTTAAAGGTTGTATGCTTTCCGCATTACTTACTAAAAATGAAAGGATATTTTAACATCAAAAAAAATAGAGGAAAACATAGATCTCAGTTAAGACAGCGTAGCCTGTTCCCAGACAGGACAGTTGGCAAACTTGAACGTTTTTTCTCTAAATTGCCACCCAGCTTTTAGTAATCCTTCCCTGATCCACTTTATCTTGGGGTCCCCATGAGATGGCTCACTGATACCATGGAAGAGCTTAGGTCTGCATGTCTGTAGAGTGACCTGGAGTGACATCTGCAGGCCCACCTGTGAGTACTGCATGGCTGCAGAGGTGACATTGGCCTTTTGTTCTCTCTGCTCTCCAGGATTACTATAAGATCATTAAAACACCTATGGATATGGGAACAATAAAGAAGCGCTTGGAAAACAACTATTACTGGAATGCTCAGGAATGTATCCAGGACTTCAACACTATGTTTACAAATTGTTACATCTACAACAAGGTGAGATGTGGGGGCTGATAGAGAAGGAGAAGGTAAAGGAGGAGGTGGGCATGTCTGGAACCCATTGGGCAGGGGTGCTGGGTGCAGGTGGGATCAGAGTCCAACGAGAGGAGACCATTGGCGACAGAGGTAAATGGGACGGCTGGTTTTGCCTGTGACTGGGTGTGTTTCTTTTGAGGCCAAAAACATTTTGGTCATGTTTCCAAGCTGTCCTTGTTAGCTGGAAGCATGTGCTTCTGATACCCTTGGGACTTTGGTTCTTGAGCATGTCTAGTAGAGAAGGTGTGAAAAGGACAGTGACGACGCATTAAAAAGTCTGTTTGGACGACACAAATTGTCAGGAAGGAACCTACCAAGATATAGTTGTACAAAGGTGTGCTCAAACAGAAACCTAAATATGAGAGAGGGTACAGTGGGGCCCACCCGCCGCATCTGGAACTGTGGACATGACCATTGACAGCTAATGGCCATAGAATCAAGTGTTCCCTTACAGGGTCTTACATGTAGACATAAATATCACTTAACCCAGTAGCCAAACCATTCAGCTCGATTGTGCCTTGAAGCCAGATCATTTGTTTAAAGTCTCAGCTCTCACCACTAGGTTTAAGGGAAATGTGGACAGATGAGGTTCTCCATTTAGAGCTGAGTGGGAACAGCATGTGGCAGAGTGGGGACCCATAAGGCAGTGTGAAGTAGACATTTCCCCAAGCCCCAGTGAGCTGCTTTGGGGATATACTAGGGAACATTATTGGAGCCCTGTTCATGTATCTATGGCAAGAAATCCTGTGTAATTCAAATAATTCTAGTGAAGTTGCATTATGTCGAAGGAGGCTCTAGTGCAAGGAGGGCCCCTGTGTGTGATTGGCAGTGCTTGATAGATACTTAAGGCATTGGGATGGTTTCTCAAGCCAGAGGTTAAAAGACTAGAGAGGCAGCAGACCTGCAGGCATATGAAGCTTCCATGGTGCCAGTTAGGATAGCTTTGTTTTGGCCCTTTGGGGTTTAGATTGGGGAAGTACCCTGAATATGATGCTCCACACTTTGGGGCATAGGGTGGGGAGCTCTTGTTCTGTCTAGAAAGGTGGGGAGGGCTTTCCAACCCTCACCACGTGTGTCTCCTCTTTTAGCCTGGAGATGACATAGTCTTAATGGCAGAAGCTCTGGAGAAGCTCTTCTTGCAAAAAATCAACGAACTGCCCACTGAAGAAACTGAGATCATGATAGTCCAGGCAAAAGGAAGAGGACGTGGGAGGAAAGAAGCAGGTAGGGTACCTTCCGTGTCCCCAGCACTATTAGCTTCACACTGAAATAGCCTGTGGCAAAGTGGGGACCCATAAAGCAGTGTGAAATGGGCATTTCCGCAAGCCCCAGTGAGCCGCTTTGGGGATATACTGGGGAACAGTAAAGCAGGGAAATTGGCTTTATTTCTCCCTAGTCTTTGCCAGCCTTCTCCAATTTCACTGGGAGACTGGGAGTGGTGGGAAGACAACTATATTATACACTCGCTGCCTTGTTGCTGTTTGGGTATGGTGAGGCCAGGTTCATCAGGGGAACCAGCCCAGAGGGTCATATGACCATGTGACCCTCCAGCAAAGTAGGAAAAATTGGGCCTAGCCTTTTTTGATGGACTTCAGTTAAAAAGAAAGTACAACTTTTTCAAAGCATTTTTAAATTATTTGAATTCTTCATCCCACCAGTGCTATAGTCAGTCTTTGTTTTTCATTTTAGATAAATTAACCTGATCAAGGGCAGTTTTAATTAATATTCCAGTCCTAGAGCCTTAAGGTTTGTTATTTGAATTATTTATTAATACACTTGTGTTGGAGCCATGTCTGCTATTTGATAGTCTTCTGAAGTCAAGCCCTCTTTGTCTGTCTTAGCACCTACCCCTGCCCCCAAGCCTGACACGGGATTCCGAAGGCCAGCTGGTAGGGAGTAGCCTACTCATGAAATGTTTCTGTCTAGGAAAAGTTTAAACAGCTGCCTTCTGCATCTTGCCATCCGCAGCTCCGTGCTGCAGAAAGGTGATGTTTGCAAGGTAGCCTGTGCTGTGAGTTGTTTGCTTCTCTAAGGAGTGGGCTTTCACGTGACTTCCTATCCCATGTGGAAGTGGTGGCTTCATGGGAGCAGAGGGGGTTGGCTAGATCCCCTGTAGTGCTGAGGGGGAGCCAAGGAGAGCTGGTCTTGAGGGTCACCCCTTAGCCATGGAACCTGCCCAGAGGCGTCCAGTATCCTTACGACCAAGGAGCCCCATCCTCCCTTCCTGGGACAAGGGGTTTGGTCTTTACATGGGGTGGATGTAGCGCCTCGTGTGTTTTGGCTCACCCACACAACTGCTGGGAGGCAGTCTGAGCCGGTCATGAAGGGCAGCAGCCGTCCAGCCTCCCCCTGTGATTCAGAGAGGTGGGGGTAGCCAATTTCCAGAAACCTTGGCCAGGGCTGCCGATTCCGTCCCCCTGCCAGAAATGCTTACTCAGAAGGCAGCGTTTCTGGGAATGAGGACAGCTCTGCCTGAAAGCACCAAGGAGCATTTTTTTTGCTGTCACTGTCCTGGTGCTGACTCTCAGCGTGTGTTTCCTGTGCCTTTGGCTCAAGCCTTCATGCTCGTGAAGGGGTCTCTGTGCCTGAGTCCCCAAGTCAGGACTTGGAGCCAGGACACCCCAGGAAGTGTGGAATGTGGTGTGCCACTGCTCTTAGAGCCCCCTGGGACAGGTGGACAGATTTGGCTGAGGTCCAAGGTATTTAGGCTGTTCTGTCTCTTAGACAAATAGTTACAGAGACACTGTGTGCCATGCCCACGCCGATGTGTGCTTGCCACGTGTGGCAGTGTCCCCACAAGGTCAGCCGGCGTGCAGACATGGCATCTAACCACCTGTCCCTTTTATGATTGGTAGGGACAGCAAAACCTGGCGTCTCTACGGTACCAAACACAACGCAAGCATCGACTCCTCCGCAGACCCAGACCCCTCAGCAGAATCCTCCACCCGTGCAGGCCACACCTCACCCCTTCCCCGCTGTCACCCCAGACCTCATCGTCCAGACCCCTGTCATGACAGTGGTGCCTCCCCAGCCACTGCAGACGCCCCCGCCGGTGCCCCCCCAGCCACTGCCCCCGCCCGCACCAGCCCCCCAGCCTGTGCAGAGCCACCCGCCCATCATCGCGGCCACCCCACAGCCTGTGAAGGTGAGCGTCCTGTGCGTGTGTGTGGCCTAGCCTGACCACTGGCTGGCTCCGGTCACCTCAGCTAGATGACCCTTGCCTCCCCTTCCACTCCATTGTAGTGAGGCTTACAGAAGACAGTCACCTATCCTTGCTGATGCTTCTGGCTCCCAGGGCACTTGTGGGTAGTTAGGACCTGGGGGGATCAAGCTGTGTTTAAATCAGCACAGCCTAAAAGCTGCTGTCTTGCTGACCCACAGATCCCATAATTGAGTAACACCTCCCGGGGGGTTGCTGCCCCCCTTCCCATTTCTAATTTAGACTGCATATTTGCAGATGCTGTCTAAATAGTCTCTGAAATGTGCCTCCCATGGGTGGCCAGAGTGACAGAGGTTGGCTGTGGGAGAGGTCCCTGGCATGTAGGAAACTGCTTTCAAAAGTCTCTTTGGCCTCTGGTGAGCAGATCCCACACTTAGTTGTGTGCTTTCTCCTGCCACTGGCAGGGTCCTGTCCCAGCTGCAGAACTGAGTGGTGGGACAGGGTTTCCCTGTCTTCAGTCCTTCACCTGTGGAATTTACCTTTGGGCCCTGTTCCCTGTGAGTGTTGAGACCCTAGAAAGGACCTGGCTTCAGGAGTGACCCTGAGGGCCCGCTGTGCCGGCCGCTGCCTCTGACCGTGCCTATCGCGCCTGTGCTCTCGGCAGACAAAGAAGGGGGTTAAGAGGAAAGCGGACACCACCACCCCCACCACCATCGACCCCATTCACGAGCCACCCTCACTGCCCCCGGAGCCCAAGACCACCAAGCTGGTGGGCCCCCGGCGGGAGAGCAGCCGGCCTGTTAAGCCTCCGAAGAAGGACGTGCCCGACTCGCAGCAGCACCCAGCGCCAGATAAAAGCAGCAAGGTCTCAGAGCAGCTCAAGTGCTGTAGTGGCATTCTCAAGGAGATGTTTGCCAAGAAGCACGCAGCTTACGCCTGGCCTTTCTACAAGCCCGTGGACGTGGAGGCGCTGGGCCTGCATGACTACTGTGACATCATCAAGCACCCCATGGACATGAGCACAATCAAGGTTAGTGGGTGTGCCCCTGGAGCTGGGGAACGGGCTCCCTGGGACAAGGAAGGCCAGCACCTCTGAGGCCTGTCCAAGAGGAGGGCCCAGTCTTACTAGCTGTCTAGGCTCTTCTCACCAGCCCAGGGAAGCCCAGTGCCCCCTGCTGGAGATTATGGGGACATCATCTGAGATCATGTGGTCATTTTGGTCACAGACAGCAATGCTGCCCTTTCCCTCATCTGAGGATGAGCCCTCTTGTAGCCTTGAGGCCCAGTGCCCATAGATACCTTCACTCGGTAGATGCTCCTGCAGAGTTTGGGGAGTGGTGACTTTGCCAGGCTCTATGTCATGAAGAAGGCCTTGGTGTCTCTTAGTAAAGGGCACACAAGTGCTGGCATTTTCACTGTAGTATCCTGAGGCCTTTTTGGTTTTGTTTATTTTAGGCCTTTTGGCACTTTTCTCCTTCTGAGAGTGGAGTAGGCCTGCCCAAACGTGGGATGGGCAGAGCAGGGGACATTGCTGTGTTCCTTTTGACCAGTGCCCTGTCCAATGTCACCAGGACAAGTACAGGCCAAGTCAGAACTGGGCCCAGCCCTCCCTTTGCAGTTCTGGCTTAAGCAGTACCTCTGTGGCTTCTCTGTCCACTTGCCTTTTAGCCAGGCACAGTGGGTAGGTTTGGATGCTAGCAGGGCAGTTCCTCGCCCTGAGACTTGGTGTTGGAGTATCTCCTTGTCCACCTGGTGCTGAGAACTGGGGTGATAACCTCTCCCTGCTATGGTCTGGGTTAAACCCAGAGCCATTGAGAAGTTGACTTGCTCCTCCCTACAGGCAGCCCTCCTTGCTGCCACCTCCCCATTGGAGCAGGGGCAGCCATGGCTAACCAGGACCCGTCCTGTCTTTCTAGTCTAAACTGGAGGCCCGTGAGTACCGTGATGCTCAGGAATTTGGTGCCGATGTCCGATTGATGTTCTCCAACTGCTACAAATACAACCCTCCTGACCATGAGGTGGTGGCCATGGCCCGCAAGCTCCAGGTGAGGCTCTGGGGGAGCTCCGGGTGTGGGATTCTGCAGAGGAGCAGGCTGGCTGGGGTCCTGGGTGGGCCAGGCCACTATGGGCCTTGGCAGATTTTGTCGCTTGCTTTGGTATAATGCCATGTTGCTTTGGAAGAGTGGACTAAAGTCAGGATAACACGTAAATTTTACATTAGGATTATTTCCTTATAATTAAAGCAGGGTGGTTGGTTATGGTCTTGGGCATTTTGGATTTTGGGGTGTTCCACTGAAAGCCCCCCACCCCCCTGCATTCGGTTGCCCTTGGCTGGAAGAGTGCGTGTCCTGTGCATGGCCCAACCTCTTCTCCAAAACAGACCTGTCTCAAGTCGGCGAGGGACACTCTTGCCAGGTAGACAGTTTGTCACAGTTCTGAGCTGAAGTAACTGCCCAACTGTGGGCGTTTCTTCACCAGAGCCTTGAAAGCCTTTGTTTGCCTTCCCGCTCCAGGGCAGCTGCTTCTAGATGCTCTGTGTGGCCATGATGCACTAATGGGTGGGATTCGTAACCCCTTCAAGTTGATTCTGGGTGATGTACGCTGTGGAGTGCACACATGGGTGGAAGGGAGGGGCAGATTACAGCATAAATATGTGAACTAACTCCACTTTTTTCTATTTAAAAAAAAAAAAAAAGGAAAAGCATATACCCAAATTTAAACAGAGACATATCTTTGAGTAGAACAATGAGGAGTTAAAAATTATGGAGAAAAAAGTCGACATTTAGTACTGTTATAATCTGTTTTATTATTATTTGAAATTACACATAATAAAAATTCCCAGCCTCTTCTCCCCAAGGTCCCAGGTTGCACTTCTGCTTTCAGGGTCAAAGCAGACTGTGGGCTGAGCCACCTGCTGTCACAAGGTACAGGTCCAGTCTGCACATCCTGCATCAGGTCCTCTCCTGGCACCTGGGTGGGCCTTTCTCAAACCAGGCTTTCTCAGCCATCTGTGAAATGCTTCCAGAAGCAAGGCTTGCAAAAGGCCTTTGGTGACCTGTGGGTTGGTGTCTATCAGAGGTCACCTGAGCCCTGCTTGCCCACCTGCCTTCCAGCTCTGTTAACTCCACACGTTGTCATGCATTCACCAGCATAGTGTCTCCTGTGTCATCATGTTGGAGCCAAGGCATGGTCCTCTTTGTTCTTTCACTGCAGCCTGTCTGGATTAGCCTTTAGTGCTCTGAAACTCTAGGTGTTTAAAAAAAAAAAACAACTTACTAGCATGGATCTGGCTATCGTTAAACACACACTCAGACTTGAAGGTTTGTATTTCTACTGGCTGTTTATTAGTTTTATTTTATCTGAGGTTTTTTGTTTAGTTCTGTTTTATGTTTTTGGAAGGGGGACTCTCTTTAATTCAGTGGTATGTTGTCTGCTTTCTTCACAAAGCTTCCTTTTTCAGTATTTACTTTTGCATTTCCCATTCTTGAAGCAGATCAGGGTTTATAACTTTTCTGCAATTCTCATATGTAGCCACTAGGTGGCAGTGGTGCCCAGAGAGAGAGGGGGAGGGAGGGGGAGAGGAGAGAGGAGGGAGGGAGGGAGGCGCACCCACCCCCTTTCCCCATTCTCTCTCTCCTTCTCCTCCCTGAGGACTTGGATAGCATTTGCCCAGATTAATACCCATGTCCTTTATTTGCCCTCATGCAAACAGCTAAACCAAAACAAGTTCTCTGTCAGCACCAAAGATCACTATTTTGAGCGACTTTATTTAAAAAGAAGAAAGAAGATATTCTCTGATATATTTTAGCTCTTCGTCTTCCTAATTTTTGTGCCTGTTTTAAGGCTTTTTTTGTTTCTTTTGCTTTTTTTTCCTTCTGGGAGTGGCATGAGCATGCCCAGACAGGGGATTTGCTCATAGCAAGGGCACTGAGATATTTGCCACAAAGCAGCCTCTTTTCTAAACGTTGACTCCAGACACCAGGCTGGATGGGGCAAGGTCCTTGCTCTCGAGGAGGGTCCACTTCAGGTGGGGGGAGGGGGCAGTGCGCAGTGGGCCACGCAGCACGAGGCTGCCTCTGCCCCCAGCTTGCTTTGTCCCTTGCAGGTTGGGTCTCCACGCCGTTGAAAGTAACATGCCAGGAGGCAGGTGGGGGTGCCTGATTCAGCCCAGTTGACGTGGCAGGCCCCCTGTGTGGACTTTTCCTCTAGAAGGCAGTTCCTGTATTTTGTAGCATTTTGAGCTGTGTTTTCTTCTTTCTTTTGAAGCTTTCTAGGATCAGCATGGTTTAGGTGGCAAGATTACCTACCCACTGGGGAGGAGGAGTAACAAAATCCCAGCCCTTGTTTGCCTCAGTAAGAGGTGTTGGGACCTACTGTCTCTTAATTAGGCTGTGCCCAAAGACTGGGATTTACCCAGAAAGTTTTACGGGAAATGATCCACTTTATATTCCTCTTCCAGCCTGTAAATTCTGGGCCTTTAGAAAACCCACATCCCACCACCTGGCAGCTGTGGTCACAAAGATAGTCAGGAGCCCCTGGGCTCAGGGTTTCCTTGGGAGCCTGAGCGTGGCTTGAGCTGAGGGCTGCTAGCCTAGCTGCTGGGCCCAGAACTGCTGGGCCCAGAGCTGCTGGTGGTACTGTCCTCTACCCTCTGTTCTATTGTGAAGTGAGGAGTAATTTAGGAAGTTTTGCACCTATGTGGATTACCAGAGTTTTATTTTGAGAGAAAGTGCAAATTCATGGTGGTACGCAATTGTTTTTATGGCAAGGAAAAAAATTAAACTGAGAAAAGTGTGTTGGGGTCCTGCATTAGGTCCCAGAGGTAGGAAGCTTGTGAAGCGTGTGTGAGAGTGTGTTTGTGTATCTGAGTGTTCATTCACGGCCGCATCCCCACCACCTGACACCTCGTGTGCCTCCACGGCCTACATTGTACTCCCCACCTCTGTGCCCTGGTTATGCCCAGGTATGGCTAAGCCTCACAGCAGTATCCAGGCATGGCCAAAGAGGGGCCGACTGGGCAACACCTTCTCCTTGGGTCTCTACCTGTGCTCAGCTGCAGGCTGATTTGCCTGGGAGTCTTCGGACACTGCAACCTCCCAGCACCTGAGCATCTCTGTTTCACTAAAGGGGAAGGGGGGAGCTCCCTCCATGAATCTGATGTAGCCCAGAGTAGATGGCCCTGGTCAACATTCCAGCGAGAGGAGATACTTACTCTCTGAAACCAGTGTTCTTTCTGATGTTGAGAATTGCGACATGGCTCAGATTCTTGGAGTGGGGTGGAGGTAATGTCACACCAGGCGGAGTAGATGGGTTCATCTGAATACATTGCCAGCTCTGGTGCAGGAGCCCTGAGCCCCTGCTCCCCCGGTGGGTGCTGGTTGTTGGTGTTCACTGCTCCTTTCTGTCACTGTCCTCCCTAATGACATACTTGCCCTGGGTGCATCTCATTGGGTTTTACCATCCTCTTGTCTGCCCCCACGCCCCTTTGACCTTTCTTTTGTACCATCCTCCTGGGTGCCTGCAGCTATTGTCCTCCTCTCATTCTTAGGTCTCAAGTTCCCCAAAGGCTCTTTGCCACCCCTTGCTGTTTCTACCTTAGCACTTACGGCACTGTACAACTGTTTGTGTTCACCCCTTCAGGACAGGGAGCACATCATTCTTGTTTGCCACAGAGCAGGTGCAAGTCTCAGCCACTTGGGAAGGTTTTGTGCAGCAGCCCTTAGCTCATTGGCACACAGGCCCGAGTGTGTTTCCCAGTATGTCCCCCACTTGGGCTGATGCAGGTGGGAGGATGATGGGTCATTCAGCTGGGCACAGCCAGGAGGCAGGCAACCCACCTGGCTTTTGTCTCATGCTCCTTGCTGTTTGGTCTTGGGGCTTTGGGAGGACAGGGACCAGAAGCAGCTGGGGAGGGGAAGGAGGCCTTAGGGCAGGTGCCACCCCCATTTGTACAACAGTCACAGCCTGTGGGTCAGGAACAGGGATGTCCTTGTGGTAAGGGTAGAGCTGTCTGGCAGCTGGCGTCGGGGGCTAGGTTCACAGACCAGTGGCACGAGATAGCTTCCACTTGGTAAAGTGTCACCTCCCAGCAGCACCAAGTGCTTGGCCCTGCTTGCCACCCTTCTCCCTTCTTGGGGTCCTGATGCCCTACTACCTTCTTAGACACATTTCTCTAAGAGCAGGCCTGGCTCTTTCAGATGCTCATGTGGGTCAGTCATGGACCTGAGCCTGCCCACATCCAGGGCACTGTGAGCAGAGAGGGTCTTGCTCACCTTGTCTGAAGGCCCCCTCTCCCTGGCAGCTTGAATGATAATGGTATCTGGTCATCCCTCCTGTTTGTCTTCTCTGTTGCTCTCAGATCTGCTCCATGATTTATTTCTGATTAAATTAGAAAGTTTTTGCCTTTCTAGTACTTAAACTGAAAATCACTCAGATAGCAGAGTTCAGGCAGCACCTTGCTGAGAGGAGAACCTGCCTTGGAGGAGGCCGAACCTGAGTAGTCTGGAGGGGAGGGGACAATACCACAGTTGTGTGGAATGCCTGCCCTGCTGCCCAGGTCACTCATTTCCAGTTTCCTGGGGGCGGGGAAACCTGAAGCTGCATTCCAGAGACATCAGGAGAGTCTTGTAGGGTGGGCTCTGTCAGATACACTCAAGTTTGAAATACCAGCCTTGGAGCTCTACCCCACAGCCCTTCTGGGCCATGCTGCTCTCTCCAACATGGATTCACACTTGAGGAAGGCCCCCCTTCTGTTATGTGAGTTGCTGTGTTAACTGACTTATTCCAGGCTTAAAGCAGGTCTCAAAATCCTACTGGAAAACCAGGTCTCAGGAGCTCCTGGGGTGGGATCCTATGCTTAGTAAGCCCAGGGTCTCTGCTCACGTTGCTTGCACTTCACAAGGCTGGCTGTCTCCCATAGCCTATTCTCAGCATCCCATATCTCGTCTATAACTTTCTCACATTTCTGGTGTACCCTGGAGATGCCTTAGGCAGTGGCATGGCCCTGCTCAGTTATGTGCCCACTACAGCGAGGACTTGATCTCCTCACTGGCTGTGGGCTCTGTGCTGGGCATACTCCCACCTTGGGACCTTTGTTCTCTCTGGAACTCTAAAACTGCAGACCCCACCCACTCCCTATGGGAACGTGAACCGTAAGACCCCTGTTCTGTTCACTGTTGTGTCCTGGTGCCCGGCCCACCGTCCAGAAGGCTCCCTTGAGATGTGCTGACTGAATGAGCATCAACCTGATGGGAGCCTCAGAGCACTCTTTCTGTGGGTCCTGTCCGGGCCTGCCATCTGTCAAGGATCCCCAGACTGATGTCCTCATTGGGCTGGCTATCTCCTGTGATGTGAGTCACCTGTCCTTACCTCAGCTGTGTCTCCCAGGGAGTGGGTGCCAGGCCATGTCGGGAGCACCTTTCTCCCCAAAGTGAGATTTGAAAGAGGAGTGTTGAAAGGGTTATCAGGGGGCCCTTGCCAGCCCCTCGCCTTAGTGATAAGGGGGTCACCATTGACTCAGCCCTCTTTGTTTCCTGTTGAGTCACCCCCAGCAGCCAGGGATAGTGTGACGCTGGGCCACAGTCCAGGCACCCCCAGGGCACCCAGCAGCCCTCACGGGCACAGCTTCCCCCTACCCCTCACTTCCAGGATGTGTTCGAGATGCGCTTTGCCAAGATGCCGGATGAGCCCGAGGAGCCTGTGGTGGCTGTGTCCTCCCCAGCGGTGCCACCGCCCACCAAGGTTGTGGCCCCGCCCTCATCCAGTGACAGCAGCAGCGATAGCTCCTCAGACAGTGACAGCTCCACTGATGACTCCGAGGAGGAGCGAGCCCAACGACTGGCTGAGCTCCAGGAGCAGGTGAGGACACAGGCAGCCCCATTTTCAAACCACAACCCCCCGCCACCCCCTACGCCCCCCCCCCGCCCCCAGCATGAGTTCCAGCATGAGCAGAATTCCCACTGGTCCCCTTGTGCCAGGTCAGGTGCATATTGTTCATACTTAAATGTACACTGTGGGTATGGAGATGGGGTGACGTGGCCGTTCCCTGGGCAGAGGTGAGGCTTTTGTATCCTTCTGGTATCTGGAAGAAGGAGGCCGAGCCAGCATATGGTGCGTCTCTTCTGGGGCTTCCAGGATGCTCCTCTCTCTACAAGCTGGCCATTAGGCCTTTAGTGCCCACATGTGTCTATGCGCTCCTTTTTTTTTTTTTTTTTAATATTTATTTATTTGGCTACGCTGGGTCTAGTTGCTGAGTGCGGGTTCTTTGTTGCGGCATGTGGGTTCTTTTAGTTGCCACGTGCGGGCTCTAGTTCCCTGACCAGGGAATGAACCTGTGCCCCCTGCATTGGGAGTGCAGAGTCTTAACCACTGGACCACCAGGGAAGTCCCTGTCTATGCACTCTTGCCCAGCCTCTTCAGGGATCCTCTTCTTGGAACCAGCATGGTCATGGGGCTTGAGTGGCTCCTCTGACAAGGAGGACACTGGGCCACCCTGGGAGTTCAGGGTCTGGGTGGGCATGGGCATTTTGGATATCTAGTGAGACGGCAGGTCGTGGAGCTGAGGGCCAGAGACCAGGGTGACGGGATTGTGTGTCTTGCTTGTCTGCTCCACAGCTCAAAGCCGTTCACGAGCAGCTTGCAGCCCTTTCACAGCCCCAGCAGAACAAACCAAAGAAAAAGGAGAAAGACAAAAAGGAGAAGAAAAAAGAAAAGCACAAAAAGAAAGAGGAAGTGGAGGAGAATAAGAAAAGCAAAGCCAAGGAACTTCCTCCCAAAAAGACCAAGAAAAATAATACCAGTAACAACAACACAAGGTCTGTGGGTCACCCCTACCCCCACCAGTGCCCCTAGTCCAGATGGGGACAGTGGGGAGGGAGGCTGCCTCTCTGCTCTTTTTTCTGGGATGGGCCTTTGAGGGAGAGAGGATAGCAGGTAGCATGGTGCAGGCGGCAAGACAAACCACAGCAGCCCCCCAGTTCACCATTTGTGGTCTCAACTGCAGCCATGTGCTCCCAGGAAGGTGCTGCCAGTGCCCCCTGTTTCCTGTGAAGACCACTGGGTGGGCGTGTGGAAGCCTCCCCAAGCCCTAAATGGAGAGATATGTGCCCACCTTCCCCCAGGGACCCATTCTTAATGGTGTCTGCATCACCCCATCGTAGCAAGAAGGAGCCAGCACCCATGAAGAGCAAGCCCCCTCCCACATATGAGTCGGAGGAAGAAGACAAGTGCAAGCCCATGTCGTATGAAGAGAAGCGGCAGCTTAGCCTGGACATCAACAAGCTTCCTGGTGAGAAGCTGGGCCGCGTGGTGCACATCATTCAGTCGCGGGAGCCCTCACTCAAGAACTCCAACCCCGACGAGATCGAGATTGACTTCGAGACCCTGAAGCCATCCACCCTGCGTGAACTGGAGCGCTATGTCACCTCCTGTTTGCGGAAGAAAAGGAAACCTCAAGGTGCCCTTGGGCACCCTGGGGCGGTGGCGGGGGGTGATGTTCCCAGTCCTGGGTGAGGGAGAGGGCTGGGCAGATGGGCCAGGCTGCTACCCTTGCACCTCTAGTAGTGAGGCCCCTGTTGGCACCTTCAGGCAACTTTGCCTTCCAGTCTCGGCCCTCGTTCTCTGCAGGCTTGCTTTCCTTCCGATTATAAAATCTGCGTTCTTGACATAGAAACCTCTGAAGGGTTGTGACATCAGACTCAGCCTTAGGCTTATTGGTGCCTTTGTTGATCTCTCTGGCTGCTGGCCATCTGCGGTCCACCTGCACCTAGGTGTCCTAAGCCTTGCTCTGAGCAGCAGCAGCAGCAGCTTTCGTCCTTAGCTTCCTGCCTCTGAGTCTTCCCCAGAAGCCACCCCCCTACGTCTTTGGGGTCTCTGGGCATGGGGGGTGTGGCTAGGAGGAAAGGCATTAAGTTGGCACTGTGCCTGCCTGCTGTCTTCTCTAGCTTGGTGTGACACCCCCCCCCCCCCACCCCCAGGTCTTCCAAGCAGCTCTTTTGTGTTGTCAGTGTCTTGTCTTGGCTCACAGCTTTTGCGTTAGAACCAGTAGGACTTAGGATCCACATCAGGGCTTTGCACACAGCCTTCATTCCAGCCCGGACTGACTCCTGGGGTCCTTGGCACACACACACACCCCATCCTCCGCCCAGGGTGCCACACAGTGACACTTGCCTCAGTCTGCACACTGAGGTGCTGGGAGATCCCTTGGGCCTCTTTCCTTGTCTTGTTTTGTCTTTGACTGTCATGTCCCCTTTAGGTCCTCTTTACCCACTGTCAGAAAAGTAGCTGAGGGAGCATAATCGCAGCAGTCCCTTGTGTTAGAGAATTCCCTCCTGCCCTGGTCTCTTAATCCTTGATGAACCCTGTAAAAGGGTATTTTGAGAGATTGGAGGGACCTTGAAAGTCCAGTGTAAGCCAAGTGTTTGGCTGGCATGCATGGTAGGCTAGCTGCTTACCATTGGGAAATGTGGGTCTGGCCGGGGTTCGGAAGGATTGCAGCCGGCCATTAGGAGCAGCCTTCTGGCTCGTGGGACTCAGGGCCCTGCCTGACTCTGTCCCTGTTGCTTTATTGCAGCTGAGAAAGTTGATGTGATTGCTGGCTCCTCCAAGATGAAGGGCTTCTCATCCTCAGAGTCGGAGAGCACCAGCGAGTCCAGCTCCTCTGACAGCGAAGACTCTGAAACAGGTTAGGTGTCTAACTTAGAGTCTTGTCGGAATCCTGCCTGTGCTCCATCCTGTGTCCAGGCTACCAGAGACCAGAGATAGCAGTCATAAGAACTTGCGGGGCCCTCCCATCTGTCCATCTACTTGGTCACCATGTTAATCTCTAACTGGCGGCGGGGGTAACCCTGCACCTGCCCCCACACTACCCTCGACCTGGGCTGGGGCAGGGAAGACAGGTAGCCAGGGGCATTGACACTGCAGAGACCTGGGAAAGAAGGGGTGGGAGCAGATGATGGAGTTGATCTTAGCGTGACCCTGCCCAGCCTCACAGTCTTCCGTGTGTCACAGTTGCATGCAACACAGCCCTTTCAGGTGATGTGATTTGGCAGGTGTGGAGCAGCCTGCTTTTGGCCCTGCTGTTCCTGGGGCTTAGGGCACTGCCATCCTCCCCATAGTGTGCTCACTGCTGCATTGGCTACTCCTAACTGCACGCACCTGGACATGCGTATCCGGTACCTCTAACAGTTCCTTCTCTCCATGCTCCATGGGCGTGCGTTTGTATCCACTGGTGCGCCTGAGCAGCAGCTTTGACACGGGAGGTGGGGGCAGGTGGAGATGCTGAGAGCTGTGCCGGTGGTGGGGAAGGGGACCTTTCCTCCAGATATAAGCCCTCCTGGTTATTCTTAGGGGAGCAGATGCTCTGACTGGCCCAGAGGAGAGGCTAGGGAAGAAGCCTGGTGACTAGCCTGTTCTGTGAGGTGGAGCCGGCCTTCTCTGGGTGAGCAGAGTTGTCCCTGGGCAGGTCTAACTCTATCAGCTGAGCAGACAGTCTGTGGACCACCCGCGAGCCTGCCCTGGGACCCTGGGTGTGCCCCTCCAGGCAGGCTGCAATGTGCACATCCACAGTGGGAAACGTGTGTTTGGGCAACGAAGACTCCTGGCATATTCTTTCACGTACCTATTTTATCCCTGATATTTTATTTTAACTGGAAATAAACGATAAGCTCCACTTTGTTCACATAACTAATGTGACCTGGTGGTGCCAAGGAAGTTTGAGGATCATTTGCAGCAGTTGGAAAGAGTGAAGCTGCCCTGAGGTGTGTGGGTCCACAGGTCCTCCTGTGGGCTCAGCCTGCCTCTGTCCAGGGAAGCTGGGGACAAGGGGGCCTCTGGGTCTTGTCACTGCTCCTCTTCCCTTTTACAGTAAGGACACCAGGTTTCCCAAGTGTTGGGGGAGGGCTCAGGACTACCTCATTTTCAGTGGGCCAAAGTGACATGAAAGTCATTAAGTATATTCTGTATTTATTGAGCTCCTGTTGTATGCAAAGATTGCTGTGAGTAGTTTGCTGGCTGCCTCTTTCTCCATCCTTAACCGTTTTTTCTTTCTTCCTAACCAGCTCCCCCTTCCATTGCTTTTTTAAACCTGTCTACCAGCAGGGGGCGCCGCATCTGGTGCTTGCTCAGGCGGAGCTGGCCCCAAGCCAGGGCCCAGTGCCCTTAACAGGGTGAATGGCCATATTCTTGGGCCCAATTAGCATTCCTGGTGGCTGCTGACTTCTCATTTTCAGTGCCAGCCAAGCCTCAGGTTTGTCTTTCCCTCTGGGGTTTTGTACCTCCTGCATTTTCTAGCAGGCTGTTTCTACTAGGGGTTTCGTAGCCTTTTCTCCTAAGGATCTGAACAACCAAAGAATACCCCAGTGGTTGAAATTGGCAGCGGACCTGATAGCTAAAACAGCATGGTTTGGCCCCACCCACTGTGGCACCTTAGGGGGCCATGACCATCACACCTGATGTCCCCGTTGCGAATCTGTGACTGTGGCCTTTGTCCCTGACTCCTGAGCTTCTGAGCGTCCTACAGCCTGCCTGCTGCCGCCTGCTGTGGAGTGACCATGATGGTATTGCTAGCAGCTCCCTGCTGCTGCTGAGATTTTTTTTTTTTCCTCCACATTTTTCCCCCTTTTAAAGAAGCTGGAAGGATTGTGCAACAAGTAATCTGAGAGTCCTGGGAACAGCTGTCCTGGCAGGAAGGAGGGCGAGATTTACAGTCTCAGAGCCGCCAGCCTGCAGGCTCCCAGGCTCCGGCAGTCCAGCCCTGGCGGCTCCCTCGGCTGTCTCCAGCTCCTTCCTCTTCCCAGGCACCCTCCCCACCTTGGGTTTTACGAGCCTCTCTTTTGTCTTCGTGGTCCTGACTTTTCCTTTGCCTTCTGTGTGCGCTGGAGAGCTCTGCCGGAGGCCAGCTGAGAGCTTTTACTCTTGGGAGGGACCCACCCTGTAGGTTTGTGCCCTGCAGCTCAGATGCTACAGGTTCCAAAGTGGGAGCCTGTGCCCTGGCACCACTGAATGTGGCCATCTGCCACCCCCATCCTGCACAGGAACCTGCACTTGCTCTCCGGGCAGCTGCTCGTGCTGGGTCCATGGAGCTGGGTAGATTTCTCTGACCAGTTACAGGTGGTTCTGCCTTGTGGGGAATGGGGCCTGGTGGGGGGCATTGAAGGTATTTCTCTTGGTGTTTGGGGGCTTGTTTTGCCCTTCTTGTTCTTGTGTTTCCATTTGGATTAGTGCTGAAATTCCTAAGAGCCTATATTTGTCAGTTCTGCCGACACAGCCCCGAGACATGAATCACCAAAAGAAATTGAACCAGAGGCACTAAGTTGGGGCTAGGGCAGTGGTACGTGGACTCCTCTCTGGCCACTGTCCATAGACAAGGATGCTGCTAGCTGCTCAGGACATGGGGGCTGGTCCTTGGGGCAAGGCCGCTTCAGGGAGGCAGTGCGTCCACAGACTGGGGCGGAGGGGGTGTTTCTTTTCCAGCTTTGTCCCAGGCCACTGTGTGTTTCTCCTCCTGTTCAGCAGCATGCAGCACTGCTGGCCAGTCCCACGACATCTTTTGAACCCAAGCTGTTACTTGAGTCGTGGTCTTCCACTGAGCTTTGATTCTGGTTAAACTCTGAATCAGCTTGAGGGACAGAATGTGGTGGTACAAGTGCCACCCTCCCACTGCCCCTGAGCCATCTTAAGCTTTCACCCCATCACATTGCTGATGTCTGGCTCTTCCCAAATGCCACCCACAGATCTTTATGGGTAGGGGTGGCCACACAGTTCCTGTCACTCTCAGGAGCACCCCTGGTCTGGGCTGGGACAGGAGTTCAGGGAATTCTCTTGGACTTGATTTTGGTCTTTTAGTTGCAGAGGGAGCACACTCCAGCTATTTTAGTCCCCTGGTTTCCTTTTCCCAGGATCGGAGCATGTGGGTGTTTCTTAATAGCTCCAAGGGGAAAAGGAATGCTTGATGTTTTGGAAAGATTTGAGCTGGAAAGTGCAGACAGAGGCCATGGGGCATTCTTCCCAGACAACCAGCCTCAGCTTCCGACCCCCTGGGGTCTTGGAAGGACTCGGTTCCAGTCCCATCTTGGGGCCTGCTGCTGCCCACTCCAAGGGTGTGACGCACGCTCTTGGGGAGGGGGTAAGTCCCCTGGTGGGGGTGGGGGTAGGAAGAGATCTGGAGGACGGGGCTATAGCCAGTCTGCCTGCACTGCCAGGTGACCCTCACACTCCCACACACACGCAGGGACGGATTTTAGGGCTTCATGGGCGAAGGTGAGCCTTGTGGAATGTGTCTTGAATGAGAGACTGGCCGGTGGGCGGGTTTTTCCCACATGCGCACTTGGGGACCATGGGAGTGCAGTGTTGGTTGCATCTGTGACTCTAACAGAAGCATCTGCTCTGCTATATGGGTGGGAACGAGCCCCACACCCCCTCCCCCGTCAAGGGGAGCTGCATTCGATGCCTGGGACAAAGAAGGGACAACTTTCTTCCTCAACCTGTTTTTATTTTTTGTTTTTTTCCTCCTTAACAGTGTATGTAACTGGCTCCTCTTTTTATAATTTTTTTTGGTTTCTTGCAGTTTATAGGAATGCAGAGGTAGGCTGTTAGCGAGAGGTCCTGCACTCCATATCTTTCTTAGGGTCTTTTCCTACCTCCACCCAAGCCCTGAGGAAGGGTCAGCATCACCTCCTTGAGATAGACAGGTGCAGAAAAGCAGACCCTGGGGGATAAGATCAGAATCAGTGGGCGCCTAATGCGCATGGCACACCAGGCTGGTCTTCAGAAGTGATGGCAAGGAGGACAGGCAGGGTAGCCTCTCAGATGCAAAGACCAGTAAAGGAAACACCAGCATGCACTCGGCACATATGGAACTTGTTACTGGAAGCAGTTCTGTCTAGAAGCATAAACGGCATAAACAGACTCAGGCGGTTCTGGAGACATCCATGCGTGCCAGATCCAAGGCCCTTCTAAGGGAAAGGTGGGTCTGTCCCCACCTGCAGCTGGCCAGGCAGGGGGTGGAACTCCTAGTCTGCGGCGCTATTCTCTCGTGCCCTGACAGCAAGCAGGGCACCGGAGGCTGGCTTGGTCTGCGGTTCTTCTGTTCTTATGACTTGAACGGTACATTCCACACCATTTCTCTCACACTGGTTTCTCTCTCCCTCTATGTAGGTCCTGCCTAATCATTGGACACGGACTCTTAATAAAACGGTCTTCAGTTCCAGATTCCTTCCCAGCAAGCTATAGCTTAAGTCCATTTTCTTCCGTGAAAGGGACAGGACTCCATCAAGTTATGGAATTCCTCAGAGCCCTGGGCCTGTCCCCTGGGGTGGATTAGTCATGTCCAGCAGCTCACGCCTAGTCCCGCCTCCGGGAAGGCTGCCTGCCTGGCTGCCCGCCCGGGCCTCCTGTGTAAAGACTGCCTGGCTGTCCTGCCCCGCCTCCCTGGTCGTCTGGGGTCCTCTGGGTGGGTGGCATCTCCCAGAGGGTGATGACAGTCCCCCCTGCACACGCATACATGTGGTGCTGCTCCGTGTGCAAGACCCCAACACAAATATGTTTTCTCTCCTCATCCCTCCCTCTTTTTTGGGGACTCTGGATCCTAACTGGTTCCCTCCTGGACCTTGCAATGACGTTAGCCCAGGGAAGATCTCATTCACCCTAAGGAAGAACACTGTAACATCTAGAGCTTCCCCAAGTGAGGAATGGGGCTTTAGAGGCGAGGCCAGCTGGGCCCAAAGGCTCACTGGGGCTGTCCCTCAGCATGCCTTCTCTCTGGTGACCTATAAGGCTCCATTAGCCAGAGGCTGTCACCAGCCACAGCTGATTCACAGCCCCCTGGAGTCCTCCTTTCTGTTTTCATTGTTCCCACTGTTTCTGTTGGGCATTTTCCCAACTTCTTTGGCCTCTTCTCCTAAAGTCACACAGGGAAAGTACTTCCTAAGCTGCCTCCCAGTCCCTCCCTTCCCAGGTACTTAGAAGCAGGCTGCAGGAGCTGCCAGGCAGGCCATTAGTGAGGGGCGTCTGGGGAGGAGTGGCCGTGTAGCCAGTTGACCTGGCTCCTCTAGGCCATCATCCTTTCCTTTGGTGGGGGTTGGGATCTGGGCTAGTGGCAAGAAAGGGTTCTTGAAACCCAGAGCACTGGACCAGTCAGTCGTGAGGGCATCAGAGCCTTCGGGCCCTGTTCCATGCACATGCTAGTCTTCAGTCCCCTAGAGTGATGACAGCTGCTGGGGATGGGGCAGGTCAGGGTGGCCACATAATCCAAGCCCTCTGAGAGGCACTAAATAGGCTTTTTTTTTGCTCTAAAAATAAATGTCGGCCCTTTTTTGGTCATGAATCCAGCATCTCAACAGAAAACTGCCTGATGTGAAAAGTTCCCTGAGGAATAGCATCTGCATTTCAGAGAGCTTTTTTTGTTTTATATATAGTTTGTGTGTACTTCTTCAAGGCCTAACCATCTCCTGGCATCTTGGAGTCTGCCTTCTGCTGGAGCTGGAAGCAGGCTTGAGGAGGTGCAGTTGGCCACCACCTGTGTGGAAACCCTGGCACTCCTCCCCAGCTCCTTGGGGCCTTGGGCCCAAGCAGCTCTAAGTGCCCCAGACTGGCCTTGGACTTGGGTTCCCGGTTCAGCCTCCCCAGAGCCTCCAGGGCCCTGCAGTGATACTTGAGAGTTCCTAGGCTGCTCCCTGATCCTGTAGCCGGTCAGCTTCCAGTCGAACTCATTCGCCAAACAGACTATTTTGAGCTGCCCTTTGGCCTGTTCCTGATGTGTTCCCAGTACAACTCAGCCTGGCTGGGGTCAGGGAGCTTCATGCCCGGAGATTCCCACAGGACAGTTGGGAAGCTGCTGGTATTGTCATTCTGGGAAGATTCTTCTGTCTTAGAACAAAAGTCAGGCTAGATTCCCACAGTGTCGGCCTGTTTGCCTCCCCACTCCTCCTTCCCACTTGTGTGCACATGGGCTGTAGCCACGGGCCAGCTGTCCTGCGTGGTCCTTGCAGCCTCGGTGTCCAGGGATCTCGTCCTTCTTGCCCGTGGGGCTTCCGTCTGGCAGAGAACCTGATCTTTAGATTCAAGCTGTCACCTATGCCCAGTGCCCCAGGAACAGAGCAGAGAGAGCAGAAGCCCACTCACGCCTTGTCGGCAGCCTCCAGCATGCGGACAGTGGGAGGTGCCAGCCGGGCCTGAGGAGTCGCTGTAGGAGGGGTGGGAGGCCTGGGCATCTGCTGGTGCTGAGGCTCCCAGCCGGTTCAGTTGAGGGGCTACGCACCTCTGCCCTTACCTTCTATCCTGTCTCCTTCCCTTGAGTTGTGGGGGAGTGGGGAGGAATCAGTGTTTTAATCAGATTTTACAAAAACGTTTTAATTCTTTGTACAATTACCATCCTATGTAAAGATGAAACTTGTGTTGAGTTCAAGATTTTTATGGAATAAAGATCACACAGTACTTGAGGCCATCTTCATGTAACCCTTTCTAGAGAGTTTTGTGTGGGGGTGTCTTGGGGCTGGTGTGTTGTGAAGTTGTGCACTTCCTGTCTTGTCTTCCTACCAGTAACTCCAGCATGAGGCCCAGGACACGTGAGCCAGATGTGGCTGTCCCAGAGAGGCTCCAGCACCCCTTGGTCCCCACTGCTGGCCCCTTTAGTCCTCTGGTCCTGGTGATCTGCTGTGCACCTCCCACCTTCTCTCCCACTCTAGGCCTGCCCCTCCCAGCACTTCTGTGGAGCCCTGGGATGGCACTCCCAGGGACCTTTCTAAGGCAGCTGAAAGCCACTCCCTGGATCCTTAAGGGCCCCATTGCACTTCTTCCCCTCTAGTTCCCAGGTGGGCCTCTCTGCTCATGGCTGCAGGGAGATGGTGTGGGTTCAGAGCCACTGTCCCTCTTTTGTGATGAAAAAAAGTGTTTCCTCCCAAGGCCATGAGATGACAGGCCACCCCTACCCTGCCCAGCCTTCTCCCCATGACACAGTGGCCTCTCCTGGTCAGACTTGACCCATGACACAGTGGCCTCTCCTGGTCAGACTTGACCCATTGGTCCCCTCCCTCCAAAGGCATGCCAGCGTGCAAGCAGCCGCCCCCAGCCTCCCCAGCTGCAGTTTCTGTTACTGGAATCCATGCTGGGAGAGGAGCCCAGCCTGGAGGAATGCTCTGGCCTCTTTCTCCCACTCCCTTGGGTCAGCAGCCTCTGTGTACCATGCTTTATCCCTGTGTGTGTAGGGTCCGCTTGGTCCTGGGCCTCCAGCCTCTCCTTTTCCATCCTGCGGCTGCCAGACACCCTGTGGCCTGATCCTGCAAATCACCCAGATGGCTCCCTTTTGTATGTGTGACCCTCAAGAGTGTCCTCACCAGCTTTTGTATGTGACCCAAAGAGTTCTGCGCCCTGTATCCTGGCATCTCTCAAGTCTGGACACAGTTCCTGTGTCCCAGGTGTCCCTAGTCGCTGCCATTTGTATGAGACATGTCTGTAGCTGCTGAGTTTTGTGTCACTGTCTTATCACTTGCATGGAATGGTGAGCTTTTGCAGGGAACAAAGTCCCTTCTCATCCCTTTTGGTGACACGTCGCACCAAGGCTGTGCACCTCACAGAAGTTTAGCACGGCCCTCCATGAAGCAGCTTTGGAGCTAGCAGTGGAGCTAGCCCCGCTTTGGGCAAAAGCATGTGTCCTCCAACACCAGCAGCAAGAGCCAGCACCCTGGCAAGGAGCTCAGGGAATGCCAGGCAGAGCCATGAGGTGCCTCTCAGCGACAGGAATCTGAAAGGCACTATGGGTCCTACCTCCCACCTGGTGGTTGGTGACTTCATTTCCTAGCCCTTGAGCACTGGCTGGGCTTTCTCTCCTCTGAGGTTTACACCCAGCAGTGTTTGGCAAGGGGCATCCAGCTGGCAAAAGTTCCTTAGCATAAGCTTCTAGAGTGGGGGCAGAGGGAGTCATGCTGGCTCTTGCACACTCCTCACAGAGACAGGCACACCCCAGATTTATCCACACAGTGGTGGCAGCAAGCCATTGGCTCCTGAGAAACCGGGACACATACTGCTTTCTCCCTGCAGCACACTGACTGTATCTCAACACAGGGACTTCTCTGAGGCCGGTCTCCTGAGAGGAAGGGGAGTCTGGCCAGTGTCGTCCTCCTCTGCTGGCAATGGCATTGAGTACCTCCCCCGTTGGCTCCTGCGTCGTCCAGGGAGGCTGGCTGGCTGGCTGGCTTCTCTCTTCCTCCACAAAGTGCTCATGCTTGTCAGCACTCTCTTCACCTGTCCCATGGCTCTGTGGCCAGGCCTTGGCCCATGCTGGCACCAGTGGTCTTTCTCAGCCCAACTCACGCACCTCTGTTTCGTCTGGGAGGGTGGGAAGGAGCGAGCTTCAGAGGGCAATGCAGTTGGAGGCCACCGAGTTGTTACTTTTTAGCTGTGTGACCAGAGCAAGTCCCTTAACTTCTCTGAGCCTCACTTTGCTAATCTGTAAAATGGACAAGATCATTTAAAACACCATGGTTGTTGCAAGGCAAAGCAGGTTGGGGTGCAGATGCTCAGGTCACTGTAGAGGCTTCTGACCAGCAAATTGGAGGAGAAGTTGGGCAAGGAGTTTTCTCGTAGCTCAGTTCCCAGTGCATTTGGGTGTCATCTTTTAACGGAGCTGGTGGTCCGGAGATTGGCAGGCAGCTTTTCAGTCATGGTCCCTGCTAGGAAAAAGCAGCAGGCAACTGGGTAGGTGGCACCCCACATGTCTTTCCCTCCCCTGTGACCAACTTCCATCCCAGACAGAACCCAGCCACCCTCCCTCTCACTGTCACCGGTCCTTCTCCTGAACTCATCCTCTGTTTTCTCCTTGCTCTGCGTTCAAGGCCAGCTCCCAGTCTTCTCCCCCGTAGGCTCACCACCTTCTCTTTTCCTCCACAGAGATGGCTCCGAAGTCAAAAAAGAAGGGGCACCCCGGGAGGGAGCAGAAGAAGGTATGTGGTTTCGGGGGTGTGCTTTAGCAGGTGAGCAGTGGCCACCTGTCTTTTGGGGCCCTGGAGGGACCCTGTGTCTGACCCAGACGGGTTTGGCCTGCCTGACATCAGCCTGTCTGTCTGTCTGTCTGCAGCACCATCACCACCACCATCAGCAGATGCAGCAGGCCCCGGCCCCTGTGCCCCAGCAGCCCCCACCGCCTCCCCAGCAGCCCCCACCGCCTCCACCTCCACAGCAGCAGCCCCCGCCCCCGCCCCCTCCGCCCTCCATGCCACAGCAGGCAGCCCCTGCGATGAAGTCCTCGCCTCCACCCTTCATCGCCACCCAGGTGCCCGTCCTGGAACCCCAACTCCCAGGCAGTGTCTTCGACCCCATTGGCCACTTCACCCAGCCCATCCTGCACCTGCCGCAGCCCGAGCTGCCCCCTCACCTGCCCCAGCCTCCCGAGCACAGCACTCCGCCTCATCTCAACCAGCACTCGGTGGTCTCTCCTCCAGGTGAGCTGCAACCACACCCGCAGCAGTGTGGGGAGGTCCCCTTCCCACCCTGGTCTTACCACAGTGACAGGGCACTCTGGGCGACCTGCAGAACCCCTCTTAACCTCAGTTGTCTCTAAGGGGAGGTTAGCAGCTTCTGGGGGCCATTATGGAAATTACACGAGAGGCCCCAGAACAGGCCTTGCACAGAGAGAGAGTGCTTTGGGTACAGAAGACACTGATTCAGATCTTCTGCTGGGCCAGGCGTGGTGTGAGATGGAAAAATATGTGATCCTCTGTAGCTCCCAGTCAGGGATAGGGGTTTGGGAGGGCGCACAGTCTCATCCGAGAGCGGACACACCTGTGGGAATCAGGAAAGACTTGCTCTGAGACCTGAAGGGCAAGTGCAGCAGTTGGAGGGAAGGGAAGGGAGGAGAGTTGGGGGCGTGGAGCACGGGGCAAGATGGTGAGGGGCCGGATCCTGTAGAGCTCCCTGGATGCTGTCCTTATTCTGGAGCTTTTGGGAAACCAAGGATGGTGGAGAGGTTGCCAGTTGGAGGGAGACAAGTAGGAGGTCAGGATGGAGGAGAAAGGCTGGACCGGGGACCACGGGGTGTGTGAGCCTCACCACCCTGCTACTGTGTCCTTCCAGCTTTGCACAACGCACTGCCTCAACAGCCATCACGGCCCAGTAACCGAGCTGCCGCCCTCCCCCCCAAGGCTGCCCGTCCCCCGGCCGTATCACCCGCCCTGGCCCAGCCTCCCCTACTCCCGCAGCCCCCCATGGCTCAGCCCCCCCAAGTGCTGCTGCAGGAGGATGAAGATCCGCCTGCCCCACCCCTCACCTCCATGCAGATGCAGCTCTATTTGCAGCAGCTGCAGAAGGTGCAGCCCCCCACACCACTACTCCCTTCCGTGAAGGTGCAGTCCCAGCCCCCGCCCCCTCTGCCCCCCCCTCCCCACCCCTCAGTGCAGCAGCAGCTACAACAGCAGCAGCAGCCACCTCCGCCACCGCCCCAGCCCCAGCCGCCACCCCAGCAGCAGCACCAGCCCCCGCCACGGCCCGTGCATATGCAGCCCATGCAGTTCCCCACCCATATCCAGCAGCCCCCACCGCCCCCAGGCCAGCAGCCCCCCCACCCACCCACGGGCCAGCAGCCACCCCCGCCGCAGCCCGCCAAGCCTCAACAAGTCATCCAGCATCACCCTTCACCCCGGCACCACAAGTCAGACCCCTACTCAACTGGTAAGTGTCCCCCCACCAGCACTACCATCCTGCCCCTGGGCTCTGGGAAGGCTGGCGCTAGGTCCAGAGTTTTGTCCTCAAGAAGCCAGATGGGTCAGTTTGTGCTGCAGGCTGAGATGGGCTCAAAGCTGAGCCTCGAAGGCTCTGGGTTGGTTGGAGAGAGGCAGCTGAAAGGGGGCGATGATACTTGGTGCAGTGTTTTAATCAGGTGTCCATCTTGCATGCAAGCCGAGATGACAGATTTAAGGCCCCAGTGGGCCATTTTCTTGGAACTCACAGTCAAGTGCATTAACAGTGCATTGTGATACCTGCTAGGTGAGGAGGCCAGAAGCCCAGGGGAGGCACCTGCTCTGCCTCTGGGGATTGGGGCAGGCTTCTTGGAGGAGGTGACCAGAAGTTGAGCAGGAGTTAGCTTAACAAACAGTGGGGTGTGAGGTCCAGGCAGAGCCATGAGCAGGTCTGGGCAGTGTGGTCTGTTTGGGAACCTGTGGAAACGGGTGCTCGGCTTTTGGTGTTAGGAGGCCCCCCTGGTGGAGCTGGGAGGGAGAATTAGGCTGAAGCTCACAGGTAGCTCACGACTCACCCAGGAATCATTGCTGTCTCCTGCTCCCAGTCTCCAGCCTGATCTAGGCTGCCATTTTCCAGTCAACAGCATTGGGCAGGCCATGTCCTCTTGCTTTTCTTGGGTACTTGTTTTCTAGGTGTCTCTGACCAAAATGTTTTGGCTGACCACGGTGGGGCAGTGTTCTAGTAGATGCCTCATGGTGTGGTGACACATTGACATTCCTGGACTTGGCATGTAGATCATGCAGCCTGGCTTGGGGGTGGGGTGGGGGGTGGTATCCTGTGAGTGCCGCCTACAAATTGAATAAAGCTGTTGACTTTAGGCTGTGACTGCTCCTAAACCCAGCAAAAGCTGCCAGGTGCCAAGTGGATCACTGTGTACCCTGAGCTGAGAACAGCTGGCTGTCCTCCCTGGGAAAGACCAATGGTGGTCCCAGCAGCTCTGCAAATGTGCCTGTTTTCACCCTCAAGCAAGACAGGGTTTCCTTGTGGAGACCAGTAGTGGGCAGGTGATGAGATGCCTTCGGAAGAGTCAGCACTTGTGGTGGGGCAGGGCAGGTCCCCTCTGGCTACCTTTGCTTAGAGTCTCTGGGCCCATCTCCCCCTGAGTCTCTGTGGCCTGGAATGAGTCACAGGGAGTGACATGTGTTGGAGCGTAGCTGGGGGCTTTGGGCCAAAGACCAAGTTGTTGGAGTCCAGGGAGGTTTGGCAAGCATCCCTGGGCACCAGGCCAACTTGGAGGCACCGCCCCCGCCCCTGAGCTACTGGGCTCCCCTCTAGGTGCTGCTGGATGAAGCTTCCAGCAGGCAGGAGATTTCTGCAAGTCATAGCCCTGAGAACCTGCCATTGCCCAGGTCAGCCTCAGCAGGTGCTCCCAAGGGAACCACCCAGACAGGAGGCTGTTGCAGTTGTGTGTTTGCAGACTGCTGTCAGGCCCAGGCCAAGGCTGCCTGGGTCCCCCCAGCCTTTGGTTGGATGAAGGTGGGTGGGCTGGCCCACTTTCTCCAAGAACCATGAGCCCAACACCTGTTCTGCCAGTTCTGCTGTGGTGTAGGCCAGGTCCAGGCTTCTCCCCATTGTGTGGGCCTTGCAGGTTGAGTTGTATTGGGGAGGTTCCTGGGGATCTAGCCTTAGGCCCGAAGCAGCTGTCCAGGCAGACCGGCCTAGCCACATGGGGATAGCCGGGAGCCCAGGCTGCCTGCTCTGTGGGGTTATTGACATCCCTTGTACTTGACCCAGGCCATACCATAGGACCACCTGGAGAGCTTTTAAAAGATAATCAAGCCAGATCCCACCTGGGACCAGATGTATCTGCGCTTCCTAAAGTTTCCTAATGGAAAGTTTTTTTTCTGACACACAGTGGTATCAAACCACCAGGATTGCGCTCATGGCTCCACAAAGCCCTGCTGCACTCTGAGCACAGGGCCTGACATGCAAGGGACTGAGCCATTGTGGGGCTTCCCTTGGGTTGGGAGGGCCTGGCTGGGCCCAGGGCCGGCGGCCTCCATACCAGACATGCTGATAAGCTCCTTGTCCCTTCTCCTAGGTCACCTCCGTGAAGCCCCCTCCCCGCTTATGATACATTCCCCCCAGATGCCACAGTTCCAGAGTCTGACCCACCAGTCACCACCCCAGCAAAACGTCCAGCCTAAGAAGCAGGTAAAGGGCAGGGCTGGGCCACAGCCCCCAGGGATGGGCGTAGGCTGGGGCCAGGGGCGCCCATCCACCTCACCAGCTGCCATGCCTGTGCTGTCCCAGGAGCTACGTGCAGCCTCCGTGGTCCAGCCCCAGCCCCTGGTGGTGGTGAAGGAGGAGAAGATCCACTCACCCATCATCCGCAGTGAGCCCTTCAGCCCCTCGCTGCGGCCAGAACCCCCCAAGCACCCAGAGAGCATCAAGGCCCCCGTCCACCTGCCCCAGCGTGAGTGCCCTCTCCAATCCCAGCTGAGGTTGAGGCCCCCAGGCCTGCACTGGATGTGAGCTTCCTGTGGGCCGGTCAACCGTGCCCCACTGAGGTGGGTTGGGCCCAGGCCCATGGGCTATTTGTGTTCCAGGGCCTGAGATGAAGCCCGTGGATGTCGGGAGGCCTGTGATTCGGCCCCCTGAGCAGAATGCACCCCCACCGGGGGCCGCTGACAAGGACAAACAGAAACAGGAGCCGAAGACGCCAGTTGCACCCAAAAAGGTAGGAGCAGTGGACCCGTGAGTGCCCCTGACCCCCACCCCCAGGAGGTGCCTTGGTAGCTGTGTCCTCAGACTTTGGGCCTCTCTGGAGGAGTCCAGATGCAGCAGGGTCCCTCACTGGCCCCCTGGTCTCTCTGCCTCGCAGGACCTAAAAATCAAGAATATGGGCTCCTGGGCTAGCCTGGTGCAGAAGCATCCCACCACCCCGTCCTCCACAGCCAAGTCATCAAGTGACAGCTTCGAGCAGTTCCGCCGGGCGGCCCGGGAGAAGGAGGAACGCGAGAAGGCCCTGAAGGCGCAGGCTGAGCACGCAGAGAAGGAGAAGGAGCGGCTCCGGCAGGAGCGCATGAGGTGGGCGCGGGCTCTGGGCAGGTTGTGGGGCTCCCAGGGCTTGCACTCATCCCCACGTGACACGGAGCCCTGCTCTGCTCAGGAGCCGAGAGGATGAAGATGCGCTAGAGCAGGCCCGGCGAGCCCACGAGGAGGCACGCCGGCGCCAGGAGCAGCAGCAGCAGCAGCAGCGCCAGGAGCAGCAGCAGCAGCAGCAGCAACAGGCAGCTGCTGTAGCCGCTGCCGCCACCCCCCAGGCCCGGAGCTCCCAGCCTCAGTCCATGCTGGACCAGCAGAGGGAGCTGGCCCGAAAGCAGGAGCAAGAGCGAAGGCGCCGGGAAGCGGTGAGCTGGGGGACTCTGGTGGGCACTGCTGGGCAGAGATCAACCCCTGGAGGAGTTGAGAAAGGGGACCCTGAACCTGGAGTGGGCAGGGAGGCTCTCCCCCCAAGAAGTGGGGTGCAAGCAGAGAGCCATGGGGTGGGTACTCAGGGCAGAGCTCCTTCTTATGTGCGCCATGCTGGCCTCTGGGCCTCAGAGGTGCTCTGGCCCAGTGCAGGGGAGGTTCTGGGGTGTGGGCCCTGAGGGAATAGCCCATGCTGGAGGTCAGGGGTGAGGGTTTGGGAGCCACAGCAAGGGCAGGACACTGAGTTTCACTTCCTCCTGCTCTCCTCTCTCCTCCAGATGGCAGCTACCATTGACATGAATTTCCAGAGTGATCTATTGTCAATATTTGAAGAAAATCTTTTCTGAGAGCACCTAGGTGACTTCTGACTTTGATTTCCTGGCAAAACGTTGACTCTCCATAGTGTTAGGGGCAGCAGTGGAGGCAGTAGCAGTGGCAAGGGGGTAACTCCGGGCCTGGCTCTCCTGCATGCTATGCCTGGGGCAGGCCTGATGGGCAGCTGAGGACTGCAGAGCCTATCTGCCTTACAGCCAGCCGGACGTCCCGCCACCCCCACCCCCCCCCCCCCCCCCAGGACGTCGGCTCAGAGCACGCCTCGCCACGAGCAAGTGCCGGCCAGACCCAAGCCCCAAGTCCCCACGTGTGGGGCAGAGGCCCTTCTCTCTGCCAAATGTCTACACAGTATACACAGGACATCGTTGCTGCCGCCACCGTGACTGGTTTACTGTCCCCAAGAACGTGACGTTTGTGACGTCCTGCCCGCCGGGAGTCCTCCACACCCCAGCTGCCCCTGCCCACACCCAGGAGACCAGGGCAGGCCTGCAAGAGCTGGAGGTGGCGAGGGCGCTGGCCCACCCCCTTGCTGGCACTGACTTTGCCTTGAACAGACCCCACCCCTCCCTTCCTCTCCCCCCACAAGCCTTTAATCGAGAGCCGCTCTCTGTAAGTGTTCGCTTGTGCAAAAGGGAATAGTGCCGTGGAGGTGTGTGTGTGTCCATGGCAATCTGGAGCGAGGTGACTGTCACACGCGCGTGTGTGGGCCGGCCTCGCCCGGCGAGTGAGGCCACCAACCAAAGTCAGTTCCTTCCCACCTGTGTTTCTGTTCTTTTTTTTTTCTATATATATTTTTTTTGTTGGATTCTATTTTATTTTTAATTCTCTCTTCTCCTCCAGACACAATGGCACTGCTTATCTCCGAAATGGTGTGATTGTCTCCTCATTGAGCGGCGGCTGCCACCGCGCTGTGGGTAGTGTGTGACCGTGGCTGTACTGTGTAGTGAAACATAGTTGGCATATCTTTGTTTGAAGTTTGTTGGTGACTCCACCAAACTGGTGTAAAAAAACTCAAAAAAAAAAACCCCACAAAAAAAAACAAAACAAAACATACAAAACACACAAAAAAACTGCCTATATTTTACTCAGTTTCAAACTTTACTAGTCTATTTTTAATTATAAAACCAGAAAGCCACGTTTTCTTTGCCTTTTTTTTTTCTCCCCGCCATTTGTTGGCTGCTTCTTTGTTTTTTAATGTCAAATCTGTTTCTGAGTTGTTGTTGTTGTGGTTTTTTTTTTTTTTTTTTTTTGTTTTTTTTTTACCAGGAGAGGAAGGGCCAGGGGACGTGGTGGGTGCAAGGGGCCAGGGGCCACAGGCCACAGACTGAGGCAGAAGCTCCCCGCCTGGCGCTTGGCCCTACCAACCGGCTGCCCCTTCCCCTGCTTTTTTTTAATTTTATAATTGGAGCCCTTGGTGAGGTTACATGTGCCATGAGAACCCACTCTACACCATGACGCTGGTGCCTCAGTGTTGGCCAAACTCTGGAGTCACTGACTGGTTTGACTTTCATACGGTGAATATGCATTTGGTCTGTACTGATCATGGAATAAACACATCTCTCTTTTTTAATGCTGGCGTCTCCCTGACATTTCTTTGTGAACCACCTGTTGGCCTAGGCTAGGCCCAGGGGCCCCCCACACCACCTCTGTACAAGATCTACCGACAGGGGACCACGTGTCCTGTCCCTACTGTCCCTGGGCAGGAGCTGACCCCTATAAGCTGAAGCTGTGTCAGGGAGCCCAAGTACCCATTCTTCCTGTGGACCCTGGCCTAGGTTGGCTTCTTCCAGCAGAACCTGGTCAAACTCCAGACAGTGTTCTTCCCCTTTGCCCTTCCTCCATCTTGGTGCCCCACTCGGCCAGAGGACTTGAGCCACTTCTCCTACCTTGCCTGCCTCTACTGAACTACTCCTTTCGTTTAAGCTCAGGGTTAACCAGTTATTCTTAGATAAGTGTACATCCCCCAAAATAGGATCCTCGCCCCCCACTCCCCAAGCACACACACGCACCCATTCCTCCCTGAGAAAGCCTGCCAGGTGGACACCCTGCCAGTCTGCCCGTGTACCCATCTGTACACACACGCCCCAGCCACAGGGCAAAGGCAGTACCCAAGAGCGGCCCCCAGGATGTAGGATGAAAGTATGTGATTTATACGTATGCAAAGACACAAAGTGACTGAAACATTTCCAGCACTGTTTATTAACCCACATCCCACTTTCTGTTTTTCAACCAGAAAGACCCTGTATCTTGTGTTTGGAATCTGCCAAACCTCTCAGCTAATGGTGTATGTAGTTCAGGCATTCAGCCAGAGACCTGCCCCACTCCTGCTACGCAATCCTGCCCCCTTTCCCTCCCACAGCACTTCCTCATAAGCCACTGTGCTGGTTCAAGTGTGACTTATATTTTGGTTCCTTGGGGTTTCCTCCATCTCATCCCACCTCCTCATTTTTGTTCCGTGTTTTGTTCAGAAACTTCCCCAGGCCAAGTCTGACTGTTTAGCTGGAGAAATGGTTTTGTCTGCACCTTCCTTCTAAAGATTTAATTCTGCTATGGCCCTTTCCACACCTCCCTGATGGGTGTTTCTCTTAACTGGGTTGTAATTAGAACTTGGATCTACTATTTAATTTCTCTGGCCATTTCCCAGTCTCTCCCACAGTACTAGAAATCTTAGTTCAATACAAGAGTTAGAGGTGTGTACAAGCCCATACTGTACTGTATGCACGGATCGCTTGGCCAATAATTATGTCAGTGAATCTGAGACTTGTATTAAACACCTTAGACATTTGTAGAAGGGAATTCGTAGACTTTTCACTTATATACTAAAGTTTTTTTTTTTGTGCAGTTCTCATTGCAAAAATAAACATTTGTACTGAATATAAAATTATCATCCTGTGACTACTGCTGTCTTTTTGCTTAAGGGTAGAGATTGGGCGGGGTGGGGGGGGGCGGTAGCAGGAATGTAGGAGTCAGTGTTCTGTAGCAGCAGAAGAAGGGAGGTCCACAGACACCCACCAGCCATGGCTGGTAAATGCAGCCAGGTTAGAGGACTCAGGAGGGATACCGGGATCATCAAGTGGTTGGAGAACTGATTTGGTGGAAAACGTAAATGAAATCAAAGCCATGATACAGGCTAATCATGCAAGAAAAGGTGGGTGATAAATGCAAGGCAAACAAACGTTTGTGCAATATAGACGTCTCCTCCGCTCTGAGATGCATTGTTAATGAAGCAGAACCACATAAACCACTATTTCCCTTTAAATAGGGACCTATGGACTTACTTATGGTCCCAGGACAAGTATAATGTTTAGCAGCTTTGAAAATACAAAGGTAAGGTTAACAGTGGTAGGTGTAAGGGAAGATGGGAGGTGATAAAAATGGGGTAAAGTTAGAGGAAACCAATAGGAAAACTAACCATGGATACAGCTCCTGCAGTGGTGGTGACAATGAGATAGTCAATGCTCCAAATTGGTAATCAAGAAATAGCCACATAAGCACATGTAGAGATAGCTAAGTGTGCGAAAGAAGAAAGCGAAAATCGTTCCAGTGGCTGCCTCCGGTCGGAAGGAAAGATGGAGCCGAAGACTGCTGCTTTTCTCAACTCCTGGATTGCTGTTGAGCCAGCTGTTAGGTTTTAGGCAAATGACATTAAGTCATTTGCCGAATTTCAGGCTCTTGGTCTATAATACGGGAAGGTAATAATAGTACCTACACTTAATAGGGTTGTTATAAGGGTTAAATGATGAGCGACCTTGAAATGTTCAGCATCTTGGGAGGAAGGTTGCGAAACTGGAGGAGGAAGAAGCTGCCCTGCTCGCCCAGCCCTGCTCTGCTTCCTCTTTCGCCCAGAGCCCCAGTGATGCGACCAGCCCCGTTCTCCGGCGGCCGGGGCGGGCCCTGCCCTCTAGGGGTTGGTCTCCCCGCCTTCTTTGGTCGCCATTGGCTGAGCCTCGACCTCACCAACTGCGGATTGGGTCCCGGGCGGGACCTGTCGCCTGCACATCAATGACCGCCATTGTCCAATCACAGCTGTGCAGGGGCGGGCCGACGCGTCCGCTGGACCAACTGGAGGCCAGCGTGGGGTAGAGGCAGCTGGACCACCGTTGGAACCAGGGCCTGGTGAAGGTGCTGCCAGGTCTCTCGGAGCCAGACCGAGGGGAGGGTCGCGCGCTCCAGGGCGGGGAGCCACCAGAGGGGGGCTGGCGACAGGGGCTCCCGAGGCTTCCTTGGGCCGCGGCGACCGCCCGCGCCTCCCTCCTAACCCCAGGCACGGCACTGCCTGTCCCCCCCCTTCCGCTTCCGGGCCCACCTGACCCGCCATATTAGTTCTGACTCCGCCCCTCCGTCTCATTGGCCCGTACCCAGGCCGACTGGCGGCTCAATGGTCCAGCTCTTGCACCCGAGTCATCCAGGCCCAGCCTCGGGCCTTCTTCGCCCAACGTTAGGCCCGCCTTCTCTAGGCTCCACCCTCATTCCCACCCTCCTAAGCCACGCCCCTAACCCATACCACGCTCCTAGGCCTAGTTGGGCCCACCTTTCCAGCTGGTAGGCCGTACCTACCCTGCATTGCCCCGCCCCTTTGCTCTAGGCTCCGCCCATTTCACCCACTGCGCCCCCTGTCTCCCGTTCTTGCAGGACCTGAGCTCCCTCTAGACTTTAGACCCCACCCACACACCCAACTCGGGAGTCCTACCAGGCCCCGTCCGTTTCTTAAGTCCCGCCCAAGCCTTTCTAGGTCCCGCCCACAGCCCTAGCCCCTAGCATCCCTTCTCCCCAAGGCTCCACCCCAACCACACGATCCTGGTCCTCGCAGGCTCCACCCCCGCACCTCAAGCCTTGCTCCCTGTCACTGTCGCGCCTGGGTGTTTACCTAGCCCTTAGGTGAGTCATTCGCGGTGGCGGTTTCGGTCTGAGCCGCCCGCCTCTTCTCTCGGTGTGTTCCTCAAACCCCGACAGCACCGGGGAGCCCCAGACCAAAGGCGGCGGGGTCCCCAGCCCGGATCCCGCCTCGCTGCTGCTGCCCGCGTCCCCCGCCCATACACCCCAGACGGCATCGCGGTCGTCCCAGGACGCGACGACATGCCCGAGCTGGTGGTGACGGCGCTGCTGGCGCCGTCGCGCCTCACTCTGAAGCTGCTTCGTGCCTTCATGTGGAGCCTCGTGTTCTCGGCGGCGCTGGTGGCCGCAGCTGTCTATGGCTGCATCGCCCTCACGCACGTGCTGTGCCAGCCCCGACGCGGCTGCTGCGGGCGCCCCCGGCGTACCCCACCCGCCTGCTTGAGCGACCCCACGCTGGGCGAGCACTGCTTCCTGACTCTCAGGGTGAGCATGCGGGGGCGCCACCGGGGTTTCGAGGATCGAAGAGCCTGTTGTGGGGACGGTGCGGGGGTGGCAAACGGCTGAATACAAGTCTTGGTGCGCACGTGGCCTGGGGGAAGAGGGGTGTTCAAGCCCGGGGAGGAGGAGATTCCCAAGTCTCAGACTGTGCCTTCCCCCAGAGTTCGGGCCTGCGTCTGCACTATGTCTCCGCTGGACAGGGCAACGGGCCTCTCATGCTGTTTCTGCATGGCTTCCCGGAGAACTGGTATGTCTGAGGCCCAGAGACCAGGGACCCACAGGGCTAGGGGGAGGTGAAGCCCGGACCACCAGGGCACCAAGGAGGCAGGGACAAGGGCTGGGCAGACTGGGGGTGCAAAGTATATAGGGTCTAGATAGGGCGCTCGGGGACAGGGGTCTACATGAAGACAGGTGGGGACAGGAGGCCCTGAAGGGATGGGATGAAGAAGTATCCATGTTGAGGCTGCCCTGGATCCATGGCGCAGCCCACCTGCTGCGGTTCCCTTCTGGGAAGTTCAGGGCAGGAAGGTGGGGTGGCCCAGGGCCCCTGCTGGGCGTAGGGCAGAGGTATTCTGGGGACCTTGACTCAGCCTCCCTCCCTGGACCGCCTGGCAGGTTCTCCTGGCGCTACCAGCTCCGGGAGTTCCAGAGCCGCTTCCATGTGGTGGCTGTGGACCTGCGGGGATACGGCTCCTCTGATGCACCAAGGGACGTGGACTGTTACACCATCGATCTGCTGATGGCAGACATCCAGGATGTCATTCTGGGCCTGGGTGGGGATGTGCCCCCATCCCAGCCCTGGTGTCCGTCACCCCTGCCTCACCTCTTCCTGGCATCTCACTTACACTAGTTCCTCTGACCCCCACCCCAGGTTATTCCAAGTGCATCCTTGTGGCCCATGACTGGGGTGCACTCCTAGCCTGGAATTTCTCCATCTACTACCCATCCCTGGTGGAGCGGATGGCAGTGGTCAGCGCTGCCCCCATGTCGGTGTACCAAGGTGTGTAGGGGAGTCCGGGATGCTGGGATGTGCCTGTGTGAAGGGGTGTGTGTCTGTGCCGGCACTTCTTTGTCCACGAGTCAACACTGCAGGGGCTGGGGTCACAGTGGTGAACCTGGGTCTCTTCCCTCGTGGTGCTCCCAATCTACAATCAGTGACAATACAGTGCTCATAGTTTTGTGAGCACTTACAGGTTACAATTGCTTTGACAAGGAGCCTGCATAGAGTAACCTACACAAGCATCCTGAGCTATGAAAGTGTTATTATCCTCATGGTCCAGATGGGGAAGCAGAGGAGAGAGAAGTTAATTTGCTTTCTTCTGGCAGGAAAGACATAGATAGCTAAGCAACTACAATAGCATGAGATGCCATCTCTGGCTACCCACTGTCCATCACATCACCTGATTTGAATTCCCAGAGTTGTAGTCATAGCTGCATGATCTCTCTTTCTCTTTCTTTCTTTTTCTTTCTTTTTTTTTTTTTTGGTGGTGTTCTTTTCTGTCTCCGTCTCCAGCTTCCTGAGGGCAAGGGAGTTTTGTCTCTTCCATTCACTGCTGTGTCTCCAGAGTCTAGAACAGGGCCTGGTACACAGTAGGTGCTCAATAAGTGTTTGCTGAATGAAGCAGGGGAAATGCATCCAGGCCTGGGTGGGGGAAGCACGCCAGTGGCTGTGGGGGCTCCCGGGAGCTGTGGAGGAAAGTGCCCCCATTCTGTGGGTACAGTGACCACTTGTCAGAGAGGCAAGCTGGTGCCTGGGCCAAGAGGAGCGTCCAGTGTCCTCACAGGCTCAGGCCAGTAGCAGTGGCATTCCTGAGTGTTGGCATATCTGTGTGCATGACCTGGGTATGGGTAGAGTGCAGAGGTGTGGGGCCACCCGAGAGCCAGGCCTCATGCCTGCCTTCCCCTCCCCCCAGACTACTCTTTGCACCACATGGGCCAGTTCTTCCGTTCCAACTACATGTTCCTGTTCCAGCTTCCCTGGCTTCCCGAGAAGTTGCTGTCCATGTCTGACTTCCAGGTGCAGTAGGGTGAAGGCCCAGGGCTGGGTGGAGGGTCGTGGGTGGGACTGAAGGCAGCGTCCTGCTGTGTGCTCAGATCCTGAAGACCACCCTCACCCACCACAAGAGGGGCATCCCACATTTGACCCCCAACGAGCTCGAGGGCTTCCTTTATGGCTTCTCACAGCCTGGTGGCCTCACTGGGCCCCTCAACTACTACCGAAACCTCTTCAGGTAAGGCCAGACCCAGGGCAGAAGCTCAGGAGAGTTCTGGGGGTGCGGGTGGGGGCAGTCGTCTTTCTGCCTGTCTGTCTGTCTTGATCACAGGACCTTCCCCCTGGAGCCCCAGGAGCTGGCCACACCCACCCTGCTGCTGTGGGGGGAGAAGGACCCCTATTTTGAGCAGGGGCTGGTGGGGGCCATCAGCAGCCGTTTTGTGCCAGGCCGGCTGGAAGCCCACATCCTGCCAGGCGTGGGGCACTGGATCCCCCAGAGCAACCCTGAGGAAATGCACCAGTACATGTGGGCCTTCTTGCAAGACCTGCTGGACTAGCGGCGCTCGCTCACTGGCTTGCATGCACCCGGGCGTTCTCACAGTGTATTTACACGGGTGAACTTCTGATGCACACAGGTGTGGAGCTCCTAGATTGCACACAAGTGTATCTGTGGGTGCCCTCAGGCGCACCATCCCCATATGCTCACGCACAGTCATGAGTGTATGCATGTGTGAGCAAGCACTTTGACCCCAGGAACCAGGTACGCCTCTCTGTGGAGCCGGATGCTGAGTGTCCCATCTCTCCCCTCCATGAGGCCCCACTCTTCTCACCAAAGGCAGTGCCCAGAGTTGCATAGACCATGAACTCTGACCTGGCTTCCACCTCCAGTCTGAGTCTTCAGCTAAATACTGCTCTGTCCAATATAGTACTGGTAGCCACGACTGGTTATGTCAATTTAAATGCCAATTAATTAAAATTAAATACGATGAAAAATTCAGTTCCTCAGTCACACTAGCCATATTTCAAGGGCTGAATTGAATCAGAGTAGAAAGTTCTATTGGACAGTGCTGATGAGGGTATTCCTAGCTTAAGAGTAGGGGGCTGGCTCCTGACACCTCACCAAGGGAGGACCATCATGGGCAGGCAGGTGGATGTCCAGACTCCTCTCCAGCCAGGCCCTGGGCAGCTCCCATGATCTCCCTCCTGGTCATGACTCCAGGCCTTATGAGGTCAAGTTCTCTCGCCACTGCCTGGGAAAGATCCCTGGAAAAACAGCTCTTGGCTCTGTTAGGATATGTGAGATTCTGGACTCAGCACAGGAAGGGACCAGCTCCCTGAATAGCCATCTGGGGTCTGAGGCCTGTCTCTCCAGTTCCCGGAATCTTCTGTTCCAAATTAACCATAGCTGCTGCTGATTCTTTCTGGGGACTCCTGGCTCCAGCCTCCAAGTGAGGGCCATACAAGCTGAAGGTGAACCACCCAGCCCCAGGCTGGTCACAGCAGTAACTTCTATCTCCCTAGCGTTTTCCTGGCCTCTGGGAACACTGTCATGACTTGCAGCAGCGTGATAAATCAGTCTGGGGACCCAGCAGACCTCAGAAATACATTCTCTTATCTCTGGGATGGGCCTGCCTGGCCAAAGCCTGCCTGCTGGTCACCCGCTCTGTCCTCCCTTGTCCCCAACGTAACATCCTTTCACTCATCGTATGTGTCAGGAGCTGTTCTAGGCCCTAGGGATAGGGTGCGAACAAGGACACAGCCCCCATTCTGGAATTAACTGAGAAGAGGCAGAGAGAGCTATGCAGGTGTGTGACAGGGCTCAGGAAAGACTTCCCTACCTGGGGTGCAGACCTTTCAGGGAGTGGGAAGCAGTAAATAGGAAGGTCAGAGGCTGGAATAAGCTTGGGCTACTGGAGTTAACAGCGTGGAGATTAGTGCCTGCTGCAGCAGAGCGAGAGGGGGAGGCGTGTGGAAGAAGAGGCCACAGCCAGACCGCCAGGGGCTTCGAAGAGTTTGGATTTGATTCTCAAGGGAAGCCAGGGAGGGTTTTCAGCAGGGGAGGGACATGGTTTGCATTTTGAGAAGCTCCTTGTAGCGGCTGAACAGTCCCACGCAAGAGCGAGAGTGAGGAGACAGGCTCAGGGCTGCGCACAGCTTCAGGACCGGACGGTCCAACAGCCCCGACAAGAGCCGGGACCCCCAGGGCCCTACACATCCCGACCCCCGCCAGGGTGGGAGCAGTGCCCCTCTGGGGCCGGGGAGATGGGCGAGAGGAGGAGGGAACCCGGGACCTCAGCTTGGGGCGAAGGTTTGGGGCGAGGAGGCCTGCGTGCAGGATGAGGACCGTGTGTCCAGGGGGGGCGGTGGGTCTGGTGACCGTTGCCAGGGTGACGGGGAAAGGGCTGATGGTTAACCGGAATGGGTAGCAGTTGTCTGGGTGACCGAAGAGGCCCAGGAGAGGGCTGACGGGAGGCCTCGGACAGTTGCCGGGGTGACAGGGTCCGCTGACGGTTGCCAGGGTAACGAGAAGGCGCCGTCTTCCTCCTCCGCTGCTGCAGGCGGGAGAAAGGCGGTGTGGTGGGGAGGGGAGAAAAGCGATCGCGTTGATTGGGCAGAGTCCTGGAAAGTGAGCCAATAGCGACTAGTGGCTCGGCCGAAACCCGCCTCTCCCAGCCTGAGCCAATCCGGGAGCGTCTTTCTTAGAGCCAGGGGCTCAGAGACCTCATCACTTCATGAGGGAGCTGGCCCCCGGAGGGTTTGGACTCTGTCTGAGGCCCCTTCCAGGCTCAGCCTCTCCCTCTCCCTCTCCCTTCTCTGAGGTCCCGCCTCCAGATCACCTTACATCCTTTACTCACTCATCATTCATTCATCCGCTCACCCACTCATTTACCTGTCCTCGCTACCAGCTGTAATCCGTGGCCCCGCACCAGAGGAGGGATGGGGGAGACAAAGCCGGGCAGACTCTCCCAGCCCTAGGTGGTCAGGCCTGAGTGGAATGCGGGCCGGGGGGTGAGGGGTGGGGCACCTACCTGGAGGAGGGCAGGGAAGGCCTTAGAGCTGACTCCTGCAAGAATGTGCTCCAATCCACAGAAGCCTCCCGTGCACGGGTGATTTAGCATTTCTGTGAGACTGGGAGGAATGTTTGGGATAGGAAGACATGGGATTACAAAGGGCTTCGAATGCCAGGCCAGGAGCTTGCTCCCAGTGTGGTGGGGACCGCAGGGGAGGGTCCCGGACAGATCTGTGTGTCTGGAATATTACTTCGGGGTTGGTGAGGGGGCAGGACCAGGGACGGAAGATTGAAGGTGGGGAGGCCTGGAAGGAGGATGGGCATGGTCCAGGCAGTAGAGGACGAGGTCTAAGTCCAGGCACTTGGGGGAGGAGCAGATATGCAGGGAAAGCCAGAAGCAGGTTTGGGGCATGTTCAGCCTGAGGGGGCTGGACCCCTGAGGCAGGGACCTAGAAGCACCTTTGTCTTTAATGGGTTAAAGACAAAGATGACCGAGCAAGCATCCATGTACCGTGGGGTAGAAGGGCACTGAAGCTGGGAGAGAGAATGAAGTCTCCCCAGAAGAAAGTGGAGAACAAGACTGGAGACTGAGCCCTGGAGGCCCCCAACATCTAAGGGACAGGCAGAGGAGAGAAACCAAAGAGGTAGGAGGGGAAGCAGGTAAGCATGATGCCTCAGCAGTGGGGGGGGGGGGGGGGGTCAGGAGGAGGGGTATAGCCCATGGTGTCAAAAGCTGCTGAGAGATTGAGAGGATTGAGCCATGCAGATCATGAGGGAGGAAACCTGAGAGTGGGGGCTGAGGACAGAGGGCTTGGATGCTCTGAATGTGGTTAAGCAGGGATGGGAGGGAAGAGTGGGGACCCCAGTCAGGATCCTGGAGGGAACAACTGGCACATTCAAATGGGACAATTTGAGGCAGGTTTGCTTCAGGGACCGTATACAGCAGGCAGGGTTTGGGGAAACCAACAGGGGTTAGTGCAGCACCCCCAGCGAGCACCCCTGGAGAGCCATTACCATCTCCGGATCCCCCTGACCTGACGGGGAAAGGGGAAGGAAGGATGTTAGCAGAACTCAGGGAGAGGTTTGTGTGGACTATGTGGACAGGGCCTTTGGTCAAGCAACACAGTCAGCCGAGGTGGTGACCCTACAGGGAAAGATACAGGAGAATTAATATCGTGTTCTCTCCTCCCCCCCCACCCCCACTTCATCTTCTGCCAGTGCCTCCTATTGGCCAAACCCACCTGGAAGCCCGAGGACAAGGATGTCCGTTGATATAGTCTGTAGAGGTCAGCCTCTTGGGGCATAGAGCAGAGCGGAGAAGGGGAAGAACGGAGGGAGCAGTGCGGGGGCGGGGGGAGATGCAGGGGAGAGAGAAAGGAGCTTGGGGAAGGGCTGTGTGTGTGTGAGATGAGCATTTGCTGCAGAGTTCACTTTGTCACAGAAGAGACCTCAACCTCTGGCCACAGGAGGAGGTAATGAAAAGCCCTAGGAAGGTGCTCCCCTTCTCTGAAGCAGGAGGAAAGGTGGGAGGACAAGTGCCACACCTGCAGGAAGGAAGGAAGACAAGTTTCAGCAGCCAGGGAGGCAAGGAGGCAGTTAAAGGACATTGGAGTGTCATAGTTCAGAGGTGAGCTGGAGGAGGTGGGGTCCTGGGTGAGGCCATGGACGAGGAAGGGTGGAGTGGTCTGAGCCCAAAGCCCAGGAGGCCAAGACCTCCATTGGATGTCCTGCCCAGTGGAGGGTCTTAAGGCAGGGAAACCCCTGCCTCCACCCCAGAAGGGATGGGGTATGGCCTCCCTGCTTCCCCTGCCCAGAGCGGCAGAACCAGTAGGTGCTTGATTACAGTTAAGTTCCCTTCTTTTCCTTCCCCTTTCTTCCACATTCAGCCCTCACATCCACTCCTCCTCCAGGAAGCCCCACCAGCCCCCATCCCTTCCTCTGACTGAGCTCTGATCTAACAGAGGCCAGACATGTCTGTGTCCAGACAGGGACATCTCAAAGGCTGGCTCTGAGCAGGTTCGGGTCCCAGCTCCTGGGTCCTGCTCTTCCCCCGAGATGTGCTGGGTATATTCATTCATTCAACTGACAATTATTTTACCTACTATGTGCCAGGCTCTGTGCTAGACATTGGGGATTCAGTAGTCAGCAAGACAGAGGCCCACAGAGCTCAGAATGACATGGGAGCCAGGTAGGGTCACATGGAGTGGTCGGAGTTGAAACGGAAGAGGCCGTAGGAGCCAGAGGAGACCATGGGAAACTGCAGGGAAGGTTCCCTGGGAGAAGAAATGGCAGTGTTATTTTTTCCAGCCTCGATCACATCAGCTTCCCCCTGCTAAAACCCTCCAGTGGTGTCCACTGTACTTTTCATACAACCCCAGACCCTTTGGCCCCTTGGAACTTGGCCCCCATCAGCTTTCCTGAGCTCCCTCCCCTTGCTCACTCTGCACTCAGCACCCTGGCCTCGTTGCTGTTCTTCTTTTCTACCCACCCCTTTCTCCTCTGGGCCTTTGCACTTGCTGTTCCCTCTGCCTGGAACACGCTTCCAGGCTGTTTGCCTCGCTGGCTTGTTCTCCTCCTTCAGATCTTAGTTCTAATGTCCCCTCGTCAGCGAGGCCTGTCCTGACCCCCTAGAACTGAAATCTCTTCATCTCTCATGCACATTCTATAGTTCTTATTTGTTTGTCTTCTTGTTACTTGTTTGTCTCCCCTATCAGGGCAAAAACCTCTGTCTTTGTCACCTCTACCTATCATAGGGCCTGGCACCAAGTAGTTACTCAGTATACGTTTGTCAAATGACTGAATGAAGGCGAGAAGAGCTGGAGGGTCAGAGTGAGCCGTCAGGTGAATGGAGTCTCCCGAATATGAGAAAGGTGTTCCTGGCAGTGGGCACAGCCTGTGCAAAAACCGGGAAGCCTGGGAGACAGGGAAGGGGAACTGGCAAGGTGAGGAGGGTGTCACTCTGGGCAGCGGGGAGCCAGGGAGGCAGTGGCCTTGAGCCACTTGAGCATGAGAGAGCCCCAGGGAGGCAGTGGCCAGGATAGCTGGCTGGGTCTGCAGCCCACAAGCCCTGGGATCCAGCCTTCCCACTGTTGCCCAGGCCCCATACCCACCAGCTCTCTCTCCTGCTGGTTCTTGTTGGGCTCCCATGGCCCACTGCCTGGGTGTGACAGCCTGGCCCTAGCTTCCATGTGTAGAGGACAGGACTGTGGTCCCAAGAGGATAAGCCGAGGGCACGTTCTCAGGTTCCCGGTCAGTGGGCCTGGGCCCAGCAGCTGTGTCTTGGCTTGGCCCCAGGACCCGCATCCCTGGGGACTGAGCTCATTGAGGAGAAATGCAGTCCCTGGCCAAGGCAGCCGGCAGGGGCAGGGGAGACAGCTCAAGCCCACCCCTACCCCCACCATGTTGGGAACTGGGCAGCTGTCTGCTGCAAAGCCGTGGGAATAATTGCTCTGACTGTCCTGTCCCTCAAGGATCCAAACACCTTGGGCTATTCCGGCCACCGTGGCTGGAGGGCAGCAGAAACCTGGAGAGGGGATGCTCACCTTCTGCCTTGCTGAGTGGGTGCCCTCAGAGTTTGGAGGCTTCAGAAAGGGACTGACACCAGTAGGGTATCTTCCTTTTGTCCCCACTCCTCTGATGCTGTACTCACCATTATTGCTCCCTCTCTGTCTCTGTCTGCCACAGACCAGGGGCCATTGGATCAACAGGGTAGCAGACTTTGGACTTCCTGCCTAGCAAAATGTGTGTCCAGGTTCTTGGTTGCTCCTTGTGACAGGGAGATCAGCACCTATTAGAGCATCTCTTCCAGCAGAAAGTCCTTTCTCAGATGGGTCAGGGGAGGAGCTAGCCCCCACTGCTGAAGACCCTATCTTTGCCCCCTGGACCCCTAGTCTCTGGACCCCCAGATCCCTAGAATGGTACTGAAGAGAATGGTCTGGGCCCCCAGTGGTGGCTCTTCTGGGCTAAGCATCCCAAGTCCTTCAGCCACTTCCGGAGTCACCAAACTCTCCCATGTTGCCCCCTCAGTGCCCACCTCATGCTGGGTGATGCCTGGCGCCTCGGGAGCCCCCAGTATAGAGGAGCAAAGAAAGAGCAGTATACAGACACCCCCAGCCCCCTGTGGACAAGGCCGAGCGGTAGGGCAAGAGGGCACTAGCAGAGCTGGTGGTGGGGAGCAGAGAGGGCTTCCTGGAACTGGAATCTTGAAGAATAGGAGTTCATCAGGTACAGGAATGGAGGACGGATAGGCATGCTAGAAAGAGGGACCAGCATGGAGAAAACAGTGGCATGTGCAGGAAGTAGTAGAGCATTCCCCGTAACTAGAAGGAAATGCATTTTTATTTATTATTTTTGGCCACGCTGCGTGGCATGTAGGATCTCAGTTCCCTGACCAGGGATTGAACCCGGGCCACGGCAGTGAAAGCCTGGAATCTGGGACTTCCCTGGTGGTCCAGTGGCTAAGACTCCAGGCTCCCACTGCAGGGGGCCCAGGTTCGATCCCTGGTCTGGGAACTAGATCCTACATGCCGCAACTAAGAGTCTGCGTGCCACAGCGAAGATCTAGCACGCGGCAACGAAGATCCTGCGTGCCGCAACTAAGACCCGGCGCAGCCAAATAAATAAATATTTTTTAAAAAGAAAGAAAGAAAGCCTGGAATCCTCACCACTAGGACACCGGGGGAACTCCTATGAAATGCATTTTTAAAGAGAACACATCTGCTGTGAGTTCCTGCTTGGGGAGGAAGCAATGCAAAAGGGGCCTTCTAACTAGCTGGGTGTCCCAGGCAGAAGGAACAACCTGAGCAAAGGCCATGAGAGTGCAAAGCCTGCTGGGTGAAGATGGAGTTTGCCTCAGTGTGATGATGAAGGGGACAGGAGGGGCTGGAGAGGGGCTGAAGGCTCTGAAAGCAGGGCTGGGGGGCTTGGATTTCCTCCTGGGGTGACGGGCATGGGAAGGACTTAGGCGGCACCTGCCCCATGGGCCTGTTGACTCAGCACACTCACAGTGAGTAAGCCCTTCTTATTGTGCAACTCTTGTCCTTTTCTCTGCCCAGTCCCCACCCCCATTCCCATCCCTTTCACTCCATGTGGCCTGGAGTCACTCAGACTTGGGTTCAAATCTTAGCTCTTCCTCTAGAAAGCCTTCAGCAAGTCACCATAAGATGGGCAGATACCCACCCCCATGGGGGCTGACCCATAAGATGGGTGGATAGCTCTCCTCCCAGATGGAGGTTGCACTCATAAGTTGAGAGTGGCAGGACATCCTCAGTTCCTGTCCCCTGTGGCTGGGCTATCTGCCAGCCTCAGCAGGGCTGGGGGTCATCTCCCATACTGGGCCTGGTCATTTGTGACTGTCTCCCACCTTGGTGCCCCATGCTTAGGCCCAGTGTTTAGCTGCCTCATGGGCGACGCTCAGGCTCCTCGGTTTCAGCACCTCACCCCCAACCCATTCCTCCCTGCAGCCTCATCACCGAGCCAAATACTTACAGGGTCAGCCTGGCCTCTTCCTCCTCCTCCTCCTCCTCAGGGCCAGCCCGACCCCTGAGCTGCCCACTCTCCCCTCCCTCCCGACTTGACTCTGCCCCGTCCTCTGGGTGCAGACCTGTCTCTGCTGGGATGCCTTTCTTCCAGTTCTGGGCTGAGCCCCTCTGAACCCTTCTCAGTGACGCCCTCCCTGGGAGAGGAAACTGTATCCCCAGCCTCTGGAACAAAGCCGGACATAGAGCTGGAGCTTTATATTTATTTGTTGAATAAATGAATGAATGAATAAGTAACCCCCCCTCCCCCAGCAGAGCCCTCACCGACCCCTCTGCATGCCCTCCACAGATTCGTCCCTCCCTCTGGCCCAGCCCTAAGCCCACAGTGCTGGGGGTGTCTGTGTCTGTTTTTTTCTTCCCTAGACTGAGAGCTTCTCTAGGGCTGGGCATGGGGCCTTTCTGGGACCCCCATTCTTGCCACAGGGACAGAGCCCACTGCAGGGTGGCTTTGCAGTATGACTGATTTTGGAGAAGACAGTTTGATCAAATTGAGCAAGACTGGCTGATTGGCAAAGTTGTGTAGGGTATGGGGTGGGGCTGGGGGGTGGGTTGGACTTTTGGGGTTCACACAGGGTAGTGAGGAGGAAGGGGTTGCTTTCAGAGAGGGCTGAGAGTAAGAAGGGTTGTGGGTGTTTGGTAGCACACATGACTCCTAGCCTGTGTCTGAGGTCCGAGGCTGCAAAAATCGCCTAAGGCTCAAGGTCTGACTGGGCCTGAGTTTAGAGTTTGTGAGTGTTTCAGATTTTAAGTCCCCAGGAAGCTCTGTGCATGCCTCTGCATTTGTGCATCCTGGCTGTGTGTTCATGAGCCTTGCAGGACGTGCCTGGCTTCAGTTTCGGGGTGTCGGGGGTGGGGGAGTATCTGTGTTTGTGTCTTGGCTCTGTGTGTGTCTCCCGCTCTGGATGGGTGTTGGGGAGCAGGGGTGATGTTCAGGAGGCTGGGTGTGTCTGTCACGCTGGTTGGGCCCGCGTCTCACCGCATAGCTGGCCTGAATTTCCAAGAGGGTCTTCGGGTCCCAGGCTGTGTGGGTGGAGGGTGGGCAGGGACCCCGGGAGGCCAGGCTGGGGGCGGGGGAGCTCAGGGCTGGCCCCGGGGCGGAGCGAGCCGCCCAGGGCTGGGGGCGGGGCTGTCCGGCAGTCTCACTTCAGCGAAGTTGGCGGCGCGGAGGCTGGCCCCGGACGCGCCAGGAGCCCAGGGAAGGAGGGAGGAGGGAGGAGGGAGGAGGAAGGGTCGCGGCCGGCCGCCATGGGGCCGGGGCCCCGGGGCCGCCGCCGCCGTCGCCTGATGTCGCCGCCGCCACCCCTGCCGTCCGTGCGGACGCTGCCCTTATTGCTACTGCTAGCGGGGCCGGGGGCTGCAGGTGAGGGGCCGGGACCTGGCGGGCGGGATGGGGTGAGTGGGTGGGGGAAGGGTAAGAACGGAGTGCCAGGCCTCCCCGAGTCTGGGGCTGGCGGGCCTGGGAACCAAGGACCAGAGAGCGGAGACAGGGAGCGCAGGAGCCCGGGGACTGTGTGGCAGTCCCGGGGGTCAGGGACCCAGAATTGGGAGTGGGGGCGAGGCAGGACCCCAGAAGCCCGAGGAACTGGGGCCCAGGGGAGATCTGAGCTGGGAATGAAGGGACACAGGAGCCCAGGACTGGGAGCTCGAGGTGCGGGGATCAAGATTGGCGCGGGGGGTGGTGGTGCGGGGGCGTGGGTAACCAAGAATCTGGGGCTCTCTCACAACCTACGCCCGTCTGGAGTCCTGGGAAGGTCACGATTGGAACCCAAGTACCCCTACGTCGGGGACCCCTCACACAAAAGCCCCCCACCCTACTCCGAGCAGGGCTGGCCGGGCGGGGGGCGGGGAGGTGGCGCGAAGTTCTCGGAGCTCTAAACTCGGAGAAAACTTCCCAGGCCGGAGCGCGGCAAGACCCGGACCCGGACCCAGAGCTGGAGCTGGAGCCAGAGCTGCGCCCGCGCCCCTTCCCCCGCCCGCGGCCCCGCTCCCGCCCCTGGCTGCCAGGACCGGACGGCCCCGGGACCCCGTCCCCGCCTTGGGAAGGGAGGGGAGGGCAGGGGGCGCGAGCCCACGTGCTCCTCTCCGGCTCCGGCGCCCCTCCCCGCAGCCCGAGCCCTACCCAGCCTGCCGGGGGACCCCACCCCTCCCCCTCCCCACTCTCCCCTCCCCCGCCCGGGACAATGGCCGCGCCGTCTAGACACCCCCTCCCCCCGGCCAGCCTCGCGCTTTCTTTGCCAGACAAAGCGGGACAGCGGCGGGGCCCGGGCCGGGGCTGCAGAGGTGCACCCCGTAAAGGGAGGCCTGGCCGGCAGGGAAGGGATGCGGGCCGAGTGGCCCTGGCCCTGGGTCTCTGGACCCTGACGTGGGGCTCAGCACTGGGAGGGGTGGGGGCTGCGGGAGGAAATGGGCCTCCCCAGCTCAGCCCCGGGGTCGATGGGGCAGGACCAGGCAGGAGCAGCCGCCCCCGCGAGGCCAGCGCACACCCACATGGCCTGTCACACATTCACAGGACACACAGTCTTGGGTCGCACATGCAGAGATGCGGACGTGCGCGTGTGCACACACGCACAGAGTACACCTGCAGAGGAATACACCCAGCTCACACTAGGCACAGACATACACAGCTCACGCGTTCACACTCGCATGCACATACAGTGACACATGTTCACACATACCCTGCACCACCAGCCCAAGACCTCACACACACTGCCTGCACACACTCAGATGCACATAGATGGAAGGACATGCCTACACCCAGCTCACACATGCAGACAGACGGGCCCATCCAACCCATACACAGACACACCCAGGCACACAGAGGTCACACACAGACACACAGCTATATACCCAGATACATAGTTCACATACATGGACACACAAAAAATTTCAGTCTATAAACCTCTACATCCATGCAGGTCGCGCAAACACACATGTGGCTCACAGGGCCCACAGCTCAGCGGGGCCCACGGCTTGTGTCATGTGGCCCCCAGTGTGAGTTCGCAAACACCCACGGGCTCCTGTCTGGGTAATAGTGTCCTGTCTGCTTGTCCCTTGAGGAAGGGGACAGAAGCCCTGTTTGGTGCATTCCCATGTCCAGCTTAATTTGTTCTATCTCTCCCTTTTTTTTTTTTTTTTTTTTTTTGGCACTACGCGGGCCTCTCACTGTTGTGGCCTCTCCCGTTGCGGAGCACAGGCTCCGGACACGCAGGCTCAGCGGCCATGGCTCACGGGCCCAGCCGCTCCGTGGCATGTGGGATCCTCCCGGTCCGGGGCACGAACCCGCGTCCCCTGCATCGGCAGGCGGACTCTCAACCACTGCACCACCAGGGAAGCCCCTATCTCTCCCTTTTTATCTGTCTCTGTCCATCTCTATCTCCCTTTTTAATCTGTCTCTGTCCATCTCTATCTCCTTCTCTCTGTCTGCCTGCTTCTAGTTTCCTCTTTTATGTCTGTCTCTGTTTTTCTAATTTCCTCTTCCTCTCCCTTTCTCTCTCTCTCTCTCTCTCTCATACATGCACACACAGGCACACATGCACACAGCAGCCCCACACCTGCTGGCACACACAATTCTCCACTAGCTCACACCCCGCCACACCCCTGACCCATCTGACAGGACAGTTCGACTGTGCCACACCCCAGAGGGACATAGCCCTCAGGGATGGCGACGCCGGACAGGGCAGCCCACATCTTGTGCTGGCTGCCCCTCCCTTCAATACAAACCCTATCCCTGCAACACCCAATGCTGGAGGCACATGGAGTACATGCCTTGGCATCTCTCCCCAGACCTAGCACACAGGCCTGCCCAGCTGGAGTAGATGCCCAACATCAGTGGAAGGAAGACCCATATGCCCCTAGGACTCCCCGCCACTGCCCCCTCCACAACCCCAGGATCTGGGCACACAGTCCCAGACCTCCCTTCAACACTCAGCAGCACCCTCACTTCCTGCCTTAGCATCCCCCCCCACCCCGCATTCTGGCAGCTTCTGAGTGCCCACATCTGGCATAAGTCGGCCCCTTCTGCCCACCCCTGCCTTGTGGTTCCCAGGGCTCGAGCTGGCAGGGACAGCTGCAGCCCTAACAGCTGGGGCCAGGGTGGGGGGCCGTGGGAACTGTGGATGGGGGGCTCCCAGCACTCGCAGAGACGCCCCCAGCCTGGCGCAGCTGTTGCCTGGGGGAGGAAAGGAGGGAGTCTCACTCTGGGCTGGGGTTCCTGGGTGCCTTCCTGACACCCCCACCTTCCTTCACCCCTACCCAGCGCCCCCTTGCCTGGATGGAAGCCCGTGTGCGAATGGAGGTCGCTGCACCCAGCTGCCCTCCCGGGAGGCTGCCTGCCTGTGAGTGCCTGGCTCTGAGCCATGAGTGGGCCCTGTCTGGGGAGGCGGTCTGTCTTCTCCCCCTGCCTCTGTGTTCATCACAGAGGCTTCTACCACTTCCTACATGTGTGTGGCTTGGGCAACCCCTTGTTTCCCCACTGAATGCTGCAGAGTTGGGAGCAGAGGCTCTGGAGTCTGCCTGGCCTGGGTTCAAATCCCATATCATGTTGCTGATGGCCTGAGACTTAAAACTCTTTAAGCCCCAGTGTCCCAGTCTTGAAAATGGGCCCACCAACGCCAACTTCACAGAATTCTCTGCTGCCTGAGGTCTTGTGTAAATCCCCTGATGGACAGGTAGTTACTCAATCAACAAATTTTCAGGCACTAGTGACAGTGGCTTGGTAGTAGTGGGTACGGCATCGGCACATTCCCACATCTCAAGATTCAGTGGTGGGGACACAAGAGCCCTGATCTGCCACTTTCTTGCTGTGTGACCTTGAGTGAGTCACTTCCCCTCCCTGAACCTCATTGATCTGTGACACAGGGTGCTTCTCCCTGGCTTGTGACCAGAAGGGGCCCCCAAAGTGCAATGTTGGATAATGCAAGGAAAGACAGAGGATTGCGGGAGCAGGGCAGGGCCTGGGATATTGCTGAGCAGAGGCAGACAGAGCTCAGTTTGAATTCTGGGCTCAAAGCAAGTGCTTTGAGCTCTCTGTGCCTTAGTTTTTGCATCTGGAAAATGGGGCAATAATAGTTCCCTCCTTTATGGGGCTGACTGTAAAGACTGAGACCCTTCCTATGGTGAAATCAGCATGGTGTTGGGCATTCAGTAAATGCTTAATAAATGGGATTATCATTATTAATAATGGTAGGGACACAGGAAATAGGTGCCATAAGGTGGAACCTCTCAAGGTTATGGGTAAATGCTTGGTTCCTTTCTATAATATTATTAGTAAAAGCAGCTCACCCACTAGCCGTGGATCGATTCATTAATGTATCCATTTATTCAGCAACATGTGTGCCAGGTCCAAGCTGCGTGGTCTGGGTTGACATTAGAGCCCCTCTGAAGTTACACACGCACTTTGGAGCACCACTGTGGCTCCCCTGGGCGGGGGTCTTAGCCTGGTTGAGCGGGTTCCTCGGGTTGGGACGGTGGGAGTCGGGGGTAAAGTGGGACCTTACCCAGAGCTACTCATCTGGGAGGCGGAGCCGCGTGGCCGGGCGCCAGCGTTTGGAGCTCCGCACCTGGAATGCTGCCGACAGGTGAATGCGCCCGCGGCTGCCCCGCCCCCCGACAGGTGAATCACCGGCCCGCGCGGCGGCCCGGACCCCGGATCGCCCGGAGTGGAGAGAGCTCAGTCCCCAGACCTGGGCCGTGGGAAGCACTCCCCACGCCCCCCACCCCCAGTCTCCTTCAAGGTTCCAAATTCTCGTGTCCTTTCGGGGTCGCCCCAATCTGTCACCCCTCCATGGATCCCCCAACTCTCCCCTTCAAAGTAGGCTCTCAAATCCTTGTCTCTATCTCTTAGTGCTCGCCTCCCCAGCTAGTCCACCCCGCCAAGTCTGTGCTCCCCCCGCCACACACACACCCCTGCCCCCGCCCGTCTCCCGCAAAGCACAGGCGGTTGGGCGGGGCGCGGGCGAAGCTGGAACCAGCCAGACCGGTCGGCAGGGGCGCGGGGCGCAGAGCGTGGGAACCCGCCCGGGGCGCCGGGAGGGGGCCGCGCGGCCACGCCCTGCCTGACGTGGGCGGGGGGCGGTGCGCAGTTCTCGGCGCCCAGAGCAGCACTTCCTCTCCCGGCGAGCAGTCTTGGCTGCCGTCCTTGGCCTGAGGGCCTTGGGAGAGGGCGCTTGGGAGCTGGGTTCTCCCCTTCTTACACCATCTGCACCCTGCCGTGCCCCGACTTGTTTCAGTGGGGGGCTGGGGTGAGAGGATCTTGTGGGTGACGCTAAAGACTGAGTCAGCTACTTAAGTTTAGCCCCGAGCGACCTGCACAAGCCAGAGGAGGAACCGGCGCGAGGGGTGGGTAGCGTCGGGGGACGGGCCTGGACCCTCTTGTCTCTCCAAGCCCCTCCCTCTGACCCCACCGTCTGGAAGTTTCTGGTCTTAAGACCAACCCCCATATTTACCCGCACATTCAAGGTTGCCTTGGTGGGTTTGGAGGGGGCTGCAGGCTGAAGGACCTTCCTCCAACAAGAGGGCGCCAGCGTTGGTGGCCACCTCCTCCTCGCAACGGAAGGAAGGGTTGTTATATGCCCCCAGGAAAGGAGTTGAGGCTTGGTGGGGGTTCTCTTGCCTATCTATCCATGTGAGAGTCCATATTCGTGAATGAGGCTATGGGTTGGTATCTGAGTATTTGCCAGGGCAACACATCGCGTTGCTGTGTCCTTCTGTGTATCTGTGTATATTTTGGGGTCTGTCTGTGTGTGCCTGGGAATCTGAGACTTTGCATTTCCCGTTTCCTCTACTCTTCCCCACACAGCCCCATGACCCCCTCCCTCACTGTGAAAATGTGTTTGCCTTTTCCCCACCCCCATCACTGTTCCCCTTATCCAGTGTCTTAGTTTCCTGTGGCTACTGTAACAAGTTACCACAAACTGGTTGAAACCGACAGAAATTTATTCTCGCAGTTCTGGAGGCCAGAAGTCTGAAATCAAGGTATTGGCAATCACAGTCTCTCCAACGGCTTTAGCGGAGAGTCCTTCCTTCCCTCTTCTAGCTTCTAGAACCCCCAGGTGTTCCTCCAGTCTCTTCACATGGCCTTCTCTTTCTCTCAAATCTCCCTTTGCCTTTCACTTGTAAGTAAGGACAGTTGTCACTCAATTTTGGGCCCACCTGGATCATCCAGGGTGATCTCATCTTGACGTCCATCATTTAATTACATCACTAATTACATCTCTTTTTCCAAATAAGGTCACAGTCACAGGTACTGGGACATGGGCATAACTTTTCTGGGGCCACCACTCAACCCACTACATCTTTCATGGCCCTCATGGCCCTCACCACCGCCCCACCCCGGCATGTTGTTTATTAATTCATTATTTGTATATCTTCTCTTTGCCGGACCTGGCTGTGAACATCAGGAAGGTAGGGACCACTTTAATTGTGTTTGCTGCTGTATTCCTCTTGCTAAGAACTTAGTAGGTGCTCAGGGAATATTTGTTGCATGGATGAATGAGTATGCGTGTTTGTTTGCTTGTGTGTTTCTTGTCTTTCTTGTGCATATCTCTGTGTTTGGGGCCGTCCTGCCCTCACTTTCCCCACCGGGCCATTTCTGCCCACAGGTGCCCACCAGGCTGGGTGGGTGAACGGTGTCAGCTGGAAGACCCCTGCCATTCCGGCCCCTGTGCTGGCCATGGTGTCTGCCAGAGCTCGGTGGTGGCAGGCACCGCCCGGTTCTCCTGCCGCTGCCCCCGTGGCTTCCGAGGTAAGGGAGGGTCTGGAAGGGAGCCCGGGGCAGGCAAGGGTGTGGTCAGCCCCAGGCTCACCCTTTCTGGTTCCGTCCAGGCCCAGACTGCTCCCTGCCAGACCCCTGCCTCAGCAGCCCCTGTGCCCATGGTGCCCGCTGCTCGGTGGGCTCCGATGGCCGCTACGTCTGCTCCTGCCCACCCGGCTACCAGGGCCGCAGCTGCCGAAGCGACGTGGATGAGTGCCGGATGGGCGGACCCTGCCGCCATGGTGGCACCTGTCTCAACACACCTGGCTCCTTCCGCTGCCAGTGCCCAGCTGGCTACACAGGGCCACTGTGTGAGAGCCCCTTGGTGGCCTGTGCCCCCTCGCCGTGCCGTAACGGGGGCACCTGTAGACAGAGTGGCGACCTCACCTACGACTGTGCCTGCCTTCCTGGTGAGGGAGCTGTACCTAAGGGAGGCAGCAGAGGTGGGGGGACAGCAGGCCAGCCTGGCAATGACCACCCTTGCTTCCTCCTCCCACGCTAGGGTTCGAGGGCCAGAACTGTGAAGTGAATGTGGACGACTGTCCAGGGCACCGATGTCTAAATGGGGGGACGTGTGTGGACGGTGTCAACACCTACAACTGCCAGTGCCCTCCTGAGTGGACAGGTGAGCAGTGGGACTAGAGGGAAGACCTTGGGTCGGCATACACCAGGTGACTAGACTGGTGCATCTGTGTGCCACAGGCCAATTCTGTACGGAGGACGTGGACGAGTGTCAGCTCCAGCCCAACGCTTGCCACAATGGGGGCACTTGCTTCAACACGCTGGGTGGCCACAGCTGTGTGTGTGTCAATGGCTGGACAGGCGAGAGCTGCAGTCAGAATATTGATGACTGTGCCACGGCCGTGTGCTTCCATGGGGCCACCTGCCATGACCGTGTGGCCTCCTTCTACTGTGCCTGCCCCATGGGCAAAACTGGTGAGTGGCTGTTTTCCCTGTAGGCAGCAGGGAGCCATTGGTGGTTCTTGAGTAGAGGCAAGGATGGAGTCTGACTTGAGTATTAGAATGATTATGCTGGAAGCTAGATTTGGGGTGAAGGATGAGCCTGGGAGAGGCCTGGGAGGAGGCTGGCAAACAGTCCAGGGCAAAAACCATGGGAATTTAGAGCTAAACTGTGACTGAGAAAGAGAGGGGGAAAAAGTCCAAAGGGAAGTGGCAAAGGTCAGAGGAGGTGTTTGGGAGGGGGACTTGGAAATGGAGGGAAGGGTATGTCAGACAGAGGGGTACTGCAGAAGCAAAGACTTGATGGTAGGACCCTTTTATAATCAGAAAAAGAATCAGTAGATTTAAAAACAATATGTGGGGCTTCCCTGGTGGCACAGTGGTTGAGAGTCCGCCTGCCGATGCAGGGGACACGGGTTCGTGCCCCGGTCCGGGAAGATCCCACATGCCGCGGAGCGGCTGGGCCCGTGAGCCATGGCCGCTGAGCCTGCGCGTCCGGAGGCTGTGCTCCACAATGGGAGAGGCCACAACAGTGAGAGGCCCGCGTACCGCAAACAAACAAACAAACAAAAAAACAATATGTGGATGTTTCCAACTTCAAATGGTTCAGAACAAAAGATAGATAAAGCTTACAGTAGTTGACTCTAGGTGGTGGGTATATGAATAAACTTTTTTGTATGTTTGAACTTTTCACGATAAATGATTGGGGAGAAATAGCTACTAAATACAATGCTGGTTAGTAAAAACAAAACACAAAACCATATTTGGGGGTGTGGGAGCTTTGGGCAGAGCTGGGGGGGATATCTGCCCTTGACCTCTACCTACTCCTTCCCAGGACTTCTGTGTCATCTGGATGACGCCTGCGTCAGCAACCCCTGTCACGAGGATGCTATCTGCGACACGAACCCGGTGAACGGCAGGGCCATCTGCACCTGTCCACCTGGCTTCACAGGCGGGGCTTGTGACCAGGACGTGGATGAGTGTTCCATCGGTGAGGGGGCGCTGTCTGAGAGTAGGGAAGGAGGGGAGAGGCGGTGGTCAGCTGGCCACACCTACACCCTCTGTGACTCCTCCTGCAGGTGCCAACCCTTGTGAGCACCTGGGCCGGTGCGTGAACACACAGGGCTCATTCCTGTGCCAGTGCGGCCGTGGCTACACTGGTCCGCGTTGCGAGACCGATGTCAATGAGTGCCTCTCCGGCCCCTGCCGCAACCAGGCCACGTGCCTCGACCGTATAGGCCAGTTTACCTGCATCTGCATGGCAGGTGTGTGGTGGGCGTGGCTGGGGCGGGGCCTGAGGTGGGGAGGCGGGGTGAGAAAAGCCTCAGGCTGGGCCGGGGGGAGGGGAGGGAGCTGGGACTGTGAGGCTGAAGCCTGGGATGAGGTGGAGGCGGAGCCAGAGCAGAATCTTGTGCAAGGTTGCAGGCATGGTCAAGTGGAGTCGTTGAACCTCAGATGGGCTGGGAGTGGAGTCTGGACACTGTGGGGTGGCAATGACATGAGGGCAGGACCACGGTCTGGAGTGATCAAGGTGGAGCCTGCAGACAGAAATGCACTGATGCCGGGGATGGGATTGAGGCTGGGCACAAGGCTGTGGTGGGCCCTGAGGCTGGGACCTAGGGACAAGACAGAGTCTGGGGACTGGAGAGGGCAAGGGCTGGTCCGAAGGCAAGGCCCATACGGAGTCTCATAAGCCTTGAACCAGTTGGGGCCACAGCTGAATGAAGGTCCAGCCTGAGTCTAAAAACTGAATGTAGGGTTGGGAGGCGGCAAGGCCAAGGCTCAGGGGAACTGTGTGTAAGTGGGAAGGGGGTACGTCCCCCGTTGCTCTCCCTTCAGACCAGAAGCTAACCCCCATTGCCCTAATCCCCTTCCCTCTACCCCCAGGCTTCACAGGCACTTATTGTGAGGTGGACATGGACGAGTGTCAGAGCAGCCCGTGTGTCAACGGCGGGGTCTGCAAGGACAGAGTCAATGGCTTCAGCTGCACCTGCCCCTCGGGTGAGGACTCTGGGCCAGGGAGCCTGAAAAAGACGAGTCTCTGAAGGGGCAAAGGCTCCAGGATGGGAGCTTATAAGACCGTGTTAGTGGTTACCTATCATAACAGAAACCACCTTATGAAAAACATTGAAATTAATTTAAAACTAAGTAAATGGACTCCCCACCCAAACAAGGCAGCTCTGGTGAGGGGTGACTGCCCTGACCCTGTCTGGCCCTCTGTTCCTCCCACACCCCCCACTCCAGGCTTCAGCGGGGCTATGTGTCAGCTGGACGTGGATGAATGCGCCAGCACACCCTGCCGGAATGGAGCCAAGTGCGTGGACCAGCCGGATGGCTATGAGTGCCGCTGCGCAGAGGGTGAGGGAGGGCCAGTGACAAGTTGGCAAGAGTCTGGAGGCGGGGCTAGTGGGGGAAAGGGCCAATAATTACCTTGGGGAAAAGTTGGGGGCAGGGCTGCAGCAAGGCAGGACCTCAGCAGGGCCAATGAAAGAGCCAGGAGGCGGAGCCAATGATGGACACAAGCAGAGGTAAGGCTGGGGGTGAGGCCAAAGGGTCTAGCAGGATAGGTGTGCACTTAACTGGAGGGGTGGGGTCCGACCCCCTACAGCCCCAGGCACCTCCCATGTGTCCCCATTTCCAGGAGAGGGCGAGGCAAATCAGGGCTGATAGTGTAAGGATTGGAAGCAGGGTCACGCTAGGGGTGGGATTTAACTGCGGTAGGGTCCTGGCCAGGGACGAGTCTTGGAGCTTGGAGCTGGATGGAATGGAGCTACATTCAGGGGCAGGGCCTGAACTGAGCCCGCCTCCTGTTGGCTCGATGGGCCGGGCCTGAGGTAGAGCTGAGCCAGAATTGGGCAGAAGCCACGGCTGTGGGCAGGACCTGGGCCAGTGGGCGGAGCCTGACCCTCTGTCCCCGCAGGCTTCGAGGGCACGGTGTGTGAGCACAACGTGGATGACTGCTCGCCAGACCCATGCCACCATGGGCGCTGTGTGGATGGCATCGCCAGTTTCTCGTGCGCTTGTGCCCCGGGCTACACCGGCACGCGCTGTGAAAGCCAGGTGGACGAGTGCCGAAGCCAACCCTGCCGCCACGGTGGCAAATGCCTAGACCTGGTGGACAAATACCTCTGCCGCTGCCCTCCCGGCACCACAGGTGGGGCCGGGGGCTGGGCTGGGGCAGAAACAGTACATCTGGTAGGACACAGAGGGTTCGGGAATGGTGCTCCTGGTAGGGCACAGTGGTGGCAGTCCCTGTCATGTTCCCCTTCCCCAGGTGTGAACTGTGAGGTGAACATTGATGATTGTGCTAGCAACCCCTGCACCTTTGGAATCTGCCGGGACAGCATCAACCGCTATGACTGTGTCTGCCAGCCTGGCTTCACAGGTGGGCAAGTGTCTGCCGCGGAATGGAGGTCTTTATAGGGTGAGGGTGAAATCACCCATCTTTCTTGGCCAGGTTTTGCCCCTCTCTTTGCACACTCTGGTCCAACGAGGTTGTCCACGCTTTGCCCTGAGACAGTGCTTTCTGTCATTGGCGTGTTGTCCCCATATTAGCTCAAGATTATCCTGGAACATACAGGAAGGTGTTCAGACTCAGGGATTGAGGTGTTTCTGAGTGGGGCCAGGGTAACCCTTGGTGGAAATGAAAGTGATTTCATATAAGTTTGGGGACAAGGCAAGGATGACTTGGAGCAAGGTATCTCTGGGTTGAGGAGGTGGGTATCCTAATTTGCACAAGAGATGATGTGTTGTGAAGCAAATGAGATTGTCCTTGTTCAAGGGTGTGGCTCTGCTAAATGGGGCAAGGTTGTCCCTCCCCGGTAGGCCCGGCTATCCTCGTTCTGGGATGAGGTTGTCTGCCTGCTCCCCAGGGCCTCTCTGCAACGTGGAGATCAACGAGTGTGCGTCCAGCCCATGCGGTGAGGGGGGCTCCTGCGTGGATGGTGAAAATGGCTTCCAATGCCTCTGCCCACCTGGCTCCCTGCCCCCGCTCTGTCTTCCCCCAAGCCATCCCTGCGCCCAAGAACCCTGCAGTCATGGCGTCTGCCACGACGCGCCTGGAGGGTGAGGCCTCTCCCCAACCCCTGATCCCCACTGCTTCCCTGCCCTCCTGCCAGCCCTGACTGCCTCCCCCTTCAGGTTCCGCTGCGTGTGTGAGCTTGGCTGGAGTGGCCCTCAGTGCAGTCAGAGCCTCGCTCGAGATGCCTGTGAATCCCATCCCTGCTGGGCAGGCGGCACCTGCACCAGTGATGGAACGGGCTTCCGCTGTACCTGTCCCCCTGGTGTCCAGGGTGCGTGTCCCCACTTTCCCTCCCCAGGGCTGCCTCCTCCCTTTTTCCTTCTCATTTCCCTTCTGTTCCATTCTTCCTTCCTTCTCTGCATTAATACCCCCCCCCCACTTTTTTTCCTCTCCCATCCCTACCCAGGAGCTTGGGAAGTGGGTATCAAGGTGGGGACCTTGTGGGGAGATGGGCAAATGGAATCTCTCAAGACTGTCTCACTCTGCCTGCCCACTACAGGCCGTCAGTGTGAGCTGCTGTCCCCCTGCACCCCAAATCCCTGTGAACATGGGGGCTACTGTGAGTCTGCCCCTGGCCAGCCGGCTGTCTGCTCCTGCCCCCCTGGTTGGCAAGGTACGTCAGCTGCTTCTTCCTCTTCCTCTCCCTCATCTCCTTTGCAACCTGCCCCATACTGGGTGATGCTGGGGACCCAGAGAGGGAGTCACTCCTGGTCCTGCCTTTTAGGGGAGCTTCCTTCTGGGAAGAAACAGAGCTAGACACAGACACCTGCAGCCGATGTGGTCAGTTCAGAAGAAGAGGAAGGGCTACGGGGTTGGGGAAGCTAGGAATCAGGCTGAGAGTTTTGGGGACAGCCTGGAGGAGCAGACCTCAGTCACAGAATGCATTCACCACCCTCTGAAACAAGGAGAAGGCAGTTCTGGAACAGTGTGTGCAAAATGCCCAGAGGCAAACTGTTCTTGCCTTTGTCCAGCTCAGGCTTCAGGTTCTTCCTGAGAGCCAGGTACCCTCAGACCCTACCCTGCGCCTTCTAACCCGCTGTGTTATTTTACTCCCCACCCCCAGGCTCACGATGTCAGCAGGACGTGGATGAATGTGCTGGCCCCTCACCCTGTGGTCCCCATGGTACCTGCGCCAACCTGGCAGGGAGTTTCAGCTGTACCTGCCACGAGGGCTATAGTGGCTCTTCCTGTGATCAGGACATCGATGACTGTGACCCCAGTGAGTTCAGGGGAGCTCTTGGTGGGGGGTGCTGACCTAGGGAACAGGTTCATCAAGCCCCTGCATGCGCCTAGCACTGTGTTTTCATTTCATCTCCACAGTTATCTTACTTTCCCCATTTTGCTCCAGAGAGGCCCCAGAGAGGTTAAGTGACTTGCCCAAGGTCATGCAGCAAGTAGAGGGATGAGCTGGGAGAGGACCCTGAAGCCTATATAGATTGCCTCTGGCAGCAAGCAAGTTAGGGTTGTGTGTGAAGTATGAGATAAAAGGCCCCTAGTGAGTCTCCAGGAGCGCTGTTCAATGGACAAATAATGCAAGCCACATATGCATTAAGTTTTTTCTAATAGCCACATTAAAAAGTAAACAAAACAAACAAAAACGGGTTTATTTAACCTAATAACATAAAAATATTATCATTTCAGTATAATCAATTTAAAATTCTTGAGATATTTTACATTCTTTTCTTTTTCATACTGAGTCTTCACAATCTGAAATCTGGTGTCTGTTTTATGCTTACAGTACATCTCAAATTGGACCAGCCACATGTCAAGGGCTCAAGAGCCACATGTGGTCAGTGGCCACTTTACTGGCTAGCCCAGGTCTGGAGGAGACCTCCTGTGCTGAGCCCAGGACTTAAGCAGACACAACTAGTACTTGGCAGCTCCAAGGGACCTTTTTTTGGCTTCTCCAACCCCTCCCCCCCTTCCACATAGGCGAGGTTTCCAGATAAGGGAGGGGGTGAGACCACAGAGGGGACAGAGTTTGATCCCCCTGGCCAAATGTGCCCCTCCCAATTAAGCCTGGTTTTCTCCTAATTCCCCTCTACACAAGACATGGCCAGGTCAGGCTGGACTGACAGGGGGCGAGCTGTGTGACCAGACCTCCTCCTTTCTGACCATAGACCCCTGCCTGAATGGTGGCTCATGTCAGGATGGAGTGGGCTCCTTTTCCTGCTCCTGCCTACCTGGCTTTGCTGGCCCCCGCTGCGCCCGAGATGTGGATGAGTGTCTGAGCAGCCCCTGCGGCCCAGGCACCTGCACAGACCACGTGGCCTCCTTCACCTGCACCTGCCCGCCGGGTTATGGAGGCTTCCTCTGCGAGCAGGACCTACCTGACTGCAGCCCCAGGTGGGTGGGGCCTGTCCTGGGAGTCAGGGGCCCTGGCATCGGATGGGGAGTGGGACCTGAGGAGTGGGGACAAGGGGAGTCCTCGGCTTGGCACCCACCTCAGGACTCTGATGCCTGATGGGTTAGTGTCCGGGAAGGGGCAGGCCATCTGTTGGGAGGTCACCTTAGGTACCCTGGTCCCTGAGGGAGCCAGGCCAGACCAGGGTGGGGTCTCCACGTGGCTTCCACATAGCCCAGAAGTACCTGGTATATCGGGGCTAAGGGACAGGATGGGGAGGGGCCTCTGCTGGGACTGCAGCTTCTCCTTGGGGTAAGGGTTTTGCCCACTCAAAGCTAGAAGGGGCCCATGGGGGAGGGTGGGGCCTTCGAGGGGGCGGGGCCTGACGCGCCCCTCCTTTCCCTCCAGCTCCTGCTTCAATGGTGGGACCTGCGTGGATGGTGTGAACTCGTTCAGCTGCCTGTGCCGCCTGGGCTACACTGGCACACACTGCCAACACGAGGCCGACCCTTGCCTCTCGCGACCCTGCTTGCACGGGGGCATCTGCGCTGCCGCCCACCCCGGCTTCCGCTGTGCCTGCCCTGAAGGCTTCACCGGCGCGCAGTGCCAGGTGGGCGGGGTCACTGGAGTCTTGGGGGAGAGTCTGAGGGAGGGGCCTGCTGGGTACTGTGATTGGGAAGCCTGCCTGGATCCTGGGGGAGGAATCTGGAGAGGTATTCTGGAGCCTGCCCAGGACTCTGGAGGAGCAGCTGGGTCCATTTTCAAGGGTCCCCAAGAGCAGACACCGTGGCCTTCCTTTCCAGACCCTGGTAGACTGGTGCAGCCGCACACCTTGTCAGAATGGGGGCCACTGTGCCCGGACCGGGGCCTCTTTCTACTGCCTTTGCCCTTCGGGATGGAGCGGCCGCCTCTGTGACATCCAGAGTCTACCCTGCAGAGAGGCTGCAGCCCAAATCGGTGAGGGGGTGCGTGTGACTGGGTTTGGGGGGCTTGGGAGGGTGTGTATGCACATACTTCCTGCTAGTGTGAGCCGAAGGAGAGTGCAACAAAGCATGTAGACATGGTGGGGATATGTGACTCTGTGACAGCTGGCCAGGACAAGGATGGTGTGTATGTGTATCACCATGAGACAACCAGGATGTCACACACAACGCTGTGTGTGACCTAGCTGGCGTGAGCTTCGAAGGTGTGTGCATGTCAGTTTCAGGGGATGTGTGACAACCTGACAGAGTGTGGGTGAGACCTTGGTGACTGAAGCTAGTTGGGGGTGTTGGGTGGTGCTGTGTGTGATGTGGGCCGGGAGGAGGGAGCCTGCCTGACGCTGCTCTCCTCTGTCCAGGGGTGCCTCTGGAGCAGCTGTGTCAGGCTGGTGGGCAGTGCGTGGACAAGGACAGCTCCCACTACTGCGTGTGCCCAGAGGGCCACACAGGCAGTCACTGTGAGCGGGAGGTGGACCCCTGCTTGGCCCAGCCCTGCCAGCATGGGGGCACCTGCCGAGGCTACATGGGAGGTTATGTGTGCGAGGTAAGGAGCGCCCAGTGGAGGGGACAGGGTGGGTCTGGCTACACATTTCTGTGTGTCTATAGTCTGGTGTGCTGTCTCTCTCTAGGCATGTCTGCGTTTTTGCTTTTGTGACTCTGGGTATATCTTTGTGGGTGTCGTTCTGGGTAGATCTTAGGGTGTCTCTGTCTGGGTGTACTTCTGTCTTTGGTTGTTTCTTGGACATATCTGTGTGTGTCTCTGTGCATGGTATCTCTTTGGGTATGAATGCATGTGCCAGTGTCTGAATGTGCATCTCTGGTTGTGTATGTCTTGTGTGTATCTGGGTATCTGGGTGTTTCTCATGTGGGTCTGTCTTGTGCATTTGTATTGTGTGTGTCCCTTTGCACTGAGTGTATCTGTAGCCCTTGTGCCTGTGTGTCCTTCCATGTCTGGGTGTGTTTCCATGTACTGGATGTGTTTCCATGTACTGGGTGTGTGTGTGTTTCTGCACACTGGGCATGTCTCTGTGTGTTGGATGACTGTATGTGTCCTTTTACACTGGGAGTCTCTGTATCTTCATGGCGAGTATCTGTGTCTCTCTGGGCTGAGTGGGTCCCTGCCTCACCCCCACCGCAGTGTCCAGCTGGCTACACTAGTGACAACTGTGAGGATGACATGGACGAGTGTGCCTCCCAGCCCTGCCAGCATGGGGGCGTCTGCATTGACCTTGTGGCCCGCTATCTCTGCTCGTGTCCTCCAGGAACGCTGGGTAGGCCAGTGTCAGGGTTGGGGGACAGGACGGGAGGCTGGGTTTCTGACCGCTCCTGACTGCTCCCCATCCCCCCTTCCCCTAGGCGTGCTCTGCGAGATTAATGAGGATGACTGTGGCCCAGGCCCAGCCCTGGACCCGGGCCCCCGGTGCCTGCACAATGGTACCTGTGTGGACCTGGTGGGTGGCTTCCGCTGCACCTGCCCCCCGGGATACACCGGCCTGCGCTGTGAGGCGGACATCAATGAGTGTCGTCCAGGTGCCTGCCATGCGGCACATACCCGGGACTGCTTGCAGGACCCAGGTGGGGGCTTCCACTGCCTTTGTCATGCCGGCTTCACAGGTAAGCATGGGAGAAGGGGCTGGCCTGCGATCCTGCCTGTGTTCCCCATTGTGGCTGATCCACGTGCTTCTGCTTGCCCAGGTCCCCACTGTCAGACTGTCTTGTCTCCCTGTGAGTCGCAGCCATGCCAGCATGGAGGCCAGTGCCATCCCAGCCCCGGCGCTGGGGGAGCTCTGACTTTCTCTTGCCACTGTGTCCCGGTAGGTGGGGTGGACACTCACATCAACGTCTCTGGGAGAGGAGTGGGATCATGCCCTCATGGGAGGGTGTGGCTTTAGGGGGGAAGAGGTGTAAGATGGAAGGGGTTTCTGGGAAATGTTGAAATTTCCTGGAGGTTGTGTGTTTGTGTGTGTGTGTCCCTCTGGAATTTGGAGTTGTGGCCTCTTGGGGAAGGCTGGGCTTAACCTGCAAGGTGGGGCTCCAGTGCAAGAGGGAGAGGTTGAGCCAGACCTGGGGAGACTGGAGGTCCAACCTTTCCCAAGTCCTGATCCCCCATATTCCCCTCTCTCTCCCCCTTCAACCCTCAATCCTCTTCTCCACCCTTCCATTTCTCTTTCCCTCCTTCCTCTCTGTCTCCTCTCCTTCTCGCCCTCCATCCCCTGCCCCCGCACTTTTTTTTTCTCTCCTTTCCCCCCACCCAACCCACAGCCGTTCTCCGGCCCGCGCTGCGAGCGGGTGGCACGTTCCTGCTGGGAGTTGCAGTGCCCGGTGGGCGTCCCGTGCCAGCAGACGGTCCGTGGACCGCGCTGCGCCTGTCCCCCGGGGCTGTCGGGTCCCGCCTGCCGGGGTTCCCGGGGGTCGCCACTGGGAGCCGCCAATGCCAGCTGCGTGACCTCCCCCTGCCTCCACGGGGGCTCCTGCCGCCCGGAGACGCTGGCGCCCTTCTTCCGCTGCGCGTGCGCGTCAGGCTGGGCTGGGCCGCGCTGTGAGATACCTCTCTCCTTTCCCCCCACCCAACCCACAGCCGTTCTCCGGCCCGCGCTGCGAGCGGGTGGCACGTTCCTGCTGGGAGTTGCAGTGCCCGGTGGGCGTCCCGTGCCAGCAGACGGTCCGTGGACCGCGCTGCGCCTGTCCCCCGGGGCTGTCGGGTCCCGCCTGCCGGGGTTCCCGGGGGTCGCCACTGGGAGCCGCCAATGCCAGCTGCGTGACCTCCCCCTGCCTCCACGGGGGCTCCTGCCGCCCGGAGACGCTGGCGCCCTTCTTCCGCTGCGCGTGCGCGTCAGGCTGGGCTGGGCCGCGCTGTGAGATACCTGCAGCGGTGCCCGAGGCCCCCGAGGAGCCGTCTTGCCCGAGAGCCGCCTGCGAGGCCAAAAGCGGCGACAAGCGCTGTGACCGAGAGTGCAACAGCCCAGGCTGCGGCTGGGATGGCGGCGACTGCTCGCTGAGCGTGAGCGACCCCTGGCGGCAGTGTGCGGCGTTGCAGTGCTGGCTCCTCTTCAACAACAGCCGCTGCGACCCCGCCTGCAGCTCGCCCGCCTGCCTCTATGACAACTTCGACTGCCGCGCAGGCGGCCGGGAGCGCAACTGCAAGTGAGCCGGTCCTCACTCTGTGTCTTGTCTGTCCATGTGTCACATCTGACCATCCATGGGCCCTGCCTCTCTATCGGCCCATCCGTTTAACTTGGTCTGTCAGTCAATCCTTAATCTGTCTGTTGGGTTGTCCCTTCACTTGACCCATCTGTTTCTTGGTGTACCGTCTGCCCATCCATGTGTCACTTGTCTGTCTGTCTTCCCATTCCTGTGCCCTGTCTGTCCATCCTTGTTCCCTGCCTGTCTATCAGTGTGCCCACCTGTCTGTTCATCCATGTGCTCCTTTTGTCTGTTTTTCTGTCTGCTTCTGCGCTCCATCTGTCCCTCCCTATGCCCTGTTTGTCTTTCTGTCCATCCACGAATTCCTTTTGTCCCTCTATACACCCAACCGTCTGTCTGCACACCTGCTTGTCCATCCTTGGACCTCATCTGTCCATCTGTCTGTCTCTATGCCAGTCTGTCCATCTGTATGCCCCGTCCGTCCATCTTTGTGTGCCACTCGTTCATCCATGTGCCTCTTCTCTCTGTCCTTCTGTCCATTCACACACCCTTTTTGCCCCTCTATATGCCCATCCATCTGTCCATGCTCCTGCACGTCTATTCCTGCCCCTCTTCTGCCATTCTCTATGTCTGTTCATGAGCTCTGTCTGTTTGTCCTATGCATTCCATCTGTCCATCCCTGTGCTGTGCTCTGTGTGACCCTCTGTGTGTTCCTCTGCCTGGAACCCTTTCCTTACTTTTATCTTCCTGTCCTCATTCCCACCCTCACTCTCCCCCTTGCTCATTCTGCTCCAGCCACCCTGGCCTTTCTTCCATTCTTCAGATTCCCCAGGCTTAGCCCCACCTCAGGGCCTTTGCACTGGCTGTTCCCTCTGCCTGGAATGCTCTCCTTCAGGAAGCCACATGGCTCCTTCCTCACCTCCTTCAAGTTTTTGCTCAAGCAATGACCTTCTCAGTGAGCTCCTCCCTGGCCACCCACCCCCAGCCTTATTTTTTTCCTTAGCATTTAATTCCATATAGATGTGTGTGTGTGTGTGTGTGTGTGTGTGTGTGTGTGTGTTTAAATTTAGCCTAAATTTAGCCTTTATTGGTGTGTGATCGAAATGCTGTATATTCTGCTCATCCATCTCCTTTAATATCCGTCTCCGCCCACTGTAATGCCAGCTCCACGTGGATAGGGATTTATGTTGGGGCCATATCCTTAGAGCCTACAGTAGCGCCCAGCACATAACAGGTGGCTCTCAGTAGTTATTGACTTATTAATAGTTACAAAGCAATGGCTGTGTTTGCAGAAAGCCTCATACATTCCACAAGCACGTGGATACATTCCAGTTCTCTGCGCTTGCGCTCTCTCCAGGGTCTGGGTGCTCTGTGGTGTTCGCGTGCAGCGGAGCTGGAGGCTCCCTTGACCTCGCCCCTCTCTGTCCCCAGCCCGGTGTATGAGAAGTACTGCGCGGACCACTTTGCCGACGGCCGCTGCGACCAGGGCTGCAACACAGAGGAGTGCGGTTGGGATGGACTGGACTGTGCGGGTGAGGTGCCAGCTCTGCTGGCCCGAGGTGTCCTGGTGCTCACTGTGCTGCTGCCGCCGGAGGAGCTGCTGCGCTCCAGTGCCGACTTCCTGCAGCGGCTCAGTGGCATCCTGCGCACCTCTCTGCGCTTCCGTCTGGATGAGAACGGCCAGGCTATGGTCTTCCCTTACCACCGGCCTGGTCCTGGCTCCGAATCCCGGAATCGGCGGGAGCTGGCCCCTGAGGTGATCGGGTGAGTGACTCCCCCGCGGGGAGCCATGGTGCCCACGCAGACGCTAGGCCGGGCGTGGGAAGGGGCACCATTCCTCAGGTCTTGTGCATTTATTTCCCTTAACATCTGGGAGAGCCTTCTTGGCAATACATACAGCGTCATACAATACATGCATCTCAGTCTTGGCACCATTGACATTTGGGGCCGGATCATTCTTTGCTGTGAGGGGTTGTCCTGTCTTGTGCACTGTAGGATGTTTAGCAGCATCCCTGGCCTCTATCCACTAGGTGCAAGCAACGCACCTCCCCTCCCTTAAGATGTGACAACCCAAAATGCCTCCAGACATGGGCAAGGGTCCTTTGGGGGAACAGAATAGCCCCTGGTCTAGCACTACTTCCTTCTGGAGAGGCAGGGGTATAGCAGAGTGTTTAAGGGCATGTGTAGTTTTTTGTTTGTTTTAGAAATGGAAAATATAGAACTCTCCTGCTGGGGGCCTGGCAGAGGGGCCAGAAGGGAGATGTGGCTTCTGAGCAGAGTGGGATGTGCCACAGGGAGGAGGGCTGGAGGCTAGAGATGAGGGTCAGGGCCTCTGACTGGGTATGGCTGGGATGGGGGAGGTGGAGAGGATAGTTGATGGATGTGCCAGTCCCTGGCTGGGGTGACTGAGTTGCTGGAAGTGGTCTCATCAAGATGAAGACACAGGGTGAAAGCCAGGGGTTACTTTGGGGCTTCCAGAGGGATCTGGGGGTCTCGGAGAGACGCTCAGGAGGCAGTTGGGGTCAGAAGATTGAGAGAAGAAAGAAAAAAGGGTTTGGCAATCATTGCATCCATGGGGGGGACACAAAGAAGTGGGGAGAGATGTGGGGACAGAGGGATCATCTGGGGACACTGAGTCCTAAGGATTGGTTGAAGGAAATTAGCTCAGAAAAGAGAAGGAGGAGAGCCAGGGCCCAGGGCACTGGGTATCCCAAAGAATGAAAATGTTTGGAGGGTTGGGTTCCTGGAAGCAGAGCCTGAGATGGAGATTCAGATACATGTGATGTATTGGAAGGGTGCTCTCAGTAGACAGGGAATGAGGGAAGTAGGATGGGGCAGGGGAGGAACTGAGGCAGGAGGTAGCCTCAGCCAGGGTCCGGCCTCAGCCAGAGTCCAGCCTCAGCCTGATCCCTTGTAGGGCTCTGGAGGGTGAATAGCACCTCAAAGTTGGTCCCACCTTGAGACAGGAGGGCCAGCTTTTGTACACCCCACATGAGCCAGTCCCTGGCTGAAGGCTTCCCTAAGGGGTGTCACCTCCCAAGTGAAGGGATCCCCACTTTGCTGAGGCCAGAGAGGCAGCTGTCAACTGTTAGAAGCCAATGCTCATAGCAGGCAGGTGATGGATGCACCAGCCTGATAAAGGAGAAGTCGACATGAAAACAGTGACCATTGGATTCATGGCTCAGAGGACACTGGTGGCCACAGCAAGACTCGTTTGGGGAATTGATAAAGAATTTTAAACATATACAGAAACAGAGCAGGGTAATGAACGTCGAGGTACCTAGGACCTAGCATTGACAATGAACACATATGGCCATTATTATTTCATACATAGTCCCTTCAGTTTGTTCTAGTTCCCACGTTATGTTGAAATAATTTCTAGATAGCATGTCATTTCGTACGTAGACATGTCAGTATGTTTCTGTAAAAAATAAGCTCTGTCTTTAAAACACGATAATACCATGATCACAGTTAAAAAAATAAATATCCTTAATATCACCAAATATATAGTAAGTGTATTTAAAAAAAGACTGGTTTTGGGGTTGTGGTGGAGTTGGATGCTAGATAGGGGGCAGTGGTGACATGGTGAGTAGAGATGCTCGAGCCTGGTGCAGGGGAGTGGGGCATGGTGCAGGGCTTGTAGGAGTGCCTGCTGAGTCTGCCTGTCCCTCTGTTGTGTCCCCGCAGCTCTGTGGTGATGCTGGAGATTGACAACCGTCTGTGCCTGCAGTCACCTGAGAATGACCACTGTTTTCCCGACGCCCAGAGTGCGGCAGACTATCTGGGAGCGTTGTCAGCGGTGGAGCGCCTTGACTTCCCGTACCCACTGCGGGCAGCACGGGGTGAGGGCCAGCCTGGCGGGTGATGAGGGTGGAACCGGGGCTCCCGTGGTGGGGTGGGTCTTGGCCCCTGGTTGAGACCCCCTGCTTCCTGCCCGCAGGGGAACCGCTGGAGCTGCCAGAACCAAGCGTGCCGCTACTGCCCCTGCTGGCTGCGAGTGCCGTCTTCCTGCTGGTCATTCTCGTCCTGGGCGTCATGGTGGCCCGCCGCAAGCGTGAGCACAGCACCCTCTGGTTCCCCGAGGGCTTCGCGCTGCACAAGGATGCTGCAGCTGGCCACAAGGGCCGGCGGGAACCCGTGGGCCAAGATGCTCTGGGCATGAAGTGAGGACCCTGACTCAGCCCATTCCCTGTCCCTGACTGTGGGGCTTTGTGAGCCCTTGAGCCCACCTTGACCTGACTTTGACCTCTGACCCCTACCTGACCCTAACTGCAGACTCCAGCCTGGAAACCCAGTGTTCATCCCCTTGACCACTGACTCGATAATCCCTGGGAATCACCCCTGATGCGTGACCCTTGGCCCCATTTCCTATGATCCAGTTCCCTCACTCAGATCCTACTCTGACTCTACCCTGAACCCTCCCTGACCCCAGCTTCTCAGATTTCACCCTGATACTCAAAATTTGTTCCCACATGACTACTGATCTCGTGATCCCTGTCTGCATCCCAATCCCTTGCTGGCCCCCTGACCCTATCCTCTATGACCCCCAATATCACCTCTGACACACCCTGACTTTTGACCTCACCTCTGACCCCCTTTCCACCCCAACTCAGTGCTCATTCCCCACGATCCTCAAATCTTGGCCTTGGCCGTGGGCTTCACCTCCGACTCCCTGGCCTGTCCCACGAGACTCCAACCCCACCCTGACCTAATCCCTGAATTTACCCCTCTCCTGTCACCCTGTGACCCCCGGCCCCTCTCCACAACCTCCTCGATCCTGGCTACATCTCTCGCCTGTTATGAGGATAACTCTATCCTCCATGACCCCTGACGTCATCTTCTATAACCCCTGCTATATGCCTGGGACCCTCACCTGTCCCACAGCTGAGTGCTCTGACCTCTGACCCCACTCCTGTGCTTCTCCAGTTCCACCTTAAGACCGTGGCCGTCACCCATCACGACCCCTGATGGTACCCCCTGCAACCTTGACCACATCCTGCATCCCCTCAATGGACCGTGTCCCTTGACCCTGCACCCTGCCCCTACTGACCCATTGTCCCCTCCCTCCTCCCCACCACAGGAACATGGCCAAGGGTGAGAGTCTGATGGGGGAGGTGGCCACAGACTGGATGGACACAGAGTGCCCGGAGGCCAAGCGACTGAAGGTTGTGTCTCCTCCTCTGACCCCTGCCCTTAGGGTCCTGGGTTGGGGCTTGATGGTCAGTGGGAGAGCCAGGAAAATCTCTGCTGTCCCTGGCTCTGGAGAACAGTCACAGCACTCACCCCATCCTGCTCCTGGCATCTTTCCAGAGGGGATCCCCTGGCCCAGACAGTGACTCTGCTTTCTCTCTGCTGCATCCAACTTAGTCCAGCGTGCCCAGCCTGAGAGCACTCCCAGCTGGTCTTTTCCTGTCCTGGGGCCACAGCCGCGGGCCCTGTCTTAGTCAGCTAGGGCTGCCATAATGAAATACCACAGACTGGTGGCTCAAACAGCAGACACTTATCTTCTCACAGCTCTGGAGGGTGGAAGTCCAAGATCAAGGTGCTGGCAGGGTTGGTTCTTGGTGAGGGCTCTCTTCCTGGCAGGTAGAATGTGCTTTCTCACTGTGTCCTCATGTGACCTTTCCTCTGTGTGTGCATAGAGAGAGAACTCTGGCATCTCTTCCTCTTCTTATTAGGACATTGGTCCTGTTGAATTAGGGCTCCACACTCATGATCTTATTTAACCTTAATTACTTCCTTAAAGGCCCTGTCTCCAAATATAGTCATGTTGGGGGATTAGGCCTTCAACATATGATTTTTGGGGAGCACAGTTCATAACAGCCTCCTGCTAGCATTACTTTGACACTTGCTGAATATCTTGAATGTACACAAAGCATCTTATTTCATCTTTATGAGGATGCTATAAGGTAGCTATTGATACACACCTCCATTCTTAGCTGCCTCTCCCCTGCCTATGTTTTCTTTTTTTTTTTTTTTTTTGGCCGCACTGTGCGGCTTACAGGATCTTAGTTCCCCAACCAGGGATTGAACCCCAGCCCTCGGCAGTAAAAGCGTGGAGTCCCAACCGCTGGGCCACCAGGGAATTCCCTCCCCTGCCTATGTTTTAATGTTTGTTGAAATGAAGACATCTATTACAATTGACAGCTAAAGAAATCTGCTTGCCCCAGGCTTTTTTTTTCTTTCTCATCCAAAAGTGGGTGTTAAATATATGGTACAGAATGTTTATGATGGCATTTTAGCATTGCGGAATGATCACATCATCCTTATTTTACCAATGAGAAGCTCAGAGCTCTCATGGGATTTGCCTAGGGTCACAAGCCTACTAAGTGACAGTGTCAGACATTGAATCCACATTGAAGGCTGTCCCATCCTCCATGGCCCGTTCTGGTTAGCTGTCCATCACCTGGCTCTCCCCTTTCATGAAATTCAACTCCCCACCTGGGTCCTTAAGCTCAGGTCTGGCTTGATCAGGCTCTGTGTTTGGTGCAGGCTGTTAAATGCCCAGGCAGGCTAGTTAGGGATATTCTGTCCTGTTTTCATAACTTCATTCTTCCCGTCTGGACCATGAGTCTGAAATGTATTGAGCTCCTCTGAGGGGCCCAGGTGCTAGACTCCTGAGGGTAAATCAATACATTTGTGTGTGATTATTTGGTCCTGATACCTCACGTTCATATCTGTGGTATCACGTGGGAGCCTACGTGGTATCCAGGGCAACTCCCTGCTTCTCACCTTTCACTCCTTTCCCAGATTAATACTGGGAATTATTATTTTGCTTAAAGATTTCTTTATTATTTATTTATTTATATATTTTTTGGCTGCGTCAGGTCTTAGCTGTGGCACTCGGGATCTTTGTTGAGGCATGCGGGATTTTTCACCGCGGTGCGCAGGCTGTTTTGTTTTGGTGCGTGGGCTTCTCTCTAGTTGTGGCATGTGGATTTTTTCCTTCTCTAGTTGTAGTGCTCAGGCTCCAGGGCACGTGGGCTCTGTAGTTGCGGTGTGTGGGCTCTGTACTTTGTGGTAGGTGGGCTCTAGTTGAGGCGTGAGAGCTCAGTAGTTGTGGCGTGCGGGCTTAGTTTCTCCAAGACGTGTGGGATCTTAGTTCCCCAACCAGGGATCGAACCCGTGTCCCCTGCATTGTAAGGCGGATTCTTTACCACTGGATCACCAGGGAAATCCCAATACTGGGAATTATTATTATTGCAGGATCCCCCAATCCCACATTTCTTTAACCAGTGATTTGGAATTTCCAGAGTACAAGTTTTGCATTTCTTCTGTTGAATTTAATTTTAAAGTTTTTTGTTCTTTTTGATACTGTTGTCAATAGAATTGTTCTCTTAATTTCACTTTTGGTATGTTCCTGTCTAGTGTATAGACAGGTGTGTGCTGACAGGTGTTATGCTCTGTGTCTCTTCCTTTTTTTAAAATTAAAAAAAAAATTTTTATTTATTTTATTTAAAATTTTTTGGCCGCACTGCACGGCATGTGGGATCTTAGTACCCTGAGCGAGGGATCGAACCCGCGTCCCCTGCATTGGAAGTGTGGAGTCTTAACCACCGGACCGCCAGGGAAGCCCCCCTCTGTGTCTCTTCCTTGATCGCTTCCGTGGGTTCCCAGACCCTCTACCCTTCTAACCCGGATTAAAATCCCAGTTCTTCCTCTTATGAGTTCTCTGAGCTCCAGGACATCAATTTGCCATTTTCTTATCTATAAAAGAAGCAGGGTGTTAATGGTTTCTTGGGGCCATGTGTGCATCTCCATGAGAGAAACCTGTGGGAATGCCCAGACGGCCCCTCTAACTGTGTCTCCCAACCCCTTGTGAGAACCTGGGTCCTTGTGCCTCCAGGTAGAGGAGCCCGGTGTGGGAGCTGAGGATGCTGTGGACTGCCGCCAGTGGACCCAGCACCACCTGGTGGCTGCCGACATCCGTGTGGCGCCAGCCACGGCGTTGACGCCACCACAGGGCGATGCAGATGCTGATGGCATGGACGTCAACGTGCGCGGTCCAGGTCAGGCGTCCCTCCCTCCAGGATGCCCCTTATCCATCCTACTCGTGAGAGGCTGCATCTGGGTCTGTTTCTGGGGAACGCTGGGTGTGTCTGGGTGTCCGTCTGTGGGGGTGTGTGTTAATCAGGACTTTTCGGTTGTAACTTTTAATAGCCCGACTCAAGCTAACTTAAGTAAAACAAGGGATTTACTGGCTCTTGTAAACGGAAGCTTCAGGCACATTTGGATCCAGGACTCAACGCCTCTTGGCTCCACAGCCCAAGTAGGCTTTTTCCTGCCGGCACGGATAGCTACAGGTGGCACAGGCCTTACAAAATCTTCTTCCCGTATGTACCAGCAAAAGTCCCAGGATGAGTTCTGATTGGATGGACATACCAATTCCTGAACCAATCAGTGTGGCCTGGGGCCTGGAATATGCAGATTGACAGGCCTGAGCTATATTCCTGTCCTTGAAGGAAGGATTTGGCTTTTATCTAGGGCTTGAGGATGGAGAATGGGATGCAGGTAGCCTCCTCAGGGAAACAAGAGCAAATGCTTATGAAGAGTATAGCAGACCATGTTATCTGGATCCTCTTGGATTTGTCTCTGCCGCATTTTGGGATATGCCTTCCCCAGCCCTGTTTTGCTTTTGCTCCCAGTGACCAGGACCTATGGCTCTCTTTTGAAGCCCTTCAGGCTACCGGGGCCTGAGGTGCTTGGTATTTTATGTCCCTGGGGGCAGCTCCTGACCAGTGGATGCAGGAGTATGAAAGGCTCAGCTCCTTTGACTCAAGCTGGATTACAACTCTGGGGTACAGCTCAGCTTCGACAGTCCCCCTTTGGGATCAGGCTGAAATAACTCTCCAGGCATTTGCCCAAGGTTGCACACTTGTTTGACTGCCTCCCTCCTTCGTTCTGTGTCCCCTACTACCTAGGAGCCCTTCTGTGACAAATCACATGCCCATGAATCCTCATCCTGGGTTGGCTTCTGGGGCACCTGACACAGGTGTGTGTGTGTGTGATGGGAGGATTTGCCATTCCCTCTTGTGTTTCCACATGTCCCACTTCCTCCTAATGCAGTGCCCTCAATCGTATTCCCCAGAAAGGCCCTGTGCCCACCTCCCTTGTGACACACTCCTGGTCCCTGCAGATGGCTTCACCCCGCTAATGCTGGCCTCCTTCTGCGGGGGGGCCCTGGAAGCAATCCCAGCTGAGGAGGACGAGGCAGAAGACACGTCAGCCAGCATCATCTCAGACCTTATCTGCCAGGGGGCACAGCTTGGGGCTCGGACCGACCGCACGGGTGAGACGGCCCTGCACCTGGCTGCCCGCTATGCCCGGGCTGATGCGGCCAAGAGGCTGCTGGATGCTGGGGCAGACACCAATGCCCAGGACCACTCAGGCCGCACCCCCCTGCACACAGCCGTCACTGCTGATGCCCAGGGTGTTTTCCAGGTGAGATGGGCTCGCCCCTTTGGGCTTCAGAGCTGGGACAGGCATCAGACCGACTTGGGTTCAAGCCCTGGTTCTGCCTTTCGGAGCTCATCTTTCTCATTTGTAAGATGGGGATATATGGGAGTACAGTTTCTGGCAAGAAGCTATTCCCTGAACCTCATCAGTTCCATGGGGTGTATTGGTTGGGGTCCTCAGAGGGCTTAGAGGTGCTTCTCGTCCCTTTGTTCTTGCCATGACTCCTCCTGCTGTGCCCCATCTCCCTTAGATTCTCATCCGGAACCGCTCCACAGACCTGGATGCCCGCATGGCAGACGGCTCCACAGCACTGATCCTGGCGGCCCGCCTGGCAGTGGAGGGCATGGTGGAAGAGCTCATTGCCAGCCATGCTGATGTCAATGCTGTGGATGAACTCGGTAGGCTGTGGGGGGTAGTGGTGGGTGTGGGCTGAGAGGGTGTCCTCTGGGCCCTGACTGTTGGTGTGAACTCACACCCACACTGACACCCAGTCAATGAAACTCGTGTACTCATAACAGGGTTTCAACATGGACCTACACTCATGCATTAAAAAAAAAAAAAAATGGCGCCCATTAGCCCATACCGTGTGGCAGTGGTTCAGGAAAAGGTGCCCTTCCCAAGACACTTCCCTTCCATCTGCTTTGTTAGAAGAACTTACTCTGGTGCCATCTGCTGGAAAACTGGTGTAATAAATTTGCAAATCAGCCAGATCTACAGGTGAGGGCCGCGCCGTCCCTGGAGGTGGCTTGCTTGCACAACAGTGACCTGCCCTTGGACCCTTAGAAACATCCTCTGGAGCAGGGGTTGTCAATCTCAGCAGCGTTGACCGGTGGGGTTGGATCATTCTTCGTGGCGGGGGCCGTCCTGTGTAGTGCAGGATGTTTGTTTAAATTTATTTATTAAAATGTTTTTTTTATTTTAAAATTTTTATTGGAGGATAGTCGATTTACAAGGTTGTGTTAGTTTCAGGTGTACAGCAAACTGAATCAGTTATACATATACGTATATCCACTCTGTTTTAGATTCTTTCCCACCTAGGCCATTACAGAGCATTGAGTAGAGTTCCCTGTGCTTACAGGAGGTCCTTATTAGTTATCTATTTTATGTATGAGAGTATGTATGTGTCAATCCCAATCTCCTAACTTATCCCTCCCCCCTTGTCCCCCTGGTAACCATAAGTTTGTTTTCTACATCTGTGGCTCTATTTCTGTTCTGTATATAAGTTCATTTGTACCATTTTTTAAGATCCCACATATAAGCGACATCATATGACATTTGTCTTTCTCTGCCTGCCTTACTTCACTCAGTATGACAATCTCTAGGTCCATCCATGTTGCTCCAGATGGCATTATTTCATTCTTTTTTTGTGGCTAATATTCCACTGTATATATGTGCCACATCTTCTTTATCCAGTGTAGGATGTTCAGTAGCATCCCTGGCTTCCACCCACTGATGCCAATAGCACCCCACCTCTCAGTTGTGACAACCAAAAATATCTCCAGACATTGCCAAATGCCCCTTAGAGGAAAATCACCCCTGGTTGGGAAATACGGCTTTAGAAGAGCACTGTCCAATAGAACTTTCTGTGATGATGGAAATATTCTTTGTCTGTTCTGTTCAATATGGTAGCCACTGGCATGTGCTGTCAAGCACTTGAAATGTGGCTGGAGTGAGCAAAGAACTAAATGTTTTATTTCATTTAACGTTTTAACCTTTGTTTTGCCTACTTAAAAAACCCCCGGCTGTACTGACATATAATTCAGATGCCATGCAATTCATCCATTTCAAGTATAAAATCCAATGATTTTTAGTATAACCACATAGTTGTACAAATATCATCATAATAAAATTTAAAATGCTTTCATCATCTGAAAAAGAAGCCCTCGCCTCTTAGCCATCACCCCTTCAATCCCCCTCATCTTCCCGGCCCTTAGGCAACCGCTAATGTACTTACTCTCTATATGGATTGGTTATTTCATATAAATGGAATCATACAATATGTGGTCTTTTTTGACTGGCTTCTTTCACTTAGCACGATGTTTTTGAGGTTTACAAATGTTGTAGCATGTATCCGTATTATTTCTTTTTTGTTTTTTAATGAATAAATCATATTCTGTTATATGGATATACCACATTTTGTTTATCCATTCATCCACCGATGGACATTTGGGTTGTTTCTGATTTTTGGCTGTTATGAATAATGCTGCTATGGACAGTCCTGTATCATTTTTTGTGTGGACATATGTTTTCATTTCTCTTGGGTATATCCCTAGGAGCAGAATTGCTGGGTCACATGGTAACTCTGTTTAACCTTTTAAGGAACTGCCAGACTGTTTTCCACAGTGCCTGCCCTGTTTTACATTCCTACCAACAGTGTATGAAGGTTCCAGTATTTCCACATCCTCACCAACACTTGCTATTATCTGTCTTTTTGTTCTAGTCTTCCTAGTGGATGTGATTTAGTATCTCATTGTGGTTTGATTTGCATTTCCCTGATGGCTAATGATGTTGAGCATCTCTTCACATGCTTATTGTCCATTTGTGTATCTTCTTTGGAGAAATGTCTATTCGGATTCTTTGCCCATTTTTAAATTGGGTTACTCGTCTTTTTATTATTGAGTTGTAGAAGTTCTTCATATAGTCTAGGTATGTCTCTTATCAAACATATGGTAGGTTTAATATATTTGTAGGTTTTCTTTTTACTTTCTAGATGGTGTCCTTACAAGCACAAAAGTTTTCATCTTGATAATGTCCAATTTATCTATTTTTGTCGTTTTTGTTATTGTTGCTTGTGTTTTGGGTGTCGTATCTAAGAATCCTTTACCTAATTCAAGGTCATGAAGATTTACTCCCATGTTTTTTTCTAAATGTTTTATAGTTTGAGCTTTTACATTTAGGTCTTTGACTCATTTTGAATTATTTTTTTTGTATATGGTGTGCAGTAGGGGTCCAACTTTATTGTTTTGCACGTGGAGATAACAGTTGTACCGGCACCATTTGTTGAGAAAGCTATCCTTTCCCCGTTAAATGGTCTTGGTACCAATTTAATTTAATTTAACTTATTTTACTGTTTTTTTCCTTTTGGCTGCCCTGTGCGGCATGTGGGATCTGTTTCCCGACCAGGGACTGAACCCAGGCCACAGCAGTGAAAGCCCGGAATCCTAACCACTAGACCACCAGGGAGCCCCATTTTTTTTTTTTTTTTTGTAATTTTAATTTACATAAACTAAAGTACCACATGTGACTGGTGGCTATTGCATTGGACAGCACAGCTCTAGGTACCACTGAGCGAGGTCCACGTAGTACGCCCCGTATATGGAGAGTTACATCTACAGGTGTGCACGCACATGGACCCAAACACAGTTACTCAGATACTCGTGGCAGGCCTACCCTCCCCCCATCCCAGGCCATATTCTAGACATTTTCTGTCCCCCTGCTGTTGGGGGGCCAGCAAATGAGCCTGGTCCTGACCCTGACCTTCCTTCACTTCCCCCCCCAGGAAAATCAGCGTTACACTGGGCTGCAGCTGTCAACAACGTGGAGGCCACCTTGGCCCTGCTCAAAAATGGAGCTAACAAAGACATGCAAGATAGCAAGGTGAGCCCCAGCCCTTGGCCCACCTGGGAGTCAGCCCCGGCACAGCTTCCACAGGTGGCAGAGAGCAGGTTGGGGTAGGCTAGTGGGGGCATTCACCCTGCCTGCAGCCAGCTTTGCAGCCAGCCTGCCTGCAGCCAGGTGTGGGATTTGGGCCCAAGGGGTTTCAATAGTGGATCAGAGGAGGAAGTGTATGGCAGTTGCTGGGTGACCTTGGGCACGTTGCTTAACTCTTTTGAACCTCTTTTCTCATCCTCGAAATGGGGAAGCAACGGTACCCACCTCATTGCCTCTTTCGAGGATTCAGTGAGCTAAAGCTTTTATAAAGTGCCTTAGCACATCCTCAATAAAAGGTAGATGTTATGACTGTTGTTTAAAAACCCTTGCCAGGTGGTATTAGTCTCATTTTACAGATGAAAGAGTGAGGCTCAAAGGGGTGCGGGGTTGGATTCCATCCTTATTTAAAATTTCCAAAATTATATTCATTATGGATTCTTTTTGCATTAATCTTAATTTAAAAACTTTTCATTAAAATATCATTTATTTTGATGCCCCCTTAAATTTTATGCCTAAGGCGAGTGCTTCACCCTCCTCACCCTGGTCCTGGCTTTTGCGGCCTGAAGCTTAGTGGGTGCTGGATGAATGTGGCTTAAAGGAAAGAACTTGCCCAATTTTCCCCAGCAGAGCTGAGATTCCGACCGAGGTCTGTCTGGCTGGAGAGTATGAACTCTTAGATCTCAGGTTCCCCCAGAGAGAGGAGGCCTCTGTGATGTTAGCCAGCAGTTAATCCTGACTCTTGTGACCCTGACATCTTGTGGGTTCTGGGCCGCCACAGGAGGAGACTCCGCTGTTCCTGGCCGCCAGGGAGGGCAGCTTTGAGGCTGCCAAGCTGCTGCTGGACCACTTTGCCAACCGTGAGATCACAGACCACCTGGACAGGCTGCCCCGGGATGTGGCCCAGGAGCGGCTGCACCAGGACATCGTGCGCTTGCTAGACCAGCCCAGTGGGCCCCGTAGCCCCCCTGGCCCCCACGGCCTGGGGCCCTTGCTCTGCCCGCCCGGGGCCTTCCTCCCAGGCCTCAAGGTGGCACAGTCCGGGGGCAAGAAGAGCCGGAGGCCTCCTGGGAAGGCGGGGCTGGGGCCTCAGGGCACCCGGGGGCGGGGCAAGAAGCTGACCCTGGCCTGCCCGGGGCCCTTGGCCGAGAGCTCGGTCACGCTCTCGCCGGTGGACTCGCTGGACTCCCCACGGCCCTTTGGTGGCCCCCCCGCGTCCCCTGGCGGCTTCCCCCTCGAGGGGCCCTACGCGGCTGCCACGGCCACAGCCGTGTCTCTGGCACAGCTTGGTGGCGCGGGCCGGGCAGGTCTCGGGCGCCAGCCCCCCGGGGGCTGTGTGCTCAGCCTGGGCCTGCTGAACCCCGTGGCCGTCCCCCTCGACTGGGCCCGGCTGCCCCCACCTGCCCCCCCAGGTCCCTCTTTCCTGCTGCCGCTGGCCCCGGGACCCCAGCTGCTGAACCCCGGGAACCCCGTGTCCCCCCAGGAGCGGCCCCCACCGTACCTGGCAGCCCCAGGACATGGCGATGAGTTCCCCGCGGCCGGGGCCCACAGCAGCCCCCCAAAGGCCCGCTTCCTGCGGGTCCCCAGCGAGCACCCTTACCTGACCCCATCCCCAGAGTCCCCCGAGCACTGGGCCAGCCCCTCACCTCCCTCACTCTCGGACTGGTCCGACTCCACGCCCAGCCCGGCCACTGCCACCGGGGCCACGGCCGCTGGGACACTGTCTGCCCAGCCGCTCCCCCTGTCGGTCCCTGGCCCTCTTGCTCAGTCCCAGACCCAGCTAGGGTCCCAGCCTGAAGTCACCCCCAAGAGGCAAGTGTTGGCCTGAGGGCTGCACAGTTCCTAGATTTGGGGAGGCTGTAGAGACACCCCATCCTGCTTCCTCTCTGTCTCCCCTTTCAGTCCATTTCATTCTCTCTAATCTCTTCTCCTGCACCCCACCCTCCTTGCAGCGTGACCAAGACAGGTCACAAGCCTAGGGCTTCAGTCTTCCTTTATTTATAAGGGGTGCAGGCTGACCCCCACCCTTTGGGTCTTGTGGTGAGTCTGGGACATGCTCCTGCCTCTCCCCTCTTCCTGGGGCCACCCCCCCCCAATTCTCTCCTGCTTTCTTGCCTCCTCTGGCCTCTCTCACTCATGTTCTGACACAGGTGGATTATTATTATTATTTTTTTTTACATTTTGTATAGAAACAAATTCATTTAAACAAACATTATTATTATTATTTTTTACAAAATATATATATGGAGACGCTCCCTGCCCCCTGCAAACCCCCCAGTGCCCCCGTGGGGCTGAGTCTGTGGGCCCATTCGGCCAAGCTGGATTCTGTGTACCAAGTACACAGGCATGACCGGGATCCTGTGTACCAAGTACACGACCCTGGTGTGTACCAAGTAGGCACCCTTGGGCGAACCCTCTGGGGCTAGGGGTCGGGTGAGACTTGGGAGCCTTCTCCCCACCCCACCTCCCTCACTTCACTGCATTCCAGATGCAACTTATTCTATAGCTTTGCTGGGGGAAGTGCCCTTCTGGCCTGGAGAGCCTGTCCCCAAGCCCCCCCCTCACAGAGTGTGGGCCACCTCCCTTTGGGAACTGGGGGGTGGGGTGGCCGGTGGGAATATGAGGACCAGGGGAGACATGTGCATTTTACTTTGTCTCCCTGTAAATATGGGCCTGCAGGGAGGAAAGGAGCTGCCTGCATGGCACCTCCTCCTGGCACTCCCCTGGCCCAGCCCCAGGGCAGAATAGAAGTATTTGTAGGCTATTTTTGTAATATAGCTTCTGGTCACAGTCCTTGTGTAGCTAAATTCCCAGGCCTTGCATTGTACAGCCCCCTTTCCCCTCACCACCTAATAAAGGAATAGTTAGCACTCAATGTCATTGTCTGTGTCTAGGTAAGTTTTGGGGGCGGGGGGTGGTAGTGTGGGGTTTCTGTCTCTTCAGCGCTAACTTTTGAGACAGGCTGGGACCCTTTGCTGCAGTGCTTCCACCTGTACGAACATCTACCGGAGCAACAAAAGACAAAGGAACTATAAGGGACTAAAAATAACTGTGGGCATGTGCAGTTGGGGCAAATTATGGCCAACAAGATACCAAAAGACCAAAAAAAAAAAAAAAACCCAACTGCCACTTCTGAAGAGCTGGGAGCAAAAGCAGGGTGTCGGGAGCAAAAGCAGGGCACTGCGCATGCCCCCTGCACACATCACCACCGAAGGGGTGGGCAGACCACCAAAGCCGCCCTTCTGGCTCCACCCTTGGACCCGCCCTCGCCCCATACCTCCACCCTTGGGGAGCAAGCAAGCACTGGAATCTGTTCGTTCTCGCTCCCCCCTGCTGCAGCAGGGGTCCCAATAAAGCCTTGCCTGAATTTCTTGTCTGGCCTCTGATCAATTTCTATTGACTAAGGAGGCCAAGAACCGTGGTTGGTAAAAACCTGGGCTCTCATCTTGGGGTCAAGCCATTTGGCTTGCTTGCCGGCCACTCTTGCTTCCTCTTTTGATGGATGATTCCACTGATTGGACTAGGGGTGGCCACCTGACTTAAATTGAACCGGATTCCCTTGCTTGAGAATGTTTTTAAAATGGGGACGCTAAGAAAGCTATCAGTTGGTGGAGCTTCTACGGCCAAGGCAGATGGAGAAATATTGATGGCCAGTTTGGGGTGGTGGGTACTGATGATAAAACAGCAGAAGGCTGGAGCTGTGCAGGGAGAATCAGAGATGAGCGTTCAAATGGCTCCGGAGTGTTGGAGGGAGTACCTCATTTCCAAATGGAGTATCAATTCCAGTTAATTGAGCATTTATTCCACTGACATCAATAGGTATTTATTAACTGCCTTCTAAGTGCCGAATGCTGGTTCTGCATGGATCTCGCCTCTACTTCACGCTCCCTTGGGGTTTGGAGACAATGCTGCACTGCATAATAAACACTCCTTTATGTGTACCAGCTTGAATGAGTTTCTATGGCTTGCAAATAATTGTGCCCCAAGACAAGGTTGTGTTTACACTGAGGTCCTCCAGGAAAGGAGGAATTTAATGTTCATTGGTTCACCCCATCCGTTGGCGTGCTCTTGGTTGCAAGTGACACAAAAAAATCTACCCAGCTGGCTTAAACAAACAAAAACCAATTTATAAATTCATATAACTAAAAAAGACCAGCTTCAGGGGATATCTGAGCTAGTGGCTCAAATGAGGTCGACAAGGGCTGAGTTCCTCATCTCTACAGATTTTTCTCTGGGCATCAGTTTCATTCTCAGGCTGCATGTGGTACTCAACCCAACTTCTCTTCCCACTCCCACAGCTTCGGCCCTCCTTCTGTATTAGCAAAATGAGTGCAAGGATCATAGGCCATCTCGCACATTCCAGAGAACTGAGAAGCTTCTAGTCTTGGGGTTGATTTTGTATTGACTTCAAATGGGTCACATATTTATCCTCTAACCTAGCGTTCCTCAACGTTGGTACTGTTGACCTTTGGGCCCAGATCATTATTTGCTGTGGAAGGCTGTCCTGTGCGTTGTAGGATGTTTAACAGCATCCCTGGCCTCCACCCACTAGATGCCAGTAGCACCCCCTCCTCCAGTGTGACAACCAAAAATATTTCCAGATATTGCCAGTTGCCAAGCAATGAAAAATTGCTTTTGAGCACTACTGCTCTAACCAATCACTATGGCAATGGGTTATAGAAAGTGCTGATTTCTTAAAGCAATGAGTTTCTGCTCTGGAACTGGGGCGTGGGGTAAATGTCAGGTTTGCAGAAGCAGGAATTCTGTGGAAACAACTAACAAATATTCACTCCACCTCCTCTCTTTTGGCTAAGTCTTTGGAGATGGAACAATCTCTTTTTTAAAAAAAATTTATTGAAATATAATTGACTTACAATGTTGTGTTAGTTTCAAGAAAGTGATTCAGTTATTTTATATACATATGTATACATATATATTCTTTTTTTTACATTCTCTTTCATTATAGGTTATTACAAGATATTGAGTATAATAAGTCCCTGTGCTATACGGTAGGTCGTTGTTCATTATCTATTTTATTAATTATTTTTATTTTTAATTTTTTTTGGCCGTGCCATGCGGCTTGCGGGATCTTAGTTTCCCGACCGGGGATTGAACCCACACCCTCGGCAGTGAGAGTGGCGCGTCCTAACCACCGACCACCAGAGAATTCCCTCTATTTATATATAATAGTGAGTGTGTATATTTAATCCCAAACTCCTGGTATAGTCTCTTTTATTGTCTCAAGTTCATTTTATGTTCATTCATTTATCCTCTATACGCTTATTGAGCACTTACTGCATGCCAAATCCTGGACAAACTGTTGGGAGTAGAATGGTGAATTATATGAGCTCACTCCTTGCTCTTATGGAATTTCAGGCTAGTTAGGGGATGTATAGGGGTGCCCCCCTTGTCCCTTTGGGTCTTACCATTGCAGTACATGCTTGATAGCATCTGACTGCAAACACCAGAACTTCTCTTGTGTGAGCCAGGAACAACCCTCAAAAATGAGGGATGGGGGCTTCCCTGGTGGTCCAGTGGTTAAGGCTCCGTGCTTCCACTGCAGGGGGCACTGGTTCAATCCCTGGTCGGGGGACTAAGATCCCGCATGCTGTGCAGCGTGGCCAAAAAAAAAAAAAAAAAAGAGGGATGGGTGGGAGTTGGTGGATAAATACCCCAGCTCCCTCACCCCTCTGTGGGGGCAATTCTGAGGTGTGTTCCACAGACTCTCAGAGGGTGTCCGTCAGGATTGAGCCCCAGTTGCCCATGGTAGCAACTTACTCTTCCTCATGGGGACTTTCTGGAATGTTCCTTTTTGGAATGATCCTATTGGATATTTCTGGAATGATCTCTCAGATAAGTTCTTTGCACTTGAATCCTTGGCCCAAGAGAAGTTCATCTTAGCTGCGTGCATGAGTAGACTCTTGGAGGAAAACCGGAAATATTTGTTGGGGGTGCAAGCAAGTTTGGAGATCCTTCTTCCTGAGTGCTACACAAAAGAGGAGAAAGTCGTTCTTCCCACCCACTTTGTCCACTTTATCCTGCAACCCTGGCTCTATGGAAACAGGGCGTTGGAGATGTGTGTGTATCACAGGGTGAACCCACTTTCATACCTGGTGGAGCCAACTTTTTCGTAAGCACATGTGAGACTCTTCCACTCTGGAGGCTCCCTGGAATGGTTGGGGGAGGGGCGTCAGGTGGGGGAACAGGAAGCCTGCATCAGTGGTTGGGAAAAATGAACTAGTGGGGTTCAGATTCATGTGCATGTGACTTCATTGACCCACAAGATTTGGGGACATTTGGATTCACATCCTAGGTGACTTCTTTTTTTTTTTTTTTGTGGTACGCGGGCCTCTCACCGTTTTGGCCTCTCCTGTTGCTTAGCACAGGCTCCAGACGCGCAGGCTCAGCGGCCATGGCTCACGGGCCCAGCCGCTCCGCGGCATGTGGGATCTTCCCGGACCGGGGCACGAACCCGTGTCCCCTGCATCGGCAGGCGGACTCTCAAACACTGTGCCACCAGGGAAGCCCCTAGGTGACTTCTTGACCAAGAAGACAATGATAATACAGCTGTGTGTCTGCTGTTTGCCCCTCCAGATATATCCTCACACTTCTCCACTCTGCTCTGTGCACTGGGAGGGTGACCTGAGTGGAGAGCATCAGTGGACTCAAGCATCCTCTTGCTTCCACTTGGGTTTGGCCAGTGAGAGGCACAGGTGGGAGATTAGAGGGTAGAATGTATTTATTTCCCTGGTTCCCTGCCTGCAGGGTGGCTTTGGTGCTCTCCATCCAGCTGCCCTCTGTTAATCTGAATAATTGTTCCCTCTCCTTGGCCCTTCTGGCCTAGGGGGGTAAAGGCTCTCCACCATTGCAAGTCCCAATGTACTGCAGTATGACTTGTCTACACCCTGCCCAAGCTTCATCTATCTGTTATCTATCTATCTGTCTATCTATCTATCTATCTATCTATCTTCCTACCTATCATCTATCAATTATCTATCATCTATCAATTATCTATCTAATCTATCAATTATCTATGTATCTATCTGTATATCTATGTATCCAACTATCTTTTAGCTATCTATCACCTAGCAATTATCTATGTATCTATCATCAGTTATCTATCTATCTATCTATCTATCTATGTATATATCTATCTTTTAGCTATCTATCACCGAGCAATTATCTGTGTATCTGTGTATCTACATATGTATCTATGTATCTGTCTATCTATCTATCTTTTAGCTATCTACCATCTATCAATTATCTATGTATGTATGTATCTATCATCTATCAGTTATCCATGTATCTATGTATCTGTGTATCTATCTATCTATCTATCTATCATCTTTTAGCTGTCATATATCAATTTATCTATCTATCTATCATCTATCTTTTAGCTATCTATCTATTCATTTTTGTTCAGCTTTATGAGGAATAACTCACATATAATAAAGTGAACCCACTTTAAGGGTAAAGTTTGATGGGTCTTGACAAGTGCACACAGTCATATAACCACTACACAATCATGTTTCATCATTCCCCTTTGTAGTCAGTCCCCTTCTGCACCTCTGGCTCTGGCAGTTGTGGATCTGCTGTCTGTCACTGTAACTACAGTCTTTCCTTTTCCAGAGTTTCATATAAATGGAATTGTGCAGCGTGTAGGCTTTTGAGTCAGGCTTTTTTTGTTTTTTAAGTTAGCATTGTGCTTTTGAGATTGATTCACATTATTAGACATATCAATCATTTTGTTAAATTAATTAATTATTGGCTGCATTGGGTCTTCGTTGTTGCGCACGGGCTTTTCTCTAGTTGTGGCGAGTGGGGGCTACTCTTCGTTGTGGTGCGCGGACTTCTCATTGTGGTGGCTTCTCTTGT